CTAGCACATTCGCCCATGTCAATGCTCTTTATAGGATGGACGTTTATGTAGTAAACATTTATGTTGTATGCATACCTGTATCACTATCTTTAATTAAGTACCTGTCCATCACCCGTCGTTTAGAAACTGACCTGAGCTGGTCAAGCCTTCCCCTGTGGTAATCGCTCTGTGTTGGTATATTGCACATCCCTTTGATCTCGTTATATCTGTATATTCAGGTGACATATACTACCATCCCAACATCCAATGCACACCTGTAGAAACTGCAGCCGACTGACTTATTTCTTTTAATTAACTTTCCTGCAGCTTACTTTACCTGTTTGTACGTTGTTATGTGTTTACCCTGCTTATGCCAAGAACGGGATATCAAGGAACTCGAAAACTGTAAGTATGTGTCTGAAGTGCTTAAGGTATAATATATACCAGTTACATGTAACACCGGTACTGGTTCTGCTGATATCACAAGTATACTATATACCAGTTACATGTAACACCGGTACTGGTTCTGCTGATATCACAAGTATAACATATTTTATCTGTTTAGCGGGTATCACCGGTACCGATGTTGCTGATATTACAGGTATACAGGTATGTTATCAGGGCGGTCTTTGGTTCTTATGGATATAAGATGAACTTTTTTAAATATTAGAAAGAAACAGAGATATATCAGAATAATTAACGAGTTGATGTACTATTAATGCTCCTTAAGAAAGATAATTTTACAGATTCTGAATACTTCTACCATTATGTATAGTATACTGCATTTTAGCATAAATTAGAAACAATACGGCACTTTAATCAAATCAAATAATCCATTGCGATATTTTTGTTATGGCTGTTGACAATTCAGAAGTACGAATTGATGTATTTTAACTATAAATTTGGTTTACTGTGTACATACGCTTATTGTGGTCAGGGCTGTAAAATAACAATTTATAGCTACGATATAATGTATAAGCTATACATTTTATTTACTTTATACATACTGCACACTACTTGGGCTAAGGCAAGTAATATGACAATTTATAACTTCAAAATAATATATTACAGTTAAGTTTACTGACTTCATACAGCGAAGCCAAGATTGTAATGTTACAATGTATAACAACCAACTACTGTATTAACCATAAATTCCTATTTACATCTTACATCTATTAATTTTGGAGCGCCTGTAAAACAACAATGTTTTACTTCAAAATAATTTATCACAGTTACTATGTTTTTTTTATTTAGTAGCTATATAAACTGCTTTTGCTAAGACGAGTAATAAAACAATTTATAACAACACAATATTGCATTGCAGTAACTATGAGTTTTTGTTTCATGACTACATAAATTGTTTAGCAAAAACGAGTAATATAAGAATTTGTAACAAAAAAATGATGCGTTAACCATGCTATTTAGTGAGTTATCACACCAGGTGTGGTAAGGAGAGTGACGTAACAATATGGCAAGCAAAGTTGTATAAGATATCTTATATAATTATATAAGATATCTTATATACTTTATGAGATATCTTATATACTTTATAAGATATCTTGTATACTTTAAAAGATATCTTATTTAATAAATGAGATATCTATTAAACTTATAATTATAAGATATCTCATAAAAGATATAGGATATCTTATAAAAAAAGGAAAAGATATCTTATATTATATTATAATATATAAGATATCTTATATTATATTATAATATATAAGATATCTTATATAATATATAAGAAATCTTATAAACAAAATAAAATAAGATATCTTATATCTTTTATAAGATATCCTATAAAGAACGAGATTTGCATTTGAGATAATAACACCTCGGAACCTATCGATAACCGAGGGTGTCCGAGAGGATTTGATCGAAAATGGCAGCCGATGACAATGGAACCAGTTATCAAATTGAAACTACATATAAATATGGAAGGCATGCTCTGCTAAAATCTAGACAGTAACATCCTGTACATAATTTTAAGTGTATACATATAGAGAACGTTTTAATGTAAANAGTCATTTTCAAACATATCTTCTTTGTCGGTCTCGCGAGAGTCTCGTTCTTTATAAGATATCTCATAAACTTTTCTTTATAAGATATCTTATATCTTAAATCTTCTATGAGATATCTTATATTTTTTATGAGATATCTTATATAAACTGTAAGATATAAGATATCTTATAAAAGATATAAGATATCTTATATATTATAAATATAATATAAATAATATATAATAAGATATCTTATAAAGAAAAAAATATTAGATATCTTTTATCTTTTATAAGATATCATATAAAGTATATAAGATATATCATAAACTTTAAATAAGATATCTTATATAATTTGGTTAAGTTCTGGATCAACATTAATGCTCCATGAATAAATGACAACTTGGCTTACCATATAACAATGTCTCACAGTTCACTGACATCAGAACAACTTCATTATATGAAGGAAAGGCTTCCCGATAATTTTTGCGCAATTTACCTGTTAATGAACTTTCGTATCTTAGCTGCAGATGAGGCCGGTATATATAGACATAACCTACAGGTGGTGGGCGTATTGACGCAATAACAATGTCCCCAAGGAAAAGGTCACTGCGCTTTTCTGTAAACATTATTTACATACATAGTCTACGTTTCAGTCAAAAATTCCCTGCGGCGTTTGCTCAATCAAAAATAAAATTGTTTATTTTCTGTCCACTCATTATTATTAAGATGTCACGAATAATCGATACAACAGCACAGCGGTTAAGACAGTAACGAGGAAATGATTTGAACTTGAACCAATAACTTTCTATCAAGTTGCCGCAAAGATAAGTAATTTTGTAAAGAAAGCACTCTCAGGAGACTGGAACGAATAAGCATCCGCAATGTCGTGCTAAAAGTCTGTTAAACTAAAATGATTTCAAAAGTAATTTATAAACATTACGACTGCCTCAGATTAAAGGATATTCAGTGTATCCGCCGTGTACCAACCAAGGTTATATCGTTCATTGTATTTTGCTCGGCACAGATGGATGCGAGAAAATAAAACTGACAATTTTTAACGGTCACCGTCGAGATATTCAAGATAGAAATATCAATCTTTACAAATATTGTCTCGTGGTTCATATTTCAATATTGGGAAAATATTGTAGAAATAGGTATGTATTGCGTGTTTATATACTGAGTACATTATACATGTATTTATAAAAATAAGAAAAATATATTTGGAATACAGGAACACAATGAGTATTTGATAAAACTTATCAAGGATCCAGACACACAAAGGATATCTTTCACAACATCAAATAAATACACAATTAATAAATGTACAATATCATACGGTCACAATGAATTACTGTACAATTTATAATTAGGTCGAAGACAGATAATGCATCCATGCACAAAATGTTTAGGTCACACACACTATGAACTCATGTACAATATATTTAGGTCACACACACAATCAATTTATGTACAATATGATTAGGTCAAAGACACACAATGAATTCATGTACAATGTAATTAGGTCACAGTCACACAATGGATTCATGACCAATATAATTAGGTCACAGACACACAATGAATTCATGTACAATATAATTAGGTCACAGACACAATGAATTTATATACAATATAATTAGGTCACAGACACACAATTTATTCATGTACATTATAATTAGGTCACAGACACATAATTAATTAATTAATGTACATTATCATTAGGTAACAGACACAATGAATTCATGTACAATATAATTAGGTCACAGACACAATGAATTTATGTACAATATAATTAGGTCACAGACACACAATTTATTCATGTACATTATAATTAGGTCACAGACACATAATTAATTAATTAATGTACATTATCGTTAGGTAACAGACACACAATGAATTCATGTACAATATAATTAGGTCACACACACAATGAAATTATGTACAATGTAATAAGGTCACAGACTCGCAATGATTCATGTACAATATAAGTCGGTCAAAGACACACAATGAATTATTGTACAATATAATTAGGTCACAGACACACAATGAATTAATGTACAATATAAGTAGGTCAAAGACACACAATGAATTCATGTACCAATATAATTAGGTCACAGACACACAATGAATTCATGTACAATATAACAAGGTCACAAGTACTCGATGAATTCATGTACAATATAATTAGGTTACAGACACAATGAATGTATGTATAATATAACTAGGTCACAGACACACAATGAATTCATGTACAATATAATTAGGTCAAAGACACACAATGAATTCATGTACAATATAATAAGGTCACATACACTCGATGAATTCATGTACAATATAATTAGGTCACTGCAGACAAACAATGAATTCATGTACAATATAATTAGGTCACAGACACACAATGAATTCATGTACAATATAATTAGGTCACAGACACACAATGAATTCATGTACAATATAATTAGGTCACAGACAAACAATGAATTCGTGTACAATATAATTAGGTCACAGACAAACAATGAATTCGTGTATAATATAATTAGGTCCCAGACACACAATGAATTCAATAGTTGTTTGTTGTTTGTATAGGATTTAACGTCCTATCCACATCTAAGGTCATTTAGGGACGTTATGCAACAGTAGCAGTATTTGTTGTTTTGTTTACAGTCAACGAATAATAGATAAATCCCATCTGTTTTTTGAAAAGTTACGATTAACTGCGAAATGAAAACTTAACATTAACCAACTGGTTCTGCATGCTGAAATAGGTGTTATATACGTGATTTTAATTATCTACTGTTCGTATGTCATCAATAAGTTTAATATATTATCGACCATCAATAAAATCAATGAATGATTACTTCACTTTAGATACCCTTTTTTCTAAGAATTATACATAAATATGTATTTTTATTAATATATAAACAGATGCCAACTTACTATACTTCCGATACCTTGCCTGCCAATGTCTGGTCAAGATCGAGAAGAAACTTAAATAACAGAGCGCATGACATACATAGACGTTTGATGAACGCTGGCAGGGGGCGCAGGCGCACATCTGAAGATCAAACTGCCCGGATGCTTGTTGAAAATGTGAACAATTTGGACATCGACGAAGGTAAAACCATACGAAAGGCGTGTGATTGACTATTATTTTTAATTCGGTATTTTGGTGATGTTATTGGTTGACAACTGCATATTTAATTGCTGTTTATGCTAATAGATCAATTAACGAGTAGGCATTGTACATCCGGGCAGTTTCTCAGCATATCCGTAGTAGTAATGTTGCTTGTTTTGTCGTTACAGTAGTTTTAACCCCTTTTTATGTAACAATCCGATACACATCATATACATAAAATGTATAATAGTTTATGAATGAATGGAGGCACGGTAGTCTAGCTAGCTAGTGGTAGGACGCCGGGCTCATGACCGAAGAGCTGCGAGTTCGGCCCCCGTCACGGCACTGTGTTGTATCTTTGAGCAAGATACTTTACTCCGCTTGTTCCAGTCTACTCAGCTGTAAATGATTACGTGGTTGGGTAGTGCTAGAAGCTGTGAGCGCCGAAATGACAGCAACGGCTGTAGGCGGCCCAGGGATTTGAGAAAGATATTGACTGGTTGCAAGGCCCTATAACGACGGAAAATAGTTTTGAGACGACCTACGAACTAGGTTGTGATAAAGTGGTATATAAGAACCTCGAGTTATTATTATAATTATTATGAATGACAAAGACCGCCGTAATTACCCTGCACGACGCGGAGTCTACTCAGAAGCAAGTCATATACAACCAAAGTAACGAAAAGTACAAATTCTTCCCGTTTGAGTACAGGCCCCGCGTCATACATTGCGAGTTCAAGTTCCACATGTTGCGGTGCACAGGATTGTAATTAAACGTATGATTTTATTTTCAGACGATTACGACGATGACGGGCATTTCGATTTAGATAGTCACGTGGAGTCCGTTGATCTCCTTCCACTTGAGAATGCGCTTGCGCACCATACGGAGAAGTATGACGCACTAAGGGAGAGTCATCTGGTGGTAAGGAGGGGACAACCCTTCTCTATCCTTGTGAGGTTTACCGGAAAATTTAGTGCCAAGAATCACTCAGTCAGAATCGTCTTCAAGACTGGTAAGCTTTTGTCGTACCATAATAACTCATGTAGCAGGTTCTTTATGTTGCGTGGGCAGTCGTCGCTATAGTGATGGACACTGCTGTGATCCGGTTTCGTGAAAGGGTTATTGCACAATACTTCCCAGACGATACTGTCTTATGGCCTCATGTGTCTTGGTGGTGTATATGTACTTTCGTTTGTGTATGTTTATAAGTTAAAACATATACAGTGTATAATGTACTGTAAAGTAACTGAAAAATAAGATGCAGGTATGACTGTTGAAAATAAGAATGTCACTAGCACTTATGTTGTATTAACAGGCCCGACTCCTCGGCCCGGAAAAGGTAGCCATGTCCAATGTATACTCTCATCAAAGTCCAGTCAACAGGACTGGACAGCGGTCATTGCCAGCAGACAAGGACAAAATGCCCTGAAGGTGTCAATTTTTCCTCCAGCGAACTGTATTGTTGCATCATGGCGGTTAGTTCTTGAGAGTATTGTGGAGAGAAGCGGTCGTCCCAAGGCGTATAAATACATTCACCCCAAACCAGTACACATCCTCTTCAATCCTTGGTGTAAAGGTATCTTACCGAAAATAGCAAATATCACAGGGACCTGATAATTAGTTACAGCTATATATTTGAACCGTTTTGGGGGTTTAATTCAATTTTCGGTAAAATGCCACCCCAAAACGTGGAAAACTAATCTAAACACATTAACTTAGGCCCGAACATAGCTGAAACAAATTATCAGGTCCCTGTGACAAATATCACTGAAATAAGTATAACTGACCCAATGATACTGCAATTACTAAAGCAAATATGATGCGACATTTGTTCCTAGTATAAATTAGGTACATTCATGACGAAACTCCCGGCGGAAAGAAACTACATTTTATATGTAGACCAATGCAACTTGATATACAAAAACATGCCATTGTTCAATAATAGATACAGCAATTATGTCATAGTTATAGTGCAAAAAGCTAGAAGTCACATCTCCTTACTGTTAACAGCAGTCTAAGTAGTTACATTTCCTGCCGCTAGATGATGCGGTGTACCTCGACGATCCCAATCTTCTCAACGAATATATCCTCAACGAGAGTGGCGCCATCTTCCATGGAAATTACAAACAGATTGGCGCCAAACCCTGGTTCTTCGGACAAGTAAGTGCAACATAGATATCTGTATACAGTGATGGGTAAAGATTTATGGACTTAAGGAAAGCACAGAGACTTGGAATATTGTTTTAAACCCATGAATTTCCCTATTTTCCCACCATTTCGACCCCTCCCCTGCCTAGAAAATTTAGACTCCTTCGATTGGTTTCTGGATCCGCCACTGGTATATATCTTTATGCGTGTTTAGTAATGCTACAACATATGTTAAGACCGAGATATTTCTAAGTTAGGTCGATATATATGTGATACGTGTATCGATATATTAGTAATATGTACCGATATTTCGATAGTTTGAATCAATATATCAGAAACATGATATATATAATCTGTTGGTAATATTTTCAATATTTTGGTTAACGAAACCACTATATATACTAAAATAAATACCTATATACTTATTTAAAGACGACTCGTACAAAATTGTAATAATTTATGGCTCAGTATAACAATGAGAGACGAAAAGAAATGTTTGTTATGCTGTAGTGTGTCGGGTCCCAGACAGTACTAACACAAACACGTTTCTGTACTGAAATGCTCTAATGCTATGTAAACTTCCATGTTGATTCCATTCAAAGGCATTAATTTTCTATAAGGAGTTGTTGATTTAAGATATTACCTAGGGTACGTGTATGTTATCACAGTTCGAGGACGGCATTTTGGAGGCATCCCTACATTGCATACAGAAAGGGTTCAACTCCAACTTCTGTCAGGCGATGGGAGACCCCGTGAGAACATCACGGATCATATCCAAAATTGTAAGTTGGCGAAATAATTTATGCATGAGTAATGATTAAATTTCCAACGATATTTACATAACTCTCGCTTAGAAGTACATTCCATGATACGTATGAAATGAAACAGTTTTCGCCTGTTTTATTCCACTACTCAGATAAATTTATGCAGCTATAAGTTCAATGAACATGAAAGTACATTGTACTATGGGTGTTGTACGTTCACTGGACTCTTCGGTACAACAAAACAGTCCCCTGTAGTTGTGCCATTTCGAGGAGTATAAACGACACCGTGTTGACATTTCAAATGGTACTGATCTACGTGAAAAATATATTTAATTATTCTTAGTGGCAGAGTAGAGACAGTCTGGATATATAAAAGTGTGTTATATATAACAAAGGAATACATGGTTTCATTAATATTATCCCATTCATGATCTAAGGTGAACTCGTCTGACGACGGAGGGGTATTGCTGGGCAACTGGAGTGAGGATTACACCGGAGGAAAGTCCCCAATGGCATGGAGCGGAAGTGTCGCCATATTGAGAGAGTATATGAAAACCAATCTTCCGGTTAAATTTGGCCAATGTTTCGTATTTTCCGGGATAGTAACAACAAGTGAGTTGTCTACAATTATCGTTCACTTTTAGTTATCATTAATATAAGATTATCCTTGTAGCCCTTTGTACATTGAGTGTATTAGGTATGCTGCGTTTATGGATGACTGACTCCAATAGGTAAGCTCCCGCGCCTAAATACTGCGTCAAACATTGGGTGAACTGCTGAGTGTACGAGTTACATTTTCTAATGTATCAAATGTTTGTAGAGTTATTATCGTTCTGGAAAAGTCCACAAATCAAAAGAGCATTCAATATTGTCTTAAAATTGCAATGGTATTTCTGTTTAGTTTGCAGAGCTGTGGGCTTGCCTTGTCGAAGTGTAACCAATTTCGCATCTGCGCATGACACAGACGGAAGCGTGACAATTGATTTCTACTGGGATCTTGATCAGAAAGAAGTTTTGAGCGGAATTGGAGATTCGATTTGGTACGTCTTCGAGTCCGTTCACTTTGACCGAATCAGAAAATTTCCGCATGGATTCTGTGATTCATTTCGGGAGAAATCGTGTCAGTTTAGTGGATTTTCCATATTGCTGGTCGAGATGTATCGATCAGTGTGGAAATCAAACGAATCAAATAAGAACTGAGCTAGAATCAAAAGAATTGCCGCTAAAATTCTCAAAATGTTTAAAAACCCGATAACTATATAATATTGGTTTTTACTTTATTTTTTTATTTTCGATTTTTATACCTTACCGATGTTACCGTCACATTACAAATATAGACATCCCGCTAACTCGCCTTAACAATTGAATAAACGCCCATACAGATTATCTAGTGTCAAGCTTCATCTTAAATAACTTCTAATAAATCCTAAACTCCCGTGTTATTGGAATATTGATTAGAAAGTGTAACGCGATATCGGGTTCACACACGACTATCGTCCTGCCGTAAGCTGATATCGGCGTTACATACGAAACCGAGACTCATCTGGGGAGGAGTTCCACATGTACAATGTATCTGTGGGTTCCAAGTTATTCATAAGTGATTCTGAGTCGAGGATGGGGTCGGTTAGTTTTGGGGGTCGGGGTGGGGGAGGTAGGAAATTGGTGTAGGGGAAAGGACGGGGGGAGGTCTGGTGATTTAGTTTTGGGTTTAGATTTCACCTAGTACCAGTAGAGAAGAATTGTTATGATCGCTCTTTATCATAACCATAGGACGACTTGTCAGTCCTGAATAATCCTAGTGGGACCTCTCCCCCCCCCACCCCCCCCCAGTGTTGATATAAGACACATTTCGCTGTAAAATCCCCGTGACTAGGTTAGGGCACATGCTGAATATTTTGCTTTAACATATTCTGGTTCCAGCCAGAAAAGAGGTATTTTCTTTTGTTCTGCCAAAAAACACGTTTATTCCATGGCTTTTACATCCAATATCGGGCGGGCCAAATGTTACATCTCTTTGTACTACAAACATTCGGATTTAGATACGTGTATATACCTTTATCTCACACAAAAATTCAGCTTATTTGGACTGGTCACGTGATCATTCCTCTGTTCGACACAATTCCGGCGTTGAGTAGGCAACAAAGCATCACAACTTCGACAAGATATATTATTTGAGACAAGGTTTTAGTTGTGACAAATTGTATCCACATGAAGGGCTGCTAAGGATGACATAGATAATGACTTAAAAAAAGCATCGAAAACAATAGACTGATTATTTTCGGTGTTTTTAGCCAATGGTCGGTAGGAATACACGTTTACTACAGGCACCTGGCACTGTTGGTTAAAATTTGTTTTTACTCTTTAAACGATAGGCACTGTTGTACTTTTCGCGTTGTTGATGCTGATAAAATATACTTTTTGCCGATTTATTTCCAAGACGATTTATAGAAACAGATAAATGTAATCAAATGTGTTATGTTTTCCGTCTGATATTTCTGATTGTATCTTTAGCGAGATGTCGCTGCCACCAAATAGACAAGCGCCTGGAGTACACTCGCGACACCTATATCATTACCTGGAGCCATTTAGTACGTGCCGCGTCCACGGGAGAACTAAATCCTCATTCATGCCAGAACCATTCTTAAAAGAAACGTCAAATAGCTGATGTAATTTGTCAATCAAATGAAGCTGTATTCGGCGCATGCTTAGGTTTTTTCTTCGTGAGCATCCAATTTCCCTAGCCGTGCTGTTAGGGAATATATATAACACTTTGACCACAATTACAAGGAGGTAGTTCTGACACGCTGGAGCTTAATGGGCTCACAATAAAATCGGTAATGGCTTATTTCAGCGATTGTTTTCTCGTGAAAATGACTCGTCTTCTTGTTTGTTTGGTTCCCTGTAACTTGATCACTGCGTCACAACTCCCACGGGAGTTCTGGGAGCGGCCAAAAAAGCCATCAGATCTCAGAAACGGCGGCTGACATTGTGACAGATGCGGATAACTTGTGTATGCTTCTATATAAAAAGGCCACCTGTACAGGTTTGAATCGATACCATGTGTGCTTGGCACAGCACATCATAGTACAGCATATAGTTGTAATGTTACCCGAGGGCTTCCGAACCCTTACGCTATTCAATGGCAATGACGCCTGCGATGGTGGTTGCAGGACTGATGAATTTATTACTAAGTGAAGATCAAGTTTATGTTGAAAGTCGATCCCAAGGACTTACAAAATTCCACGCTCGGTAGATTGGTTGAATAAATAATGTGGTGATGATACCTCTAAAATGGTCGTAACATAATATTACTTTCAACATTTGTTTTTATTTAGTACACCATGGTGAATTATGTGTGATAACAAATATGCTATAGATGTCGTAGTGGGTCTATTGATGTATCTTTTGATGTCAAAATGTAACTTAATACACTCGGCTTCGGTGCCACGGCAAAAGGTTGGGGAGGGTTACGAGGATGTTGTAACCCAATGTATGATAGTATAAACCAGCCAGTAATATTGCAAACTTAGCAAATAGCATTTGCTATGATCCCCTGATTCGGGACACAAGGGAAACCTATCACTTATATTCCATCCTTTATCACAAATTTACTGACCTTTACCTTTTCACTTCCTTTCTACTTGTTCCTTGCGATGCTGTACCTAGTCCCTTAAGCACTTCTGTTTAGTCCACTGAAAGCAAAGTGTGATTTGATATTCAAACGAAAATTATGTCACCCCCCCCCCCCCAAAAAAAACCCCAACCCCAACAGCACAAAACGAAAACGATCTAAGAGAAGGATCAAAATAGGTAGTTAGGCTTACTCAAAGAACGATATCAACATTGATTGTTTTGATAGACGATTAACAATATAAGACTATATACTCTATTTCATTTAAAGCGAGCGTAGCACGTTCTGTCTAATGGATATTTACTGCATCACCCCATTGTATAAATTGTGATTTGTAAGCAAATCTTTCCCATAGTTCGTCATTTACGTTTGGAAAACCTTTGGTATGTGAACAGACACACATGTACTGTGTGTTAATAAGGCAATCTAGAATTTAAACTCCTCTTTCCAGGTTTTTAATTTGACACTCTGTTGATTGTCGATCTGACGTGTCATGTTAAGATAAGGGAAGTTTCCAGTCGGATATACCTATAACTGTACGGAAAGGAAGATTCCGTCACAATAACTGTTGGCAGTTAAACTTTTCCATGAAATGTGTCTGAAACTGTAAGGAAATGGGTTTCCACAAGATACTTTGTTGGTAGAGGGAATTTTCCTTTGAATTCGTCTGTAGGAAAATGGAAATTTCGTTCGAATTCGTCTGTAAGTGGAGGGGACTTTCTTTCGGATTCGTCTGTAGGTTGATTAACGTTTCTTTCGGACTCATCTGTAGGTAGTGAAGGTAGAGAAAAAGTTTCCATTTGGATTCGTCTGTAAGCACATGCAGAGCGACTTTCTCTCGGATTCGTCTGTAGGGAGAGGGATGATCCTAAGGAGCGGGATTTCATTTAGCAATTACATCCTCTGTTTTTTTCTGTTTGATATCGGTCTTTTAAGATATAGTTTTAAGTTGTTGTTTGGTAAACAATGATACGTTATCAGTTTTGCTAGGATTCGGGCATGCTCTTGTTCTTTGTATGCAGGGATATAAGATATTATCTGGACCATCTTGCTGTTCCATGTTGAGCTTTTATATTCTGTACTGCACACGTAGCATTATTCACTCTTTAATTTTCTTTTAGTCGCTATCTAAATGCAAATATGCATTACAAACTGTCCTACCATTACGATAGCATCATTCATCCCTCTGGCACTGATAGATAGTGTGATGTGATGTATAAACAAAGCATTATCTGATGTCTGAGTGCATTACCTGGTGTCTGAGTGCATTACCTGATGTCTGAGTGCATTACCTGATGTCTGAGTGCATTACCTGATGCATGATTGCATTGCCTGATGTCTGAGTGCATTACCTGATGCCTGAGTGCATTCCCTGATGCCTGAGTGAATTAACTGATGTCTGATTGCATTGCCTGATGTCTGAGTACATTACCTGATGCCTGAGAGCATTACCTGATGTCTGGGTACATAACCTGATGTCTGAATGCATTACCTGATGCATGAGTGCATTACCTGGTGCCTGAGTGCATTACCTGGTGCCTGAGTGCATTATCTGATGTCTGAGTGTATTACCTGATGTCTGATTGCATTGCCTGATGTCTGAGTACATACCCTGATGCCTGAATGCATTACCCGATGCCTGAGTGCATAATCTGATGTCTGAGGACATTACCTGATGCCTGAGAGCATTACCTGGTGTCTGAGGGCTTAATCTGATGTCTGAGTGCATTACCTGATGCCTGAGTGCATTAACTGATGTCTGAGTGCATTACCTGGTGTCTGAGTGCATAATCTGATGTCTGAGTACATTACCTGATGCCTGAGTGCATTACCTGATGTCTGAGTGCATTACCTGATGCCTGAGTGCACTACTTGATGTCTAAGTGCATTATCAGATTCTGAGTGCATTACCTGATGCCTGAGTGCATTACCTGATGTCTGAGTGCATTACCTGATGTTTAAGTGCATTACTTGATGCATGAGTGCATTACCTGATGTCTGAGTGCATTACTTGATGCCTGAGTGCATTACCTGATGTCTGAGTGCATTATCTGATGTCTGAGTGTATTACCTGATGTCTGAGTGCATTACCTGGTGTCTGAGTGCATTACCTGATGTCTGAGTGATACGCTTTAATACAACATTAGCAACAGACAGTTGTGAAAGAAAAAATAACTCCAAAATTTCAAAATACTCGTCAATTTGTTTTGATAGCGAATAAGTTCAACGTTCTGTAAAAAATCAATTAAAGAACGTTTGCCGATATTTCGTTTGAAAGTGACACGTACATATGTTGACTGTGCTGTCATTAATATTCAATAGAAAATTAATACAAATGCACCGTGTCAAAATTGTGAATGTGATTGAAAAGAGCAAAACGGAAAATGTATTTGACTATGGTGTGTCAAACGCTGCAATATTTCAACCTCTTTTGAATAATTGTTTTAATTTTTAAAAAGTTGTTGTAAAACTTGCAAGTTTTAATTCAAATCATTTTATAAAAGCTAAAATTGTGTGATTTAAAAGATTTAAAACAAAACGCACAAGATATTTAATTATGGCAATGTTTGACACGCATTATTCGTTTCCACAAATACTTGATGTCGCATTAACGTTATATACCTGCTACGTGTATATATAGAGTTAGATATGGTATGTGGCATGTATGTAATGCCGATGTACATTCTTTATTTGTCAGTAATATTGCAAACTTAGCAAAATAGTTTTAATAGTAACAGATATTGTAAATATCCTTCATAATATTTAAATGTCGGTAATTGGTTGTCATATATGAATAAAATATACAAAATTGTGAACATCTGTAACAATTGGAAAATTATAAATTAATCTTTAACTTCCAATTAAGAATTTTCATAAAAGATCAATCTTACACAAAAGTACAGGTAAGATCTGTAAGACAAATATTTGCGTGTTTTAGTGATGTTTGTGCCTCGTTCACTCCTTTTGTTGATTTTCGTGTTAAGGTTACCATTGCACCATTGTTGTGGCTCTAGTATATTTGTTTTGAGTTTTGATTTGCTGATAGTTTTTGCCATTCGAATAATAAAACTGTTGTCCCAAGATCATCTCGTCCAGTGGAAAAACAAGTAATTATGTCTCATTCTGTGTCAGGAACTTCCACTGTTGGAATGACGTATGGATGAGGAGAGACGACCTCCCTGTCGGATACAGTGGCTGGCAGGTAGTAGACTCTACCCCACAGGAGCGCAGCGACGGTAAGGACCAAACAATTACGTAGCCTTCATACCTGAAATACTATATTAATATACACGATAAACATGTAAAATGAAAAAGAAATGTCATAGCCGTATCTCCGATGTATAACTACCGGAATTGTTTTGACCCTTTTTCCAATGTCTAATTACTGGAGGCCTTATATGATCTCCAATATATGAATACTATAAATACTTTCTTTAAAGTGTAAAATGTATGAATGCCTTGAGGACTTCTCCCAATGTATGATCACTAAAAGTTTTCCTCTAGGACCGATCTCAAATGTTTAATTAATGGAATACCTTTAGAACATATCTTGAATATTAAAATAGTAGAATCCTTATGTGTCGTTTTGTCAGGGTAGGACGCATTTCCTGTGTCTAATAAATGCAATGCCTTTAAGACACATTTCAAGTGACTAATAACTCAAATGCCATTATGACCTATCTTTAATGTTAAATTACTAGAATTCCTATGGGACTTCTTTCAAATCTGTTATTCCGTCCATATTACAAGTTCACATGAACACACCGTATGGCCATCAGCATCCCCAAAATAACATTCGTTTTTACACAAGCTGTACTGTGGCTTGTGTATGTAAATGAATGTTATGTGTCTTTTTAATGGTTTATGTATGTGTGTGGTATCGAAAACCTCTCTTCCAAAATTGACGTTTGTTCGTGTTTTGATTGGTATCTAGGGTGATACTATTTCTATCTTACCCTTCATTTTATCGCCTCCTGCATTTACGATCAAACGATTTGTTTGTCGCGTGCTGCTTCCAACATTTCTTTTTTAGCTCTACCCTGTTTCAACTCAAAATAATGCATGCTATTGCATTTTTGTTTGATACCATCCTCATGGATCAGTTAAAAATATCTACATCAATTTCTGTAAATAACAACTTTAAGAACCTCTTTACAAATATGATCCGTCATCATTGATATTTAATGTACAATGGATTAGGAGCTGCTGAAGAAAGTTATTGCTTAAGCTTTCTCTTAGCGCCCGCCATCATTTGAGAAATCCTACAAATTCATTAGGGTCCTGTAAATTCGCATTGCCATCCTATTTCTAGCCTTCTTGACAAATCTCTCTCTCATTATTATCGATTGGTGTTAAGTCCGCCATATTATAGCTTAAAACAAAATCCCCATCCAATCAGATTCAGCTAAACAAAAATGAATCACCATGGCATCAATACAACAGGGAATATTATTGGTTAGGTGAATACTACAGGGGATTTGATTGGTTAAGATAACACAGCAGGGATGTGTTCGTTTCACAGAGTTGCGAGAAATTGTGAGAATTAATTTGTCAAGGGATCTGGAGGTTATATCGAAGCAATGAACTTCTTAATTATGTCAGCCAATGTGACAATAGTCGGGTTAAGAGTTGGACCGTGTACAGGCTAATCCATACTTATAGCTTCTCGTCCTGTAACACGTGCGTTGAATGCCATCCCTACCTGCTAGACTATATATGTATATAATGGCATCACTTGGTCAAAATCATGGTCATGCTTTTTATGCCAGGAGATTGCATGATAATACTCTGACATTTGTCTATAGTTTGAATTTAATTTTGCTGCGAATTAAATAGCGATTTTTTGTTATATCATAAAATATGTGTTGATTTCAATACACACCTGATATTAAATAATCTTCTTCATATACTTGAAAAGTGAAGTGATATCAATAATATTGAACCATATATATATGTCCTGATAGTAATTTGCAGAAGGGGTAAAATGTTACATCGAACAATAGCAGCATCATATGATCGTAACAACGGTAATATATTCTCTTCGGTTTTCTTTTATCATAAAACTGCGATCTTTCGTTACACCAGGTATGTTCCAGTGCGGACCGACATCTCTCCGAGCGATTAAGGGAGGGAAATGTGACATGCTGTACGACTGTCCATTTGTCTTCGCAGAGGTCAACGCAGACAAGGTCAACTGGACACGTGACACGGACAAACAGTGGATTGTCCTCAGTATGAATTTGTCGGCGTAAGTAATAGTATGCAACATGCCTCCCATTTTAAGGCCATCGCATCAGGATTGTTCTCGGTTGTAATATAACTTCAAACTTATTCGGCTGTTTAAAACTATACAATGTTATTGAAAGGTGTTACGCGAACTATTAACTTTTTTATCAACTATTGTTGTCTTTATAAAATATTACATGCATATATACATGTATATAGTACGTGCATTACGATAATTCATTGCACAACAAAGACCATGATGAAAATGTCAGACGTCATTCTAATACGTGATAATGGAATGGAACATGAAGCATACAATAATGATACAATGTTAGGTAGATATCGTCAATCTAAATATATATCTTCAACTTATATCAAAGTAGAAATATTGTGAAAAATCAATGAGCATATCACGTGAAAGAGAGAAAACATAGAAACAAGCACTCTATTATATCATTCCTAAAATATGTAATTATGTTTAGAATTGGGCGAAATATAAGCACAAAGATTCCGGATGGAAAACCTTTGAAACCGGAACTGACGTACACAGACTCCATCCGCCAGGATATTACAGACGACTACAAACATCCGGAGGGTAAGCGCGCCCATGTCATGACGTCATATTACCATTGCTTTATCACCATATACCAATACTGATGGACTTTTTGCATCGCCAGAGACGACTGCATGTGTAGAAGTAGCTCTTGTACCTTTTCCACCACACGTAGCAGGTTTATAAGAATTTATTGAAAGTTTCTAAATTATTTTGTATTTCATGTCGATGAAGATGTATATGGATATGTACAAGTATTTAACATGTCTGTTTTCTTGTACAGCCTGATGCCGTATCAAAGTTAATATTTCATGGAATCCGTCTACATGCACAGAAAATCAGGAAATAATATTGCAAGCATGATATTTGGAAATATTCATTTAGCTTTAGGATTGTCGAAATCTGAAACAGTCTCCCCGAATATGTTATTACATCACCAACAATTAAGGACTTGAACTGAAATACAGTCATATGGCCGGCCATAAAGAAAACTCAGGAAATGACAATTAATGAACAATATTTTCTAAATACGTCTAAAATATATTAAGATATGGAAAAAGAGGCAGAGTGTCTGCCTGCATCCATTATTTATCCTATGGTATCATATTGTATGGTTCGTATTGTATGTGCAAGACAAAGGGTTCAGGATAATATTATTTCATACTGTATTTTTCACCCTACATGATAAAACAGCAACATGAGTAAATCTTCCTTCCGGTCGTACGTCAAGCTGTAGAAATTGTCTTCCGTTGGGAAATATTACAGGAAATACACGTGATGTAATAGTTTTGAAACATGCTTTATACGTAATATCTATCCAGTATATTGTTTTATAGATATGTGTAACAAATACCGTATTATTCACCCTACTATTTGGCTGTTACATGATATAACAGCAACATGAGTAAATCTTCCTTCCGGTCGTACGTCAAGCTGTAGAAATTGTCTTCCGTTGGGAAATATTACAGGAAATACACGTGATGTAATAGTTGTGAACCATGCTTTATACGTTATATCTATCCAGTATATTGTTTTATAGGTTTGTGTAACAAATACCGTATCGGATTATGAGTTAATCGTTGAAATGGGCTATACATCTCTTTTTCATGTTTAATCCATATTTTTGGCACATGCGAGAGCTAAGAATTTGCACCGCAGCATCAAATGTCAGCGTCAATAGGACCTTCATAGTAATTATACAGCTCTAATATTGCATAATTTTGCCTTATGAGATTACCATGTATGTTATCATTAACATATTTTGAATTCATCTAAATAGTTGCTACATCACTTGGTATCACATTCCCAGTTTTGTTGTCATCAGAGTTGGCTGACTTTGTTACTAAATAAGGGATATGCGCAACAAATATGCGCAACAGAATTGAAAGTCTGCTGTATGAAACCATTCTCCTAATTTGGATGTCAGTTTCTGCTTTTCTTGTGTCAACAATTTTGCCCTTGCCCTTGTGTGTTTAAGCTTTGATGCGCTTTTGCTGAATTTAGTTTAAAGGTTAGATAAGGTGATAAGGTGATACAATGGCAGTAAAAGGACTTTGAATAACAAATAAATAAGTACGTGTTTTCATGGGAGTAAACATTACGCTTTCCTTATTATATCACTGATACCGTATATCAACTTACATACATTAGGGAGAGGCGATATAATGTTGGTGTTGCATATAACACTCTCCGTCAGTTCGCAATTAACCGACATTGCAACTCCTCATACATAACCCAGGTGAGCGATGAATGGGATATAATTATGTTAACACGGAGTGTTTAATCCCTAAGGTCGGTATCGTGGTCTAATGAAATTATCTAATTTCGCGTAATTTTCTGGATCGAGTTAGTGTCAGGTGTATTCTACGTGTTCAGCGTAAATAACTATTTCTGAAAGTAAATACGTATATATGGCTGCGCACGTGCATGTCGCTAATCTTGAATGAAAGGCGACTTAGAAACAGTTGTTTTCTTAATGTCAGCACAATAAGTCACCAAACGCAACAGCAAATTATAATGTTTACAAATACCTCATCAACAAATTAACATAAGTGTCATGACACTTGTTTTTGTTTCTTTTTCTGTTCAATGAAATGTACAATTTGCATTTCAATGTATTGTCAAAAATTTGAATTAAATAAAGTTTAAACTAACAATAGTGGCAAAGGAATAATATACTTACAAAATAATATGAAACTAATATATATTATATTATCCTTTCTGCTGTATATGTTACAATAATAATTATAAGAGCATAGTATGTTATAGCGTAAATACACCATGAGAACAATAAACATAGCGTCAACAACAAGTACAAAGTAATTCAGATCAACAACATATATTGTAGCGTTCACACAATACGGAAGAAATATACAGCAGTTGCAACATAAAAGATGCAACATTTTCAAAACACAATCGTAAAGTATCAAGTAGTACAGCGACATCACAATAGGAACAAATGGGACCACAACGTCGACGAACAATGACAAAATATCGCACGGTGTTAACACACAAGAACAAATACAAAGTGCGACTCACAAGGACATTAATTCCACAACATAGTACAGAACGACTCAATAGACCACAGCGGTTAAGCCTCGGGTTAGACAATCATTTCGAAGCCTAACCTTAAGGTAGGGGAAGAATCTATTAAACCACACTGACTGCAAAAAGAGTAAAAGAAATCATAGCATTGACACAAAGGGAAAAAATACGTCTGCACCACTACAAAAGGATGAAGTATACCACAGTGTCTACTAATGTATTCTTCCACAGCATTTCGTTTTGGACTAACGTCTAAATTCTTTCCTGATCCTGTTGTGGAGAATCACCTCCAATGTGTAATTGTTACCAAAGTATGCTGGTTCTACTGCTAAAAAGGACAATATAAGGACCAAAACGGGACTAGTGATGTTTAGAAGACTGATAATGATAATTTTGTGTGTGTTAGTAGATGTCTTCTTTGTTCCCGATTTTCTTGTTCATTCCCTTTTTTCACTCGGAAAGTTAGTCGAAAAAAATAAGTTTAATAAGTACGTATCTACCCATTTCGTACATCTTCGCGGACATCTGCTCTTGAAATATAATATGTGATCATGATATATAAATGCTTTATGAATGTAAATCTTTCTTGTTTTCATTTGTGAGGATAAAATTAAATCATGACGGCGACAGAACGTTTTAGATCATTTAAGCATCATAAACATATTTTGATAAAAATGTACATCATAATTATCTTTTGTGTCTTCCAATTGTCACACAATTGTCAGTATAACACATTGTACACAGAAGTGGAGGACAGTCCAATGAATTTATCGTATATCGCATTCCGTCATTTTGCAATTAACCAAGATTTCAACACATTGACGAAAACCCAGGAGAGCGATTGAGGGTAGGAAATTGAGCTGACACACGATAGTTTAAACTTGCTAGTCGGAATAGTCGGATAATGAAATGATCTAATTTCACTTTGTTTTCCGTGTTGAATTACATCCAGATGACTTTGACGAAGACAGGTATTTGCGTAATTAGCTATTAGTGGAAGCGGAGGGAGGTGTAAGTATGGCCTTTTACGTGCATGTCGCATGTCTTGGAACGTGTTGTTGGTGATATTCCTGGTTTGATGGGAAACCTATAAACATTTACCTTCCCAGTGTCGACGCAATAAAAACAACGACATAGAGCATCTTATAGTACATATGTTCTATAATCATTTTAACGCAATAGAGTATTATATAAACAAAACGATATGAAGCTCCCATGCCATTCTATTCTTCATTTTTTGTACAAATTGATAGAATACAAAAAAGGTAAAGTAGTGTCAACATACCAGACAAAATCCACTACATGCATGGCGAATGTTATAGAAGTGATACAGCCATGCAATAGAAGGTTCCCTATTTACAATTTGATAATACAGATGTTGTATGACTCCAGAAATTATAGAGCCGTTTTTCTAGAATCCATCTGTTATTATCCTCTGATTAAATAGTCGAATGGAACCACAATGGGTTCCGAACATTTTAGCGTCACTTTACGCTATGAAATCGTGACATATTTATTTTGTCGTCGACGTCGCTCAGTCCGTAATGGTTGTTTGATTTAAACACAGGGTATTGATTAATAATGTTTTGATAAAATAGAAGATGCATACAAACCCTATTGTAGATGAAAACCAATACCACACATACATGTATGTGTTCATCCGATATCCCGCTTATTACGCCAAAGGATACATTTCACTCAGGCGAAAGCCCCTGTGAAATAGATCCGTATGCGAAATGCCATTGAGCAATCTAAAGCTTCAGATGAAGCAGCATATGAGGTATTGCCTATACACCACGGCGTTAACAAACAAAGACAAATTATCCCACATCATTAACACACAAGGACAAATATACCACCGCATCAACACACAAGGACAAAATATACCGCAGCATTACACACACGGACAAAATATCCCAAGGCATTAACACACAAGGACAAAATATACCACAGCATCAGCACACAAGGACAAAATATACCACAGCATCACACAAAGACAAAATATACTACATCGTCAATACACAAGGACAAAACTTGAACTCATAACTGGTAAGAATAGAATATATAGCTCTCAGAAACTTGAAATATCATACATGCAATTAGACATATCTATTCGTGATACTAAATACCACTACACGTTCAATTATATACCATTGTACATGTCATAAGACAGAATCAAACCTGTGATTTACACCCACAATAATAAAACACTATTAGTTGCGGGTCGCTACCCTACTCAGAGATGTTTAGGTAATTAAGTTACTTGTCATGACATTGTGAGCGGATGTAAAATAAGATAGCAGCCGTGTACATGACTTGATTGCTTCTTACTGACTATAATACATGCACACACAAAACATATGCAGACAGAGGTGATAGAACTGCTTTAATCAGAATTGTCTATCAAAACGAGACAATAGCTCTCAGAAACTTGAAATTTCATGCATGCAATTAGACATCTCTATTCGTGATACTAAATACCACTATACGTTCAATTATACACCATTATACTTGTCATTAGACAGAATCAAACCTATGATTTACACCCACAGTAACAAAACACTATTAGTTGCGGGTCGCTACCCTACTCAGAGATGTTTAGGTAATTAAGTTACGTGTCATGACACTGTGAGCGGATGTAAAATAAGATATCAGCCGTGTACATGACTTAATTGCTTCTTACTGACTTTAATAATGCTGCTATTGATATACAGCCTGCTGTCAAACATTTATCCGACTATGCAGCAATTCATCAATCAAATATATCAGGTTATACCGAATACATTATGCAATTCGTCGCTGCACATAAAAAAAAGATTAGGTGTTTTTTGAAATATCATGTCAAACTGTCTGATTTGAAGAATGTCCTTTTAATGACAGCACAAGAGCTATGAAAATTCATCTGAATTTCTTTCAGAATCCGAGAGAGAACGATTGGCGGTCATTTCAGCAAGCCGATCAGCCGCCTCGAAGAAACCTGTCTACAACAAAGGCATTCAGGTACCAACTTCACTTTGGGTTTATCAAATGTCTTACGTATCTCGCATTTCGTGTATATTTTCACGTGTGATAAAGGAACTGATTGAAGTCATACAGGTGTACGAGAACATCGCACATTTTCTTATATCTCTTCAAATGGAAGAAACTTCAACTACAACAGACTATATAGCAATATTTTGATAGGACTTTACGAGGTACAAAATAGATACGTCTAGACTTGCACAAAACGTTGTTAAAGGAATCGGACAGTGTCAAGCGACCAATAGAAAACACAGCACTATGACTCTGATCTACATTGTGTTTGGTGTCCTCATTAAAGAGGATAATGTATACTAGAAAGCAGGAGCATACGTTTCCGTTACCGTTATAACTACTCAATCCTCTATCCTTTCATCACTAAGATATAAAGTGCTCAAGCCGTTATGTTAATGAAATAGTGACAGATTAAGCGAACTTGCAACTTGATAAAAAAAAGTAAGAGAACCATCAGGCTTCATATTTATTGATAGACACGAAAAACGTGACATCGTCGTCGTTGTCTAAAGTGTGAATTTGTTTTATACCTTCCGGATTATAGAGAGTCGGTATGGTCACTCATTGAAACCATAAAGAATGAATAAGACAGGTAACGCTGCGTAATACAGATCAATGACGAGATGTCAGTTTCAAAGACTCTGCTATAAGTCTATATTCACAATATGCTGCTGCAATTTTATTTACCTGACCTGGATAACCAATTCAACGAACAGAACATAGCCTTTGATAAATGTGTAATATTAGCACGTAAAATATTTAAGAGTTCTTTATAGTTTCCAAATGTTCAAACCTGAAGTTGAATCAAGCCGTTGTTGCTTGCTTTTTATAAACAAAATATGTGGTAGATATACTGCATAATTGCATTTAATCACTCATTTAACTCTTCAAATGCAGTTAACTGTGAAATGTAATTTGCAAACAACAAACTCCATATTGGGGTAATACGTGTTTATTCGTTATTGTAATTCAAATGGCAATTTTAGACATTAACTTTCAATTAGTTGAATACAAACCAGTGGCCAAATACAAATAACATGTGAGGTGCAAATATTACCTAAAATCAGTGACGGTTCCAGTGACGGTTCAAGAGTTGATTTTGATGAATAATAACGCAAATAACACGATAATTGTTTGCTTTATTTTCTGTTCAACAGGATGTAAAGTTTGGAGGATTTCTTCATAGAGACAACATTATCGTTGGCAGGCAGTTCGATGTCAAAATAACGTTTCAAAATAGCAGCCAATCACGAAGGACGTTACAAGGAAAGTTTATCTGTGAAACTGTGACTTACACCGGAGAGAAGCTTGGGGTCGTGAAGAAACAGGAGTTCAGCACACCACTGGCACCAATTACAGGTATTGCAGCATAGAGAGCAAGCGTTCCCATAACAGTTGTAAGCTTAGGCCTTCTTTCTCTCTCGGTACTTCAAATGCTGGACGCTGAAACTTCCTAATCACATCATAGCTGCTTGCCCATATGACTTCCTCGTGTTCCTTGAAGTTGTTCCAACTCATCAGACTCTTCAGACAAAAGTCGTGATGTTTTCCTTGGTCTGTAAAGTCAAATAATTATCTTAAGTTCTATTTTCATTATATATTTAGTAAGCGTGTCCGTTCATAAGAAAAAAGGCGTATATAGCCCAAAATCACAGTATTGTACAAAGTTAATATAGTGACTCTTATGAGTAACCATGTATAAAAACCACAACAAAAGAATACCAAAGTATCAACAATATTAGATAACGTGGTATGATATGAAACATTTATGGGATTGGGGCGTTTAAGATTGATCAAAAGCTCTTTTGAATCGCTCCCTAATTCACATTTGCTTTAATTTTATCGATTTCGAGGTTACTGGGAAAATAGTGAATGCTGAAAGTATCACTAGGTTCAAGGGTAAATCAAAGTGTTAGTGTGTACAATGGTGAATCAAAATATTACTTTGATCATCAATGATAAAAAAAAACACTTTATGCAATGTTCTTGGTAAATTATATATAAGACACCGTTAAACTGAGTACATTATTAAATATTCAGGCGAAGTATTACTTTCATGCTTTCCACAACTGGTATTATTATTTGACAATGCTCTGTTTTCTTGGCAGATGCATAATATGTCTACTTTGTTTTACTTCTATTGATGTTTTGCCCGCTGCTTCCAGTCGTTCATTATGTTAGTCGAAATAAATATTTTGATACTAGACGTTACTCTGTTGCTATTGAAAGGTTACCGAATAATGCTTATATACATAGAGTCGTACGTCCTCTTTCGATCGATCGAGCCGTAATTTGTCTCGGACATAAACACATTTCTCCATTAAAAAGAATCATGCGTTTGCGCTAAGCCTAATTAATAAAAGTGTCAGTGTCAGAAAATCCACACGTTGTCTGACCTATTTCCTGGTCCCCGACACATTGATCAGATACACATAGTGTCGGGGTACGTTCCCTTCGGCGGGCCATCTGGCACTGATTGTTACGGTTATATTGTGGTAATGCTGTCTATGCGTGACGCTGCAATGTGATTGTGCCAATCTGGAATGTATGCATGTACAGTATGTCAATATCCCAGGTGCAAGTGAGAGCTGTTGTTTCAATTAATGATAGTGTTTATACATATATATATAGATATCGCGATGATAGTACACGTAGATCATGTGACTGTAAAAAATATAAATTCACAATATACTACTATGTAATGTAACGTTTATATGGCCTGCACCATCTTGAAGAAGACGTTTTTGCGAAACAAGTCTCAAACCGCGTCACCCTTTTTTGTCCCTTTCTGGGCAGTTGCACATGCTATCTGTAAACTACTGGCCTTGCCAAGCCATAGAATAAATAAATGAATAAAAAAGTAATAATGATAAAAAAACATGCGCAAATAAGTCAACAATGCCTTCTTAGCCGCTGATGACATTTAGTTAGTTTGGACGAAGGATACGACGGGGTTATAACTGCGCGATGAACTAATAGTAAGAAACGCTGTCTAGTTGCTTTAAAAGTGAAGATGACTACATGGCCGCAGCCTTGATAAGGCGGACGACTAACTGGTCGCAGCCCCTCGTAGAATGGCTAATCATCACAGCTCTAGTAGGCTATGGTGGTGTTTCGCCCAATAGCAGTGTTGATTACTCCAATTGCAAGACGGCCTGATCACTGTACACAAGTGACACCAACAACAGTTTTATGCTTTCCAGTATTCAAGCATTCAATCAAGTATTTTTCTATACCAGTATTTAAAGCAATCAGCCGTTTCAATAATGATATTGGATTTTTTAATTACCTCAATTCTCTACACTTCTACAATGGGTTCTGCTAACAAAAATAGATGAAAAGACTTACGAATTATTACAAACAGTTACCACCTTTCAATTACCATTATTTTCTATATTAAATGGTGGACACTATTCCAATCAAAGACAATATGCTTCATACAACAGGAAATAAGCCGCCCAGGATATAGTTTCAAAGAATATTTATAAGAACATAAAACAAACAAATCTTTTAGGTAATTAGTTTTCGAAAAATAAATCACTGATTACGGCATCGAGGTGACTGGTATTTTATATAAGGATAAGGAATTCACTTTGGAAAAGGCTTTAATTTGATATTTTGAGCAATTAGCAAACTTGACATAACCAGCTTTATCAGCGTCTCTCTTTATATCAATTCCTTAGGGTATATGTTTGTTTCATAACCAATAATAAATTCCTCCTTCAAACAGAGGTATCTATATAATCTCTGACTGACAAACGTAATTAACTACACTAAAAATACCCCATAATTGCCTTGTATATAGAATGTATAGCCACATGGCTCAGATCAAACCCCCAGCCCCATGTCTGAGTTCGGTCGTGACCACTACTGATAATTAGCTACCGTTTCACTCCCGTACATTTCATTCCATTAATTGGTTCTCGTTTGTTATGAAGAAACGCACCTTTTGCAGAAGGTGTTAATTCATTAGTGTGTCCTTTGATTGATTTAACGTAAGAGGAAACAACCACACAGTGCCAAGGGTAAAATCCTAATGAGAGTTTGTGTATTAACCTGCCAAGGAAATAATGTTAAAATTTCAACTATTAAATTTTTTGGCTTTCATAGAATATCAGACAAAAATGAATGTTTTTAATGTTTGAACCATATTGCAACGGCAAAAATAACTTATTGGATACAGAACGGACCTTTAGTTTAAGTTTCTCATTTCATAAACTTTACACTGGTCACTCAATAAGTAAATTCTTGTATACATGTTTTTATCGCCCTGGTCGCAGTGCAATCAGTAGGAAAATATAAGCTTGTTTGCAGAATGCCTATTCACGTACGAGGATACTTATTGAGGTTAACATGACTTTATTTTCAATGTGGACCCTCAATTTCACCCAATCGGATCTTAATACACCTGTCATACAATGTACGAACGGGTTTCCGTCCGTTAATTCTCTTCTTGTCATCGATCTACTACCATAATTTTCAAGTCGACTCCAATCAAACGTCTCAAGGTCAAGGTCACCGTTGCTAAAAATAGAACTTTGTTCCGATGTGCTGGTCCGGATTCAGAACAAATGACCACATAAAGGTTAAACTGGGTGTGGTGGTTGCCCTAGTGTTTGCAAATAAGCCTATTGAGTTTTAGCATGGAACGGTCAAGGTCAAACTGCTAAAGATACCTTTTTGGTGCATATTATCATACAAAGATACAACTAAATGTGTGGATAGTCCTAGCCCTAGCACATGCATTGCATCTTATTATGCTTCGCCTCGGGAAATAGACCTGGTCTCGGGACACCAGAAACTTGCTTTATCCCTCAACCCCATACTTTAACCGTTTTATTATACCGATACACACTGGAGAGATAGTTTTAACTAGAAAATATTTGTAAACCATAAGCTGTATAGCTTCACATCCCAACTACCCTTTTGATGGCGATGGAGCCAAATGCTTCCGAGTTCGGTAGCAAGCTCCACCGACCTCTCGCGTCACTGCCGAGTTCGGTAACAACCTCCGCCCACCTCTCGCCTTATTGGCTCGGCGGAAACACCCGAGTGTAGGTGTGTTTTAGTTCCCTGACTAACACACAGTCAGGCAAAAGTGGGGATATATTCGACTTAACCAATTACTTTTATATAGAGTTAATAAAGTAGAGGTATGATAAATAATTTTGCCATCGTCCACCAAAGGTCGTTTTCACAATGCCCAAACACGTGAATTGAATCAATCGTCTGCTGGGCTGAAACCAACGTGTATTACATACAATTACAAGGCTCAAACCCAAACGAATAACATGTAAATAGCAGCTACACAAATAGGGCTCAAACACGAAAATAACACATTCATCTACAGGGCTTATACATATATAGATAGCACGAATGTATGCATAGCATACAAAAACATGCGGATAGCATGTACATATATAGGGCTCGAATAAGGTACATATAATATAGGGCTCAAACACGTGGATAACCATTCATCTACAGGGCTTAAACATATATGGATAACACGTATGTATACATAGCATGAAAACACCAATAACACATTCATCAACAGGGCTCAAACAGATACGGATAACACTTATTATGTCTACATGGCATACAGAACATGAATATCACATACATACAGGGCTCAAACCCTACTTATATTTTGTGCTTGCATACATTTACCGGGCTGAAAGTTGAAATTGGCAGCTGATTGTCGTACCAGATGCAATAAATACCACAACGGCGTCTGAAATGGTAGTGCAAATCAAATCAGTAAACTATAATTGTTTACATCTCCGTCAGGACCAGACGACCGCAAACTTCGATAATGTCACCGGTATTATGATCATCCGCCTGAATTCATTTTCCTCTCGGGTGCTTTGATGTCTACCGTTCTCATCTCATCTTTCCAGATTACGTGTTTTAGATGTTTGTTCTGTTAGTTTTTATTTGGTATGGTTAAATAACGTATTCAGAAAATAAAATTACTAGAAATAAGCATAATCATTACCTTCATTTGTGTCTCTTTCTATAACATTGGTGTTCGCCATCTCCATCTCAAGTAAACTCTTTTAGAAAATCGTTCACACTTATCAAAACAGAAACGGGGTACATTTTCTACTTCATCTTTTCACTCCTTCCCGTAGCAACTCTCATGCATAATAACGACGTTGATGATAAGATGCGTGATTTTATACGACTACACGATATTTAAACAAACATAACTGTATGAAACAGACAAACAATCAATATGGTAGAAAAAAAAATGAAAAATAGCCTCTTGTGATATTGCTATACGTTTTAGATTCATGTTGTGACGTTTTTAAGAGTCATGCAAAATCATGGTGAGTGAGTAGATGCGTTATATTTGAACAAAGAGAAAATTGACCAATTACTAATTGAATGTTTTCAACTAAACTTAAGAAGGAAACCCTTTACATGTGCTTTGATTAAGTAAACGTGTGGTTTTCAAAACATTTTTACGATTGTTGAAGCACGTGCTAATGCTTTCCCCCTATAATGCATTTTGAAGATTCATGCTTTTATGACTTTGTGTTCAAAGTCCATCGTGTTATACGAATGTTGCCAAACAGATTCAGCGTACCTTATTTTTTAAATCTATAATCAGATTGAAAAAAATGTACAATAAAACCAATTAAATCCAAATATGGAAATGTTATTGAATTTGAATATTCTATATATCTCATGTTCTGATGTTAACAACGGTCATTGCAAACATCTAAGGCGACATTCTGCCGCTCATGGTTGGGTTTTCATGTAGCAATTAATGGCTTTTTCTTCAAAATAAATGGAAAAACATGTTATTTCAGACGGGGAAATGTCGATGGACGTGCATTATGCAGACTATATGAACAAATTGACGGAACACGCGGCTATGAAGGTGATTGTGGTCGCTAAAGTGATGGAGACTGGTCAAGTACACGTTTGGCAGGATGACTTCCGGTTGAGACGGCCTGATCTGTCGGTTGAGGTAACAACTTCATTAGTTACGGCGCAAGACGATCACTCATGTCGTCTTTTTATGTTCGAATGATTAAGCATTGTCTGGCCGAAGTTTAGAAAACGCAAACAACATATTGGAATCAAATCCGTCTGGACCTTTCTCGTCAAAGGACCTATTAGTGGTGGTTTTTTGTTGTTGATATCATGTAGGTGTGAACAAAATTTCTTCATGAACCAGGAGTAGACGACAAATTAAAGACAAAAACTGAAGAATATTTTATATGGCATATTATGATGTTATATGTTTGAATATTAGAAAGAAAGAAATGGTAGAGTTCCCTTGGAAATGTTTGCTGGTCAAATGATCCGATTTCAGAGAGAGGTGTTTTGGTTACTTGAAGAAACATCCATTGAAAGTAGTCGCATAGTAGCATAGGTCTTTCAAAAATAGGGTGTTTGGTAAATTCGTACTTGCAGAGAATTACCTGGAAACTTAACTTATCTAAGGTTTGCATGTCCTGACAACGACATCGTGATGATATGTTGATGCTTCATTTTAGTTTTATAATGTTTTTTCTGATGTTGATTGCATAAGAGAAAGTCTGTCACCTTATTGAATCAGCATTAGTGAGGGTTCTTGATATCGTTTTCTTCTTTTCAATATCTCCTCAGTTCCTGTTACGATTTGTAACGACTTGGACACACTACTGGAAGCAGAAGTATTGAAAGTATTGGTAATAATTGCTTTTGTGATATTTCAGATAACATCGCCCTCGTCGCGGACGTCGCAGCCTTTTGAATGTCGCATTTCGTTCCTGAATCCCCTAAACCAGAACCTCACGCGCTGTACATTGATGGTGGAAGGTCCGGGGCTTGACGCGGAAAAAGAATTCATTATTGCGTACGTATAGACTTTTTAACACATTTATGTTTTCTGGACTTTGTTAGTGTCATGTGAGCGACACCTATTTAGTTGTGCATGCCATATTTTGTGAGTTGCTGATATGTAATATATTTGACGAGTAGTTGGTGTGTGACATTCATGGCGAGTAGTTTATGTGAGTCATTAGGGGAGTTTCTGGTGGGTGGCTTACAAGTATTTAGTTAGGTGCAGACGTGTAACATATTCGAAGATAGGACAATACATAATATCTTTTGGAGCATCAAATTCGTCGACATTGTAGTTAAAACCATATGGCCGTCGAAGCGTTTTTGACACGTTAAAAGATTAGAAGTGGATCGGTCATGTACCAATAATAAGATTTTGATTCGGGTACCTTAACCACATACGTGTAGAATGTTTTCATGTCACTGAACAATTGTTCAGTTAAAAAATATTTGATTTCTTAAACTATTTTAAAACTAATCATCAACTAAAATCATATTAATAAGACAAAGTCATGCCATATTTGATTTTCAAATGGACTTTGATGCAGTTTATGACAAATGTATAGACTGTAATTTCACGATCACTTTCCATGGAAATACTCCCTTACTTATTCACGTATTATTTGCTATTCCAGAACCTGTTTTAAGTATAAGAAATTACTGGCTACATGCAGGCATTATGTTAACCAATCACCTTTTTAGTCTCGGTTTTCTTCTATATAATGACGAAACGCCAAGGTCGTCACCACGACTTGATACTGGACCTATGAGTTGTCATTTTCTATCGTGATAAAATATTATTTCACAAAGTCTTAGATTGTGTTAAGAAATGCTCACCCTTTCTTAGTTACTGGTTCTGCATTAGGATTTTCGTAGTAGTTCATGTTTGCAGATGTGTTGGTCTCTTCTCAGTTTATGTTTGTCTTTTTTGCAATATTATTTTGGTGTCTTCATTTCTTCCTCTTTTCTTTCGTATTATTGTGAGAGTGTTTCCGCAGTTATTGCTGTTGTTGTGTTTAGCTATGGGTTGTTCTCTCTCCAGTTCTTGTCAGTCTTTTAGCTTTGTAGTGTTTTGCTGCTGCAGTTTTTGTGTTGTCATTTTGGTATCATCTGAATTCCTGTTGTTGTCGTTTCTATTTGTAATTGAATGCCTTCTCAGGTCCTCTCCTTATTACATGTATATACACTTTACTTATTATTGATTTGTTCTAACGAATAACCTTTTATTTCTGATTTTTTGTTTATATCAAGGAGTGTTTGCATCTACTCTTCTGTTTCAACATTAGTTAAGACCAATTTGGAATAACATTTGTTTGGCCCATGGCATCACCGGCGAGTCATAGAAGGGAAAACCGCCATCTGTATGGTGCAGTGTTATCATTTATTTGACATACTGTTTCTGTAAGGAAATTGTATAGGTGTAATCACGTGTGTGTGTTACGTTCCTCATGTTTCCTTAGGATTTCCAACTTTGTCCTGACGTGTTGACGGTTTAGTACTTTTTTTTATTTTGCGCTTGATACATGTACATTTATTGTTCACACATGTGCAACCAATCCCACTATTTACCCTAGGGCGAAATAAAGTTGTGATGTGACGTCACATAGGATATATTTATTTTTTGTAAAGTACAGGTTTCAGACATTAATAAGCAATTACTGTAGTTCTGTTGAGGAAATGAGAAATCCCACTCGATCTGCTCAAGAAGATAGGCACGTGTGTCCAGAATTCGGCAATCGTCCAAGACAAATAAAATGCAAACCTCAATGTTTGAGATTTATCCATCCGACACCGTACAAAGTGATAATAAAATCCATAACCAGTCATTCACCAATGTGTCATGCCACGTTCTACTAAGCTTTCGTATTACTATTTGAAGACTATCGCCAACTGTGTGCTCCCACATTTTATAACTAGTAATCTACATGAAGTTAAGCATTTAAAACACGTGCATCTTTAGCTTTCAGTTTTCAAGCTTTTGTCTGTTTTCAGTGACGTAGGCGCTGGTGAAACATGGGTTGCCCTTTTGACCCTAACTCCAAAGAAACCAGGACGTCGACAAGTGGCCGTGACTTTCAACTGTGACCAGCTGAAGGACTTAAATGGTGTTACCGAAATCAACATCACGAACTGATCGAGTGACCGATACTAGCATCACAGACAGTCATCTGTACATCTATTTAAAGCTTCAAATGCAAATATATCAATAGTTGGATATAATAGCCATAAGTCAGTGTAATCAACTGTGCATTTGATACAGTGTACGTAACATTGGAAATCGACCGCATTGTATACGTAACGTATAAGTTGCAATGTGCAATGTCGTTTTAAATTCACGGTGAAAGGCACAGACGATGGTGTTTTTTCTCACGACCCTCCACCCCCAACCACACACTTAATTTCATTGCGATAGAATGTTTTACTTTACACAGTTACACAACAGGATATTATAAATATAAAATCCGTACCCATACCGTTAGCTTGTGACCATGTATATATTACAAAAAAGCTTTCTATAATGTAGATCAACGTAAATGTGTAAACGTAAATGATATCCAGTTGAAGCTGGAAGATTTGAAACGTATGGCAGTGTAGTGCCCCCTCCCCAGCCTGAGAATTGCAGTGTAGTGCCACCCTCCCCNTCAATGGATCCGCCACTGGTATTGTATACTTTGTAGATTATGCTGAATAAAGTATATATTTATTTTATATATCAAAACATGTTGCTTGTCATATCTGATAATTTAATTGATTTTTAAGTTCAAAAGAATTTCGAATGCAGAGATTATGTACATGAATATTAAATCGGACGATAAACGCCACGCTGATTGAGCAATGCTAACGTTTCAGAACAACAGGTTTCTTCTCTGGTTCATTATGTAATTTATTCTGTCGTCACCTCATCAGTCTTGGAGTTCAGATTTATGTCAATAATTTGCTAATTCACTCAACGCAAACAAAAAATTAATGTGAGCATTATCACACCGCAATAAGTTCCGCTAAATATGTATCTGACAAGGTTACTTTTTACCGATATGTGAATCAACAAGAGGCCCAATAGGCCTGAATCGCTCAACTGGTATTAATCTCACACTTGTAATCTTAAAAGTGGACTAAAATATAGCTAAAGGCAGAATATCAGTGTTTGATTCATAAGAACCTATTAAAAGATTTAAACATATGACGCCTGTGACCTTGAATGTCGAACAAGGACATTAGGTTGAACAGAGTTATAGTCTTCAAACACTGCATGCTTTTGGCAAATTATTTTAAAGTAATTTAAAGATTTAAACATATAATGACCACTGTGACCTTGAATATGGGCGAAGGTCTTTCATTGTAACAAACTGGGTAGTCCTTCATCGCAGAATGCTTCTAGCCAAATATCATCATCCAAGGCATTTTGGTTTTTGAGAAGAAGTTGTTCAATTGTTTAAACATATTTGATCCCTGTGACATTGAAAATACATGAAGGCCATTCGTTTGAACAAACTTGATAGCCCTTCATCCAAGCATGTTACTAGCCAAATATCATTAACCTATTACTCTGGGGTATTCAGAAAAAGTTGTTTAAAGGTTTTAAACATATTTGACCCCTGTGACCTTGGAAATTGGTGAAGGTCATTAGTTTAAACAAATTTGGTAATCATTCCTCCCAGCATGCTCCTGCCTAAATATCATCATCCAAACCCGATTGTTTATTGAGAAGAAGGTTTTTTTTTTTTATATTTGACCCCTGTGACCTTGAAAAAAGGTGAAGGTTATTTGTTTAAATAAACTTGGTAGCCCTTCATCCCAGCATGTTACTGGCCAAATATCATCATCAAATGCCTTTTGGTTATTGAGAAGTTGTTTAAAGGTTTAAAGCATATTTGACCCCTGTGACCTTGAAAATGGGTGAAGGTCATTTGTTTGAACAAACTTGGTAGCCCTTCATCCCAGTATGTTACTGGCCAAATATCATTAACCTATGCCTCTTGAGTATTCAGAAAAAGTTGTTTAAAGGTTTTAAACTTATTTGTCCCCGTGACCTTGAAAATGGGTGAAGGTATTTTGTTTGAACAAAGTTGTTAGCTCTTCATCCCAGCATGTAACTGGCCAAATATCATCCTCCACGGCCATTTGGTTATTGAAAAGAAGTTGTTTAAAGGTTTTTAACATATTTGACCCCTGTGACCTTGAAAATAGGTGAAAGTCATTCATTTGAACAAACTTTGTAGCCCTTTATCCCAGCATGTTACTGGCCAAATATCATTACCCTAGGCCTTTTGGTTATTCAGAATAAGTCGTTCAAAGGTTTTAACATATTTGACCCCAGGTGACCTTGAAAATAGATGAAGGTCATTCATTTGAACAAACTTGGTAGCCGTTGATTCCAGCATGCTACTGGCCAAATATCATCACCCTAGGCCTTTTGGTTCCTGAAAAGAAGTTGTTTAAAGTAAAAAGTTGATGCCGGACAGACGGTCTGACGCCGGACCATGGCATAAGCTCACTTGCCGTTTGGGCAGGTTAGCTAAAAATGTAAGGCACTATTATGAAAATACTCGGTTGTGACAATTTCCTCTGCTGTCAGCTCTAATATACAAGAGGCCAAGGGACCTTAATAGCTCACCTGGTATTTTATTTTTCAATTTAAAACCTGCTGAGTACCATACAGGTTTATCAAGGGAGTACAAGAAACAAAGTTGCAAAAAGAACTACATTTAAATATTTTTTGGTGGGAAAGACAAAACTATACCTACTTGTATAGTGGGAGAAAAAAAAATCCTCTATTTCACCTATTTGGCCCCGCCCCCATGCCCCCAGAGGGGCCACACCCGAGATCTGTTTAAAAATACAAACTTGAGGCTCCTTTGTCCAAAGATGCTCTAGAACAAATTTGGTCAAAATCCTTCCAATGGTTGAGAAGAAGAAGATTTTTAAAGATTTACCTATTTTCCCCCTATTTGGACCCCCGCCCCTCTGCCCCCAGGGGGACCATACAAAACTGAGAACCATTTGGCCAACATGCTCCAGACCAAATTTGGTCAAAATCCCTTCATCGGTACAAAAGGAGAAGGATCTTTGTTGTTTTCCTCTATTTCCCCTAATGGGCCCCACCCATCTGCTCCAAAGAAGGGGGCCCACACATCTCAGTTTATACAAAGTTGATTATTTTGTCCTTTATCATGCTTCAGACTGCATTTGGTTTAAATCCCTTCACTTGTATAGTAGGAGAAAAAAATCCTCTATTTCCCCTATTGAGCCCCGCCCCCAGAGGGGCCACACCCTCCATTTATACAAACTTGAGTCTCCTTTGTCCAAGGATGCTCTAGGACAAATTTGGTCCAAATCCTTCTATTGGTTGAGAAGATTTTAAATATTTACCTATTTTCCCCCTATTTGGCCCCGCCCCTCTGCCCCCACTGGGACCATACCCTCTGTTTACACAAAACTGATAAACCTTTGGCCAATGATGCTCCAGACCAAATTTGGTCAAAATCCTCTGAGCCGTTCAGGACTAGTAGCGTTTTAAAGGAAAAAGTTGACGGACGACGAACGCTGCGCCATGGCCTTTGGGCCAGGTGAGCTAATACATAGAAGTTGGTTATAGATTAACTACAAAAGGGAATTGACATTATGGTAAGCGATACCCGCTTTTAACAAGAGGCCCATGGGCCTTTACGGTCACCCCGAGTCCTACAGTATTTATTTTTGTTGTTGAAATATGTACCAATTTGAGAGAAAAAAATAAGTACAATGTATAATGTTAACCTAAGTTTGTTAGGACCATGAGGTAAAGCTCAGGTGACCTAAAAATGGTACTTTGATGTTCCCTTTTGACGTTCCGGTTTCAATGGGCGGTGTTGTATCAGAATATTGTGATAGGGAGGGATTTACTGTGTTATTTTGTCCAGATGCAGCATTCCGAGTGTGGTGACACACTATATAGTAGTGTTAACATTGTAGACAGTCCTTGTATGACCATAGTTGGACCAATGACCTTAAAAACGTACCAAATCTAGGATATTCTGATGGAATAAATCGATTTCATATTTTTTTTTATATCTTTTGAACCTGATATATCTTGATGAACTCATCAGCCAAATAGTATGGTTACCTTATGTTTATTTGGCGATATTGACAAAAAAAATATACTTCATTTGGGAAAAAAATGGTTTTCATCTACTTGGAATACATTTCAAATGTTGCTCTCTGACGATCAAATAATGTATGCCATAGTGTTGCAATAAATTACACTATACACCAAAAACGAGTTATGTAACAAATAGTTTTATTGTGGCTCTCTCATATAGTGTCTGACGATATTCCAGATCTGGATATATAGGCATATTGCCTGCGTCCAGTATTATTATTATTATTATTATTTATTATATAAACCAAGAGTGTAACAGTCTGTATAATGTTATGTGGTAGCAAAAAGGTACAGCAGTCCCTTCAGGAAGCCAAACACCTCACTCTGTCCTAGCTTGGATTCACCATACACTCGGTCAACAAAGGTTATTGGTACCTGTAACAAAAAAAAACGATATGTTAAAACACCTGCATCCCATTAATAAAATGTATTTCAAATATCATGCCAAGTATAAGACCTTATTTTTAACACTAACATAACTAATATTTTATGCAGACATTTCTGGTTCAATGAAAATTCTCTTTATACGTTATATGCATTTCTACATGCATAATCCTCACACAGGTAGCAAATGTAGGCAACGTAATTATACAAGAAGCACAAACCAAACCAACTAGTGATAATACTGATGTCCAGATATACCTACCTCTCCTATAGAATAGTTGAACTGTCTAGCCCGAATAATCATCTCCATCTGGAAAACGTAGCCCTTGGACACACATGCCTCCACCAGCTTCTGAAGGACCTCTTTCCTGTACAGTCTATAAACATTGTCAACATTTTATAGCTACAAAACAATACTTTATGAGGATTGACATCAAGGTTTGAGGTATGTAATATCTAACAACCCGGAGACTACATATTTTATGTAAATCACTCATGCGAGGGAATCTGTCTTGTCATTGAGAGAACATCTCAAAACCCATTATCAGTTACACTACCACTTGCCCTCTGTGCTCATAAAGCCTTTGTTTTAGTTAAATCAGGTAGTATATAATCTCACTAATTAAGTTTATTACTACTGCCACACCAACAATTAATTATGTACTTGACATACCATGTACATCAAAATCAATATTTTGTCTATCAGATTTTTATCTCACTTTGTCATATCTACTGACCTAAAGCTGCCGGTCAGATCTGAAGCTCCAGGTCTCAGTAACACCTGTGTTATGTAGTTTGCTGTTCGGCTATTTAAAATAAAATAGAATACAACATAAACATCTGTTATTTGCGATGCAGTTGTTAAAAGTTACAATTCCTCTGACACCAGTCTTAGATTAATTAACAATTCCATTAAGGACATCTGCATTGCTAGCAGCATCAATCCTATATATGGGATAAGTCTACAACACTCAACTCGGTACACTCAACTGCAGCATGTGCAGATGTGTGCATATGGCCATATAGATGATGCATTATGAGATCAGGATTTTCTCACAACTCACTAATGTAATGAGTCGATATAGACATAGGCAGCTGGTGGCTAGATAATACAATTTTGTACGAATTTCTTCCCGTGTGTCAAAAATAAAAATAAATACAATTTGTTGACAAGACAAACCTGGCATATATATTACACTTATTCCTATACCTTCTAATTAATAATATCCAGCAGTTATACAAACCACATTATCTTAATGTAGATAGAATGATACATGTACATGTAGGTATCATTTTTTTTAGTTTGGCAACCAGAGACATGAGACTTGACATACCTGACAAGTTTCCGCTTGAAGTCCCATCCAAACACTCCTCCATTTCCTATATACCTTGTACCCGACACAAGATCAAAATCTCCTTCCTTCTGTTTCCTTTAGAAAACAATGGATAGGTTTTTGTTACTATCAGTATATGATCTGAATAATTTTATACCTATAGTGAACATAATACACAATAGTTTTTAAAATTTGGAAATAGAATAACAAAATATTAAATTAATTATAAGAACTTACTTGATGAATTCTGGAATGAATTTCGGCTGAAAATAAATAATAACAAAATAAAAACCTCAGTATTATAGTGTGATACATGAAGCAGTATAAACAAGCAATCCAATAAAAGTACCGGTAAGATCTCAATCTTTATATTGCATAATTGCTTTTTTGATATCCTATATAATACAGTGACTGTTTGATTAAGTATATTGGTGCATATGATCATGAAGCCATTTTACTTTACTTTAATTTAGATATAGGCAAGTGTACTAACTATATTAAACATAACTGTACATAATACATTTTTTTCAAATTTCTTTACATTGAGGGCAAATTCATCATAACCATAAACATGGGTACAAAGCATGCACACTATACTGTCAGTGTCTATACACAGTATTTCCAGGAAAAATCAGCATTGGACAAATTTGGATTTGGCCAGTAAAGGGTATATACTTAACGAAGCTGAAATATTCTAGTATACAGAATTACATTGCAATATCACAGTAAGAGTACCTTATTGTTAAAGTCATTACAATTTACAGTAATGTCATAATCAAGACCGTGCTATTTTTCATGAATATCAAAAGAGTGCTGAGATTGATCAGATCCTAGCACAAAGATGTCAATCCTAAATAGCAGTTAATAAGGGGAGGAAACTCTAAAGCAGATTCTTTACTGACAACAGTTAAAATAAGTGCAGATTTTCCCCAAGCTTAACATATTTGTCCATGATGATGCCTTAGTTTAAGAAGTTTCAATACATCAGTAATATCAATATATATACATTGTTGTGTAAAAAAATATCTACTTTGTTTTTGTCCTGAATTGGTAACCCAGCTAAGCATGGCATTTTTGGCCCAGGGCCCAGAAAATATTCTATGGCACAGCACTTATCAGTGGTTTATATGGGTGTAAATACAAAATTGATTTTTGATAGATTTTATTCAAGTGTCTCATCAGTTACAGATGCTTAACATGAAAATGCAGTTGAACAAGATTATATAAAGACACTCACATGGTGTGACATATCAGCATCCATTAAAATCACGAAATTTCCTGTTGCATGTTTTACACCATGAATGTAGGCTGTGCCTGAAAGAAATGTTCACACATTTTATTTCTAAAGTGCTGTGTTATAACGTGCATACCCATGTCGTAATTTTGAGTATACGATCATGTTATCACACCTATTATGACATCAGAACTAAAACAATAGACATAATGTCTGATCCTTTGGCTTTTGGCGTTGTGTCATCACAAAGAAGACAATAAGTAATGTAGCCCTAGTTTCCTCTGGCCCCAACACCAGACTTAGACATTTTGACAGATAGATGTCTGGTGTGACATCTATCTGTCAAATTGTCTAAGTCTGTGGTCGTGGCCAGAGGAAACTCAGGCTATACACAATGGTGAGCACAGATGAATGGTCTATTCAAAGACCTATCTAATGTGTCATCTCTCTGAAATATCATAACCTGGACACAGAAGCATGACCTGTACACCACACATGGTCAAATTCTGACAACGGGCTAGCCAAAGAAGCCTAGGAAAACATCGCTAAAAAAGGTAGCAGTAAGTATGTATACATGTAAAAGAGAAAAGAAAAGACAAAGGTCCTAAGTTTTGTAAAGTAGATAGCCAGTCAGTTTTGGTTTCCCAGGTGCATCCTAACCAAAAGAAAACCCTCAATTTTGTCCGGGGTCCCATATTATTCACATAAATGAATAAGATTGTGCAGTGAGATACCAGTCAGGTGAAACTGTAATTTTAGAGGCAAACAAATCACAGGTTTGAAATAAAGTATCCTGGTAATTTCAATTGGTGTTTTCAGGCAACGCGTTTACAGGGGGCCTTGTAACTTTTTATGTTTTATATAATAATTTTAAAATTTTAAATAAAAGGTAATCCTTTAAAAACTCAAAGCAGTAAAAAAGTCTTCATTACTCAGGAAGCTCCACCAAAATAATACATTGATCCTCATTAATTCCTGTAGTTGACAAAATATTTGAGTCTTCCCGGATTTACTTTAGTTAACTGTTCGGTTTGCTTCACTATATCTAACTAAAGAAAACAGCTGCATCACTATGATGTGTATAGTAATTTCTTACCCAGTCCAAGTTTCTTTTCTCTTGGTCTTAACACCTAAAAACAAAAATAAGTAGACAATATATTGTTTGTATTTAGCTAGAGCTTAATGAATTCATCTCAGTATATCATATTCCATAGGAGGAGAAAACTATAAAATACTATATTAAATATACAAATAACTTTACTTTATTGATGTCAGTGATGTAAATGTCATCATTAGCACCCACAGCTGAATTCCAATTGATACATTCTTTGAATGCAATAAGACTTTGGCAGACTGCTTCATTTAAGGCCAGTGCAATGTAGATATAACGTAAATACAATGTACCTGTACATGTTTAAATACAATGTACATGTACATGTTTAAATACAATGTACATGTACATGTTTAAATACAATATACATGTACATGTTTAAATACAATGTACATACATGTACATGTTTAAATACAATATACATACATGTACATGTTTAAATACAATGTACATGTACATGTTTAAATACAATGTACATGTACATGTTTAAATACAATGATTCGTTATCTGTCAGTGCATGTTTATTACAAATCATTAGTTGAATTTATACCTTAGATTGAACTATTGGAATTGTGATTAAAATATATAGACAAGGAGATAAAAGCTGAAACTGTTAAATCCAAGATAACTTTGAACAAGAGTTTAGCTTACAATTTTATCTTTGCCATAAATCTTTTCCAGTTGTTTTGCTGCCTCCAGTGTTCCATCAGGACTTCCATCGTCAATGATGATGATCTCAAAGTCATATCCACTGGAAACAAAAACACAACCTCAAAAGTTCAAATGGTACTCAAATAAATATATTAAAATAAAATAAACCTAATTTATTTTACAACAATTATGAAACAAGTTATTTCAACTTATATTAATCACTCTTGTTGGCTCGGATGTTAGTGCGAGGGGGGGTCTTAGTGTGGGAGGAAACCGGAGTACCCTGAGAAAACCCACGTGGTCGGGCAGGTGACCCTAAACCTTTATGGGTATATAAATGTAAATATATTAAACAATTAGATCAGATCTAAAGTAACTTTCATACAACTTTTAATTTGTTAACATTTAAAAAAGATATCATAAACATGGCCATTGTGCTTCAACACTTTTATTATTGTACAAACAGAATATTTTGCAGCCAAAATTTTTATTTACTGCAAATTTATTTCAAACTTAACACTTTAAATTTTGTTATTTTCAATTTTGGTGTTTTATCATAAACCACATTTTTTTCTATTTGGCAGCTTGATTAAATGAAGAATGTTTATCTATAATGTACCCATATCTGTTATTGTTTTGGTACTTATATGAGTATCATCAATAGAAAAGCCTCTGTTCACAGCTTATACATGTATAAATGCAAGTACAATGTAAAGGTATTGATAGCTTCATACAAAAAACGTCTCATAATCAGTACTAGTGCTGATTGAAGGTATACTGGTACATTGCACTTGTATGTCTTACACTACCGTACTACCGGTAGTCAAACTACATGTAAAACAAGAAGGTTGATGGGCCTATACACACATATCTCTCACCTGAGATTCAATGATAATTTGCCAATGTGTTTCACATTTGTGAATTTAAAAGTGGGTCAAGGCCAAATACATTTGAAGAAACTAGTTGGCAAAACAAGCTAAGATCCCTTAGCAAACAAGCTAATATCACAGGCTTAATAGCATAACTCTCAATGTAATATGAATTGTTGATGGGAGATTTAAGTTTGTTTTACTATTGGGACTTTCCAAATTGGCCAGGGCTACTTAATAGTGCATTATTCATTACATACAGTTACAGGCCAGGTGTTGCTAATTTCAAAAAATATCGTCTAAAAGGTTTCACACATTTGACCCATGTGGCCAAAAAAGTAGATTATTTACAATTTCAATCCAGCATAATAGGGGTTAAATATCAGGACCAATGATAAAATGTTCATAAGCTTTAAGTGTGGCAGGTTTTAATAATACTTGGATTATGCCTTCTAGCTTACATTGGAAGGAATTTCCCTTTAGCACAATTTGCACAGCAGCAGACTGAGAAGCTGGGGGTTATACAACTACGGAATCCTGATGTTGAGGCTCCGTCGTTTATATCCTTAATATCTTTTCTTTTACAACGAGTGTCTTTGGCCCTCCTGTACATGTGGTGACAGCTAGGGAGTTGTATTACATGTAGAACCTGGGTTACTGTGGTGTTCGAGGGCGAACACATTTAAAAAGGGAAGGGAGTACTGTGGCAGCTAGCTAGGTTGTAATTAAAATTTGTATACAATTACAGTCACCTTCTAGCCTCGTGCTTGAGGGAATTTCCATTTAGCTCAATCCTTAGAATAACTGACTGGGCAACTGGGGTCACGGTTTCAATCCACTATACATAAACTCCCTTTTCTGTTACATACTGTACATAAATCGTTAACTAGTTCAGTACTTACTTCTGTGGTTACATAGTCAAATATAACTATACTTATCAATCATGGTCGCAATTTCCTCATGCTCACTAAAAAATTGGTGGACAGGTACATTGTAAGTTGCTTATAAAAAGTTTTTTTATCAAATAAAGTAATAACCCAATTTCTGGTGACACTTAAGCTTGCATCTTTTATCCTTTGTATCTAATGATTTCACAGGAATATTAACAATTTCTGTATCAAAACACCAAATATTTCACTCCCTCTCAGCACATAAACAACTTTCACTGCATGTTATCAAGCACACATGAGGCACCAATCGGCATCTATACAGGATGCTTATCTTTGGGAAGACATTGACGCCATATAAGAGAGACACACGCTGTACTTTTATAATAAGGGACACATAATGACATGAAAAAAATGCAACGATGGAAATTCACCAAATCAATTAAAATTGTGTAATCAATAATCTTTTATTTCACCAACTCACCTGTTTGGTCAACAATTTAATTGACGTGCAAAGATAAATATTACCAGTAAGGGGTTGTTTGTTTACATTCGTCCTATATGTGTATAGTCATATTTGACTATATAGCCGAATTTGCCTTATACATATATAATATGGGGTGCGACGAATCACCGAAACGGACCGAATCGGACTGAAACGGAACCGAAACGGACCGAATCGGACCGAAACGGACCTAAACTAAACCGAAACGGAGTCGAAACTAAACCGAAACGGAGTCGAAATGGAAACCATAAGCTATTTAAAGGGACTTCAATACAGTTTCGTTCCGATCGGGGTCCGTTTTGTTCACACACAATCTAAACTGTATTGAATTCCCTTTGAATAGCTTATGGTTTCCATTTCGACTCCGTTTGACAATAATACATGTTGGAACAGGATGGACATTAGTATTGTAAATTAATTATGTCATTAATATCGGTAATACATTTAGCCATTGATGTCAATTCATGTTGTGTTACATAATTGAATAATGTATGATATTTAAATGTGCCATAATTTCACATTCTCCAGACAAAATTAAAATAATAAAAAAAGAGGGAAAAGAAAACTAACCCATTTAAAACAATTCGGTACACAAATAGAACACAATTATGTTGAAAATGTTGATATAGTTATCCACTTTTAAATCTTAGAACCATTTACACAAAATTTAACAGTGTGTCTATACCGCCACAAGTATTTTTTATGCTGTGATAAGTATGGATTGCTCATTTAAATGGACAACTTTATCAATATTTTAAGCGTTTAATAAATTGAAAATAATATCAAAATGAGCCAAGAAATCCAACGGAGAAAAAATTAATAAAAGGGGGAAATTAACGTAACGTATAAAAAAATGCGATGTCTCGTCACTGCATATGATATAATTGCCTTTCTAATGTGTGAAGATCTAGTCATGTGCTTGTATTTATATAACATAGATACATGCATTATTGTATGTATTTGGCATATATAATATACACAATATATAGGCCTACACGACAAATAAAGAAACACAGCTCAAATTTAACAAAGAGAACCACATTTACAATTTCGTTTCGGTTCCGATCGGGGTCCGTTTTGTTCACACACAATCTAAACTGTATTGAATTCCCTTTGAATAGCTTATGGTTTCCATTTCGACTCCGTTTCGGTTTAGTTTCGGTCCGTTTCGGTTCCGTTTCGGTCCGATTCGGTCCGTTTTGGTGATTCGTCGCACCGTATAATATGCATTACCAGGTCCAAATCTGGATATTTTTGTGTTTCGATCAGTCTAACACCTGTGGGTAGAATAGTCTCTGTACATGGTTTAAAGGTTCCGGATTCGATTAACTAAGTCCTGTTACATATTTAATTATATAAATATAACTGCTTTCCTATGTATCATGAAGTTAATTGATGGTGATGCCATTCCCCACTTATTTTACATCATCCACAGGGTCACGTTACAAATGTCTGAAATACACATATGCTATACTGATATGGGTCACAACACATATTGTGTGTTGTGACCCGTATCAGTATAGCATATGTGTATTTCAGACATTTGTAACGTGACCCTGTGCATCATCACTGATATATCGACCTGTCGACTGCCATTTGGCAGTGACACCATGAAGTGCATGCCATAATAATATTATAAATAGCAGCGTAAATATGTCCAAATATCAACATCGTAATCCTCACCTTTCCGTGAAGTATTTTACAAGTAACCAGACAATCAGGGGCAGGTTTTCCCTCTCGTTATATGTCGGCAGCAGTACCGAGTACTTGTCTTTTGACGCCATGTTGGCAGGGTCAAAGGTCAAAGGGAGACATCTATTTAAGTGATCATAATTTCAAATATTGTACTGTAATATTAATGACATATTTAAAAGAAGTTTAATAGTAATATAATAGTTGTATTTAAAGAAATACAGTAGTAGTTTTAACTATTGAAGTAAGAATGTAAACCCTTTTTTAAATCTCCAAAAATAATCATTTCTCCGAACCGGAAATGACCATTGACCCCGGAAATTTGTAGGCAGACGATGGGGTTATCCGATCTGTCGAAACAATAATGTTTCATAGTTATCTATAGAACAAAATGACGTTTATTGAAACTGATACAGCAGCGCAAGAAAGGTAAAATTTTCATACAAATTTCGTTTAATTCTACGAAAACGATAAGGCATCCTTATTCTAATTATATTACTACTAAGTCAGTAAGTGTGGTAACATTTTTGTAACAGCCAAACAGGTCATGAGCTGCAATGTCATCATCATCACGTCCTGATGTTTTCAGTTTGTCACATGGTGACATCATGATATGCTAATATGATTATATACCATTAATTATTAGTAACGGTCTAGTAATCACTCTTAACGAAAAGTACTGAATAACAGTAAGTCATTCAGCACTGATAACATCCAATAAACTACATTTACTGATCATTGATACATGTAATTAAAATGAAAACAAAACACATACAGCACAGTACATTACAGTAGGCATGCCTCCAGCAGCTGTCAAGAGAACACTAATCGAAAAAGCATGGAAAAATGGGATTTTTTACTTTATATGTTATTCTTATTACAACTTATATTAAAGCTTCTGCAATTTAGCTTCTGCACTGGACAGTTAATTGTAACAGCTAAGGAATTTGAGGGGAAAATACTGCCTTACTGGCAAGCTAGCTTTTCAAGTGATGCATTATAACGTAGGGTCCCGCTCACTAGTCCAGCAATGTTGAGCATGGTCAGTAGTTGGATGGAAGAACAAACGCACGTTACATTTGGTGGCAGCATGGTGACTCTGTGCGATCATGTAAGGCCAGTTCCTGGTGGTTAGGGAAGGTGCATTGATGCACAGGGATCCGGAAGGACCAATGGGATTCCCCAGGCCAAGTCTCGGGACAAGACTTCTCGTAAGTTGATTGATTGATAGGTTTTACGTCCAATTCACTACTGAGGAGTTCAGTTATCCAGCAGCAGAAGAAAAGATGGGAAAATGAGTAGAAGTAAAGTATGGAGTGAAGGGATAGAAGAGGGAGACAGGGAAGAGAAGGAGTCGTCTATCCTTTATGTATTTACTTTATAAGTCTAATTTTTGTAAGATGGCTCCAATTCCTAATATTTGCCTTAACACATAACACTAGCCGTATTATAAGCAGCACCAAGTGAGGTAAAAAGCCACCAACATCCACACCAGCTCCTAACTATTCTATAAATTTGTTTTGTACATATATTTAAGAAGTCCTTCTAAATCTCTTAATAAAGAGAACCTAGTTGTAACGGCCAAAAATAAAGCTAACCCTATCCTCTGTGCTGGCGTAACCACGCCTGCTCTTTTTCGAAAAAACTCAAGAGGGTTTTTTCCATGCGAGATTGGACAGTTCTCACATGGGCCACCATTTATTGTCCCATCCGACGGACTGTGTGTTAGTGGTTAGTGGTAAGAGACATGCAGGTGCTGTTTTTTGTTGTCTGTTCATGTAATCCGCTCTTCATCATTCTTCATTATAAATAAAGCTTACTGTACTTTACCAATATCCTCTTACTTAAAAACCTCATCATGTCTTTCACTGTGGTTCTATTCATCATTCCAACTTTTCATGTTTTTTAATGTATAGTGTGATTATTAGTAATATCTTGCAAAACAATATTTTACCCATGAAAGGTTAAATACCAAAGTCTTGTCAAAAAATGTTTTCTTCCCTTTAACAAAATCTAATATACATAGTTAAGATACATCATTTTAACTCACAAGAAATAAAAAGGGAAATTTATTTCTTGCCAAACCAAAGTCTAAGTTTGACATTTATCCGAAAATGAAATTGTCAAGCTGAATGCTTTTCGAACTACTAGAAAAATACTGCAGAAAAATCATCAAACATTTCACTCACTAAAAATTTAATCACTTGCAAAACTTTGCTGATTAAATGAACAAATGCAACCAATAGCAAATACTCACAGTAAAAGACAAATTATCAATGATGCATATAGAACTAAGGATATCTTCAAGGTTTGGGTAATACAGTATCAATAAATAAATTGCTCAGATATTTCTAACCACATAATAAGTATTTTGATCAACTTATGATTTATATACATTTACAATGTATATTGTTGTGTTAAGTAAAACCAAAATTCAATAACATTTTATTTTATTCTGAAGGTTCAATCTCCTGCTGCTGGAACCGGGAGAAATCTATTTTGAAGACTTCAGTGTATTTTTTTATCCAAGTAATCTGTCAGAAGCTGAAGCCATCAAAAGGTGATATATTTTTCAAGTACCAGTACAGAACTTGTGTATAGTTTGATATGCATATACATTGTATGTATTGAAAGTTTATGTTTTTTTTGCTTAGGATTAAAATGCGAACATTCTCTGGGCTCATTTAGCAATCAAATATAAATGGTATTTTTAGGTCACCTGAGCTTTGCTCAAGTGACCTATTCCAATCACTTTCCGTCCGTCGTCGTGCATCGTGCGTACACTTTTTACATTATCAACTTCTTCTCAAGAACCAGTGGATGGAATCTTTTCAATCTTGGTCAGAATCATCCTTGTTAGATGAGGCTACCAAATTGTAAAATTGGGATCCCTACCCCAACCCTAGGGGCCAGGGCAGGGAAAATTAACCAATATTTCAAAAATCTTCTTCTCCAGTCTCAGAGGTATTACAGTCATTTTCTCTGCATGAATGGAAAGATCATCAGCAGCTTTATTTAAATTGTAAATTTCAGAACCCCCGAGCTATTCGTTCTCCCTTGGGGAGGGGGTAAAGTTTACTATAGTTTGTATAGGGAAACAACACTTTTGGGTATATTTTGACAATTTTCTGTTGGAAATTATTTTTACTTGGTGAGAATTATCCTTGGAGGAGGAAGATGGTTTTAAATTGTAAAATTGGGATTCCTACCCCAACCCTAGGGCCAGGGCGGGGCCCAAAACGGAAAATTAGCCAATACAGTACATTTCACCTAATATCACGTCGCTTAATGTCACTTTTCGGTTATTATCATTTTTTTTGATGCCCCGTTTTTCCTGCTATATAATCTATGCAATTCAAATTTTTTATTATCACCTGATTTTATGTCGATTTATCTTAATATCACTTTATTTTGGCCACTGTCACAAAAAAAATGCAGGTAAATGGTGGTAATGATTCATGATAAATGCCCTGGAGACCTTCTGTCACACCCTGGACGCGTTATGTAAACAATGCCTGGCAGGGTATTTTTTACACCTGGCTGACTGTCAAACAATAGGTTACACCTGGCTGAGTGTTAAACAATAGGTTGACTTACATACTTGTTAACAGGATATTCACCTGTGGTTGGGGGAGCTAGGACAGTCTAACATCTGTAAACTTTTCTAATGCCAAGTGTGATGTAATCTTTCAACTAATTATATCATGTGTACTATCTTCGATTACACACTTGCAGCAAATATCTAAATAAATTAAACTATAAAAAGATGTTACTAGCGAAAGAACAGTATATATATATCAATATAAAAGTAAATATTTACCAAGTCTCATGTTTACAATTGAATTTGATGCAGAATACCAGCCAAATACTTGTATGCCTACATCACTACTGCAGTAAACAATCATAATTATGATCGTACTGATCGTCATTTTGCTACTAACTATATGAAATGTAACTGCATACTGAAATGAAATACAAATAATATATTTATTTCTATACTTATTTACTTATATCTATATTTCAACTAGAGTAAAGAACAAGGTTAGTTACAAAATATCAATCTTCTTCGTAGAGCCACATCACTTAGGCATTTTACTAAGTTCACTTCCGGTTTTGAGGGCTGAAAAACGTCAGAAAATATTTATTCTGTTAATGTCATGTTTCTGTTAATATCATGTTTTTCTCTGACAAATGGGAAGTGATATTAAGAGAAATCTACTGTATTTCAAAAATCTTCTTCTCCAGACTCAGAGGTATTACAGTCATTTTCTCTGCATGGATGGAAAGATCATCAGGGGCTTTATTTAAATTGTAAATGTCAGGACCCCCGAGCTATCCATTCTCCCTTGGGGAGGGGGTAAAGTTTACTGTAGTTTATATAGGGAAACAACACTTTTGGGTATATTTTGACAATTTTCTGTTGGAAATTATTTTTACTTGGTGAGAATTATCCTTGGAGGAAGAAGATGGTTTTAAATTGTAAAATTGGCATTCCTACCCCAACCCTACGGGCCAGGGCGGGCCCAAATGGGAAAATTAGCCAATATTTCAAAAATCTTCTTCTCCAGACTCAGAGGTATTACAGTCATTTTCTCTGCATGGATGGAAAGATCATCAGGGGCTTTATTTAAATTGTAAATTTCAGGACCCCCTAGCTATCCGTTCTCCCTTGGGGAGGGGGTAAAGTTTACTATAGTTTATATAGGGAAACAACACTATTGGGTATCTTTTGACAATTTTCTGTTGGAAATTATTTTTACTTGGTAAGAATTATCCTTGGAGGAGGAAGATGGTTTTAAATTGTAAAATTGGGATTCCTACCCCAACCCTAGGGCCAGGGCGGGGCCCAAAAGGGAAAATTAGCCAATATTTCAAAAATCTTCTTCTCCAGACTCTGAGTCTTATACTACAGTCATTTTCTCTGCATGGATGGAAAGATCATCAGGGGCTTTATTTAAATTGTAAATGTCAGGACCCCCGAGCTATCCATTCTCCCTTGGGGAGCGGGTAAAGTTTCCTGTAGTTTATATAGGGAAACAACACTTTTGGGTATATTTTGACAATTTTCTGTTGGAAATTATTTTTACTTGGTCAGAATCATCTTTGGTGGATGACAGTATCACATTGTAAACTTGGAATTCCTGCCCCATCCACAGGGGTTAGAGCAGGGCCCCAAAGGGAACATTTACAAATATTCTAAAATTCTTATCCTTTGATGACATGACAAGTATTGTATTTCACTTAGTTTACATGCTGATTTCCACATCACATCTAAACAATAAAATAAAGCTACCAGTACCTATGATATAACTCAGGTGACCGCTAAGGCCCTTGGGCCTCTTGTTTAGCTCACCTGTCCAAAGGGCAAATATTATTTAATAATTGACCCTGGGGTCCGGCTCCATCCCTAGGGACTTATTTATTGGGTCATAACTGTTGAGATTGAGATAAACAGTTGTAATCCCCACCCTATAACCATACCATTGCTGAGCATTAAGAGACAAACACAATCATGATATTAGTATTGACTCCTGTTTCTGGCCCCATCTTTAGCCCTAGAGACTTAATTTCTAGGATATAACTTTGAAATGGTTGAGATCCCCAGTCTATAGCCATGTATATACCATTGCTGGGGATTATGATTTAAGTGAGCGATACAGGCCCTCTGGGACTCTTGTTTATTGTAAGAGTCAGCTGATGGAATCTTTTTACATATGTATTACTTTTCTTTTATTATTTCAACAGGAAACAAAGGGGACATCTGAAGATCTGCTCTAAATCTATTGTATTTGTTCCTAAGGAGAGCCAGCATCCTATTCTTAAGGTGAGGAAAGCATATATTTTAATAAACTAATGAAGTTTCTTTGATTTGTGTTCAACAGTGCTAGCTCATGAAATGTATTGTGATTCATTTTCTGATTTTTTTTCTATTTTAGTTTCCACTGAAATATGTCAAGGAAATCAATGAATGGTCAGGTGGCCTGTTTTCAAGGTAGGAATTTTAAACACAAGCTTTCCAAATATCAAAGATATGTAACCAGGTGAAATAGTTATATATGGATGTACATGTAGTATGAATGGCCAATTAAAAAAAACCCACACAACTGTTCCAGTGAGCATTTATTTTTAGTGATTTATTCATTGATTTTGTATTTGATTTTTGAAAAATAATATGGTCAATGGTAAGCCTGTTTGTTTTCTTGGCTTTTACTGATCCTCTGTAATTTAACAAAACTATCTACCAATAATTAAAAAGCAATAAATAAATGAATGTATCATTAGCATTTTGTGATTCTTTCCTGTCTAACTAGATCATCAATAATCTTTGACCTCAGATATTTATGTTAATAAAAATACATGTACATGTATAATCACTTCAACCAATATGTGCATTTTTTTTTTGTAGAATGGACATGAATGACCGCATGGTGAAGATCAAGTCTGATCAAGTCATTGCTATGAAGGAAAAAAACATAATTGCTCCATATACATTCCTAAAGGTAGCTAGAAGTCAGGGAAATCTAACATTGACATTAGCAGAATATAAATCATAATGAAATATTATATGTTGTTCCTTTTCGTTGAAACTGATAAAATTACTAAAACTTGTTACAACATAATGGAGATACCAATATGCATGTAAATTTTCATATTCCAGTACATCAATGTTATGTGTAAAGTTTTAAATAATGATGCAAATTGGTCTGGAAACACTGATAGAACAACTGCTTGTTATTTTAATACATATTAAAAGAAAAGAAAAACCATGTTAAGTCTTTTAAAATATCACCCATTAGGTATATGTACCAGTAAACGAATAGTAGAGTGAAAGTATATAAAAATTCTGTTTTTTTTTATGGTAGATTTCTTTTATGTTAGTGTTTGTGTCCACTTTCATTGTTCAGGAGCCTGTAGAGCTGAGATTTTCCCTGAACTATGTGACTGCCGATGACTGCCTTCCCCAGATGTGTCAGCTACATCGGGCATCTACTCTTCCTCCTGCAGACCAGTCTGCCATGGTGTGTAAAGATAGGGTTAGATCTTCAACATAAGATAGTTGCTTTTTCAATGATACCGGTAATTGTTTTGGCAGTACATTGTACATAGCTACATGATCTGATACTGGTTTGTCCTTTTGAATGATTTAATGTATAAATCATTGTCTTGTATAGCCCTTGTTGTCATACTTCGTTATATGTTCAGTGTAATTTTCAAAGGAAAACTAGAAGCACATTGCAATTGACCAACATATTTATCTTAAAATCTGAATTGTATCAACAAAATGTACATCACTTTTATATATAATTAAGGCAACAGCTGGACGCTTAGAAAGTTGAAACAGTGTATACATGTTATCCAGCCTTTCTTTCACTGTCACCTGGAATTAAAATTACAATCAGCACATGCCCATTCTATCAGGGGTCATGTTGTAATTGGTTGCCTACTACTCTGCATTATCATTGAATTGAAAGATGAAGGTACAGGGTAGACCAATCTTATTAGAAAAAGATACATATAACTAACTCTCATCGCATTATCTTTCCTCTCTCAGAAATAATGAATTAAACTCTAAGACATTTTCTTGTTTTATTTTAAAGATCAATGCCATTGTTTTGTCAAGGAGATCTCGAGTGAATTTTAACACAAGCTGGTGAGTTTTAATGTTGTGTAATCTTTGTATACAAACCACTTTCGACATTGAAATCTTTGTGAGACAGGTTTGGTGTACAATTTGCATCTTGATATTATCTTCTTTTGATATTGATTTAGATATATAAGATTTTTCAAAGTAAAAATTACTACATGCATATATGTATGTCACAAGTAAAACTAAATTGAAATTATTCTATTTTTGATAAACTTGTATTAAACAATCCTGTAATTTTTATATAGTCTGAAAAAATGTAAATACAGAGGTTTAAAAATGTATCATCTATGCTACTGTGTTGCTGGTTTGTTTTAGGCTGGATGACCTGTATGAAAAGATCCTAATGGAGGCCCAGGGTGACAAGATCAGCCCTCTGGTGACCAACCCTGGTCGCATCATGCTGACCTCTTCACGGCTCTACTTCCAACCTTTCAACAACATAGAAAGTGTAAGTAAAAGCCCTTCAACAACTAAAGGACTTCACAGATTTAGAGAGTGATCTTTCAATAACATAGTGTGAATTACAATCCTTCAACAATGTAGAAAGTGTGAGATCCGGCCTTTCAACAACATGAAGAGAGGATGTAACTTATAGTTCTGAAACAACAGAGGGAGTGTAAGTCGGCTTCTCGACATCATATAAGGTTTAAATTAGTCTATGGATAACGTAACATGAGTGTACTGGTAAGTCACATTCCTTCAGCAAGAGCATATACAGTCAATATCTCTTTACATGCATGTGTCGCAATTGTTGACCTTATTGCCACTTAACCCTTTCTCCCCAATATAACTTAAGTAGACTCAACCATACAATGATCTGACAAGTCCATAATTGTCCATAGAGAAAACGTTAATAAATACATGTATATAACCCCAAATCAGTGTTTCATGTATCATATGATATTGAATCCCTATTCAAAACACAAAGTCACAAACAGATTGAGTTTAACTACTGTTTTGTTCCTAATACAGTCATTCCCATTTTTATTTTAGGTGCCAGTCATAAAGATAAGATTTAAAGACATGAAGCGAGTGATAAAGAGAAGATTTCTCCTCCGACAACTGGTATGTAAACAGTGTGTTACACAAATCTATTTCTCATTAATCTCTGTTCATTTAGCATAAAATGAGACACTGGATTACCGTTACGTATTCTTCTGTTCATACTTACCCATTTAAGTTGTACATATAGATAATAATTGAGGTCATAATTATTGTCAGTACATTTGTATTATACTAGTTATGATTTACTGTGCTTTTTCAGGGTATAGAAATATTTTGTCAAGAGAATTCCACCTGTCCACACCTGTATTTGTCACTGAAGACGACAGAAGAACGCAACGAATTGTATGCACATTTAATGCAGCAAAAAGGCAGGTTTATTAATAACAGATTGAATACACTATGAAAATATCATCATAACAGCTATCATATTCTTATTATAATCCCACTATTCTTTCACAATTTTCTTTATCACATCTAACATGTAATCCCAGTAACATTAATACTCCCTATCAATACCAACAAAAGGCAGTTCATTAATAAATGCTCATTTACAGATGTAAAGTTAGAAGACACTGGACAAGAAGATATGACACTACGCTGGCAGAGTGGAGATATATCAAACTATGACTATCTTATATATCTAAATAGGTAAGCCTGTGAAAATTCAGTAAATTTTATCTACCTTCCGTTCTCTCTCTCCTTCTAACCCCCTCCCTCGCACAAATTAAAGTTTCCTACCAAAATGTGTCACCCCTACATCCCCAATCAGTGCATATTAACCTACTGTAGCTATTGGTATCAATCCCTCATACATCACATGTTTTCCTAGCTACAGATTATAATCCCTCTTAGCATTACATAATAAAAAATATTTGAATTGCAGAGTTTAACTATTGTAACTTATAGAGAATTTTTACCCTGAATAATCTATCATATTATAAAATTAATACATAAGTACCATGAATTGGTTCACCATTAATTTTTGATGAACAGAATTTGTTGCCTGGAAATTACTTTTTAAGATTACCGAACGTGTAGTTCAACAAGACATATTAAGTTCCAGTATTATGTGTTATTATGTCATCCTCTAAAACAAAATGTAACATGAAACTAAGCATATCCTCTCTACTGCAACCTTCCTGCAGCCTGATGTATTCTTGACGTGTTATACAATGTAGTATATTGTTGTACTCTCATTTCTCCAGTGTTGCTGACCGCAGCTTCAGTGACTTAACACAGTACCCAGTGATGCCCTGGATCATTCAAGATTACACAAGTTCACATCTCGATTTGTCCAATCCATTAACATTTCGTGATCTCAGCAAACCCATAGGAGCCCTAAATGAAGAAAGAATTTCAAAAATGAGGGTAAGATTTCAAAACGTTGATATACAGTGATTCTATGTTTATCCTTCTGACATTGCACATGTTGTTAAGTGAAGATCACTTACATGTATAAAAAAAACACACCCACATCACACGAATTGTCATGTAAATCAACACCTACTTGTAATTATCTTTGTGTGAAAGTTATATACATGTGCAGTATTTTGGGCATTTGTACTGATACTTTTTTCTTCTTTATCAGGAAAGGTATGCTGAAATGCCGGAGCCTAAATTTATGTATGGATCTCATTACTCCACACCCGGTTATGTCCTCTTCTATCTAGCTCTCATTGGCAAGTATTTATGGTTATAATTTACAGCACATTCATTTATCAATAAAATTATTCAGTTAACACTTTGAGCTTCATTGAACTTCTTGTGTTAATGTTAGTGTTATTAAAACCATATTTAAAATTAATTTAAAACAATTATGTTTTTACTTACAGCACCAGAATATGTCCTGTGTTTGCAGAATGGAAAGTTTGACCAACCAGATAGAATGTTTAACAGGTGTAGTATTGTGCTTAAAACGACTTTAAATTGACTGTGTCTGAATGATGTACTATCACCAAAACCTATTTTGACTTCAGATGTGTAGTTGATCCATATCCATACTCACATCAACAGAATGTGTTCCCTTTGAATGTGTTAACAAGTATAATGCACTTTGTGCATCCATCCATTCCTGCCTGCCTGTGTATGTTTGTCTGAATAGTTCCTTAAGTGTTTCTGCTCAGAATATGCAGAGAAAGCCAGGATTTGTTTGATACGTAGGTAAATCTAATGTCAACACCTGAAACAACATTACGCCATGACACCGACGAAAGTCTCGCACATTGGAAAACCCAGTGGAGGGAGATCTCCCACACTAGGCTCTTCAGAGGTTGGCAGCCCTGTGTAAACCCAGTGGAGGGATATGTCCCACACTGGGCTCTTCAGAGGTTGGCAGCCCTGGGTAAACCCAGTGGAGGGAGATCTCCCACACTAGACGCTTCAGAGGTTGGCAGCCCTGTGTAAACCCAATGGAGGGAGATCCCCACACTAGGCTCTTCAGAGGTTGGCAGCCCTGTGTAAACCCAGTGGAGGGAGATCTCCCACACTAGACTCTTCAGAGGTTGGCAGCCCTGTGTAAACCCAGTGGAGGGAGATCTCCCACACTCTAGGCTCTTCAGAGGTTGGCAACGTTCCCTGCTGCTGTACTCTTTCATGTAGAATGATCAAACTTGGTGTGTAGGTACATGTAGAGGGAAGATAAAGTGTGATGTACAAAATACACCTCTTTAACATTTAATTTGACCATTAACCTCATTTAAAATGTTTGTTTCTTGACCATTTTTTATATATACATATACAATTTTTTATTTGATGTTTGGAACCACATTTTTAATGTTAAGTTTCAATGGTTCAATAAATTTCCTCTATTGAATTGTATTATTCTATAATTGTATCTGTTTCGAAAATGTTTACAGTATGTATGAAACATGGCAGAATTGTATGATGGGAGCTGCTGACTTCAAAGAACTAATTCCAGAGTTTTATTCTCTTGGTTCTCCTGAGTTCCTCCTCAACAATGGGGTAAGAACTCTTTATATTTACACTATCTTCACAGGGTGCATTGAACTATTTCCAGAAATAAATTATGTCGAGTTGAAGTCATACCCAATGAAAAATGTACTGGTTGTCTGAAAAATAACTTGATTGTGCTATATCTCTGTACATTGTATGTGCATGCATGCATGTGTGAATTATTTGTTCAAAAGAACAAAATGGCAAAGTTACTCTGCTGTGATCTTGCACCAACTAACAATATTAAAGGAAGTAGCCAAGCAAAAGTAAGCAAATATTCCTCAAATTCTCCTTATAGATGAATAGTAATTATTTTTTTCCTGACAGTTAAGCAACTTTGGGATACGACAAGATGGGCGACCAGTAGGCAACGTAGAACTGCCTCCTTGGGCTGAAGGTCAGTAGGTATCAAATTTTTACTTAAGTCAGAAATGTGTTGTTCAGTCTTGTTGTCAGTGTTGATTATTCTTTTGTAATAAGCATATAATTTTCATCTATATCAGGTGGGAGAACAGTGTAAAATGCGTATTACAAATTAAAACTTTAAGAGAAACAGTAATTTGCACTTTTCATCTTTTGCCAAAACTGTGAAAATAAAACCACTTTGACAATTACTTGCTTTAAATATGCCGTAAATAGAATATCTAAACAATATCTAAGCCTCAGTGTTGTTGAAAATCATCAGGCCTTTATACTTGTTTATTGATGTATGCATGTTGTTACTCCATAATCAGGGCCTGAGGATTTTCTGCGGAAACTGCATGAGGCCCTGGAGTGTGAACATGTATCAACTCACCTCCATGGGTGGATTGACCTCATTTTTGGATACAAACAGCGGGGCTATGAGGCAGAGAAAGCTGATAATGGTAACGTTATATTTTATAATTAATTTTCATGTAATAATGATTTCAATGCAAGCTGTTGGTGCATGGTTTTGTATCATTGAGCAAAATGCTTATTACTCACTTCAATGCCTCAGGAATGAAACATTATATTATGGTCATGTATAACAGTGGCTATGCTGTGATACTCAAGAGGCACTATAAAAGGCTCCTCTGAAAGCAAGGTTATATAGAAAAACAGACCACAACAACCCCCCCCCNCCCCCAAATATGTACAGGCACTATTAAACAAATATGAAGGTAAAAGTGTCATATTTTTCATCTAGTTGAAGGTGGACATTTAATCAGATTACAATGTATTAAATAGAAATAAATTTCACTTGAGGAATTTTATACTGGTAGAACTTTCCACAGAGATGTTGCTTATCAGCCTTTATATATAGAGATAACTAAAATATGTGAATATTCATATCTAATTAACGATGTGTCATGATGATGTCTTTTCAGTGTTCTACTATATGACATATGAGGGCAGTGTGGATCTTGATAGGTAAGTCTTTATAGAAATCAGGTGTCAAGCCAGATCAAAAACAATTATTTTCTTACTATAAAAATACAGAGTAAATTTTCCAACTTTGCAGCAATTAGTTATTATTGTCACAGTTGGTGAAATATATTTCAGCATGTTGATCATGATGTTACCATTAGAAATCTTACTAAATGTATTTTTTTATCACTAATAGTATACAAGACCCCAACGAGAGAGCACGCATGGAGATACAGATTATGGAGTTTGGCCAGGTGCCCAACCAGCTATTTAAAACCCCCCACCCCCAGAGATTCACTTCCCCTTCCCCCCGGAGTGGCTCAAGTCGTACATCCAGTACTAATGAGGGGGTGATTCCAGTCACAGCAGACTCCCTCAAAGACTTCACACCTGTACATGGTAAGTATACATCATAAGTGTTGACTCCAGTGCACATCTACCACACCTCCACTAGATTATTATTATAGTCACACAAAACCATATTACTTTACCTGTATCTTTACCAGATAGATGATTTGTCGCATCAGACTCCTCTGAGATCTTCATATGAACCGATAAGTGATTGATCACATTTGACTCCCTCCCACCACCCTTACACCTGTACCAAGTAAAACATGTAATAGGTAGCATCATACTCCTCAAATCACCCTGCACACCTGTACAATCTGTACCAGATAAATGATAAATTCATAGGCCAGTATGTACCTGGGATGGAGTGCTATAAAGTTTCCTCATTAAAATGACCTGGACCTATACTATATCAAGCTCACATGGGTCAAATATGTTTAAAAAAATCTAACAACAATATCCTAAGAACCATTCGGACTAGGGTCGTGATACTTGGGTATGTTATGTAGACCAGCTGTGTGAATTGTTTTCTTCATTACAGTAATGAGGTCAAAGGTCAACTTTAAGTGCTAGTCGGGGTCAAATGTCAACTTTGGTTAAAAGCTTTAACAATCTTCTTCTCAAGTTCCACAAGGCCCAGAGTCATGATATTTGACCAGTAATTACCTGGGATGGAGTGCTATAAAGTTTCCCAATTAAAAAGACCTTGACCTATTTTCAAGGTCACAGGGGTCAAATATGTTAAAAATTTAAAACAACAATATCCTAAGAACCAAATTGACTAGAGTTATAATACTTGGGTATGTTATGTAGACCAGCAGTGGGAATGTTTTTTATTAATTACAGTAATGAGGTTAAAGGTAAACTTTAAAGTGCAAGTCGGGGGTCAAAGGTCAACAAGGGTTAAAGGCTTTAATAGTCTTCATCCCAAGTTCCATAAGGCCCAGGGTCATGATATTTGGCCAGTAGTAACCTGGGATGAAGTGCTATGACGTTTTCTCATTAAAATGGCCTTGACTGATTTTTAAGGTCACAGGGGTCAAATAGTTTCCAAATTTGATCTTAAGTTCCTATATGCCAGTTTCATGTAACAAAAGAAACAGGTGAGCGATACAGGCCCTCTGGGCCTCTTGTTTGTCACTTTTTAGACACAGCATACAATAAATTAAGGCATCTGAAAAAATTATTCCCACCTCTCCCATATGATGAACTCTTGAACAACACTAACCAAATTCAGCTCAGAATTTTATTTTCGATTCTTCAGTCCGATGTATATAGCTGTTTTGGATTAAACAATCATAATAATAAAATAATGTGGTCTATTATTAGTGTTAGAAGAGGATGAAGCTTCAAACCCTGCTGATGTAACACTGACAGACTTGACATCACTACAGCTGTACCACAAGTACACACTGCATAAAGAGTGAGTACCTTCCTACAGGTAAAGTACAGAAAGAATATAATGCTTGACAGAGGTTTTTGTGACTATGAGCAATATCATAAATTTACCTTTTCAAGAATTACATAAGGATCAGGAAATTATATTGATTTGAAATTAGAAAAAAAATGATGTGGTAGCCTTTGGCTTGCACTTTCAGATCACATGTTCAGAACTGATTTTTTTATGATGTTATTGTTTATTTGTAGTGGTGTAACAGACATCAAGTTATCAAGTGATGAGAAAAACATATTTTCCGTTTCACAAGGTGAGTACTTACTGATTTACACCACTGTGATAAACATTGAAATTCAATACTTTGTACTGAATTATCTTTTCAAATTCACGTTTAAAAATGTTGTTGGTTCCAAAAGGTGTATATTTTGTAAAATACTTCAACCATTATAACTAAGATACAAAATGTACATACATTTTGTTGTACATTAGCACCAGTGATTTTGTGGTAAATATTTTGATTTGTTCATTAAATGACTTGTTTTGATTAAATTAATCAAATAACTCTAATTTAATCAATTACTCAAACTTTCTCTTGTTAAGATAGTTTACTGAAGATGTATTCCTTGGAGGACCAACGTCAGCTGAGGAGTATCAACATTTCTACCATGGTAGGTTTGCAACGCCTACTTAACAGAAATAGTCCAGCCTTTCTTTTTTAAATGTTTTACATATTCGTTTGTGTATGTTAATTGTGCACGCACGGTAGTTTAGTGGAAGGATGCCGGCTCGTGATCATGACCGAAGGGTTGCTGGTTCGAGTCATGGCACGGTACTGTGTTGTGTCTTTGAGCAAGATACTTTACTCCACTTGTTCCAGTCTACAATTTACTCCGCTTGTTCCAGTCTACTCAGCTGTAAATGAGTACTTGGTTGGGCAGTGCAAGAAATGTTGAATGCTAGCTGTGAGAGCCGAAATAGCAGCACCAGCTGTATGCTCCCCAGGGAGTTGAGAAAGATATTAGCTGGTTGCAAAAGACCTATAACCATGGATAATAATTGGTGAACTGCTTAGAGAGGACCTACAAACTAGGTTGTGATAAAGCGGTATAAAAGAGCCTCAGATTATTATTATTTTCAATTACTAATTTGTTTGTGTAATCATGTTACTATATCAAATTGGCTGACAGTGTTTAAACTATATGCTGTCAGATTGAATTGACAGTGAATCAAGGTATACTTGTCATTTTACAGGTCTAGGAATAAAATTCTGTAGGATCAATATTATTATAAGCAATTAAAATTAATGGAACAAAGAAGCATAATTTATGCCATGCCAGTTTAATTTTAATTGACAACAATTTAATGAGTAATACTAATTTTGGTGCAATCTCATATCAAAAGGATTTAAAATACTTTAGGTTTATAATATAAATGTATTACAATTGACAATTAATGGATAGCTGTTTCAGTGGTGTTTTATTGAAATAAATTGAGGGCTCTAGTGTTCCATAACTATATTTAAGGGTATATGTAATGGCTGTGGTAATTTATTTGAGGGTTGTGCATTATAAGCTGAAAATCATTAAATGACACCGTACCCCTGCAGGTCAGAAATCGGGAAAGGAATACACCTGCTGTTACCCACCGCATGTATCATAGGAACCCCCTGCAGAATTCAATATTTGCTTTGGTGTCCTCTATTTGGGGACACAAAAGCGACCAAAATAAATCTGCTGCACCCATTGCAATATTTGGGATTATCTTTCTTTCTTCAAATTACCTTTTATTTACTAGTGCCTTGCTTGGCAACACCTCTCTTTTGACCATATGTTGGGCGTTTGCCCAGGTGAAGATAGCAATGGTTTCTGTCCCCAGCCCGGGACATACCAAAGTCCTTAAAAATAGTAGTTGTTATTCCCTGCTTAACGTTCAGCATTTAGGGGAATGGCAACAACTGGTTCACACATTGTCCGTATAATGTGACCGGACGGAATGCTGTGCTGGGTGCCTTTTGTATGCTATTTCAGTGAGATAGCACTATAAAGTCGGCATCAGATCCGTGCTATCACAAGGAGGCAAGCACACCAACATACCCTTTCTCCTGCATACACACATGCAAGCATGCATGCACACAAAACTACACACATGGATGCACATCCTTAAATGACCTTAGCTGTTAATAGGACGTTAAACAATATTAAACCAAACCAAACTATTAAATGAGGCTATATTTTAATTAGCCACAGAATTCTTTTGCCTTATAAATAAGGAATGTTGATCATTTTCATCTTTAATTGACTTGCAGGCTTTGTCTTCATGTCAGCTGATGCCAGATGATAAAACAATCATTGTAGGCTCCTGGGACAATAACGTGTGAGTATTTCCACCTTGTTTGATTTCTGAGTTTCTTCTGTGGCAAATAACTTTATTAAACTGATATTTGTTTTGAAAAAATCAAAAAGAAATCAATAACTTTCTAATTTCAACAGAACACAATTATAGCCCAAAATACTGTTTAAATAAGTTGTATTTTGTTTTGTGAAAGATCTAGAACACAAGCAATTTATGTTTGGTTTTGCATATGGACTACATGTGTACATAGGAGAAACAGTAGAATTACTAAGTTAAACATATGGGCAGTAAAATTTGTTTATACATGATCCATGGGTTCATGTTAGGAACTGTGAAATAATAAAGTACAGAAAGATTGAGATAAAGTATTGTGTTTGTCCAGTAAAGGCTATTTGACTTATTTAAGTTTTGTCTGAATGAGATATTAGAAGTAATTGGACATAATGTTTAATAAAAATATGCTATTCTGTTTGTAGTTACTTCTACAGCATAGAGTTTGGAAGGGTCCTAGACACATTGTGTGCTCATGATGATGCTGGTATGTCACAAATCTGTGTACTTTCCCTATCTCATCAGTGTTCTATATACTACAGACACTGTTTATAGTAACTTGTATCATTATAATTAATGACATTGTACAATAGAAAATGCAAAAACCTTCTGATTTACTTCATAAGATTGTTGTTTTTTTAACTAGGAAAAACTTTAAATTTATGAAATAAACTTTATTATTTACTCACATGCATATATTAGTATACATATACAACTCACATACAAAAATCTACAATATACTGTTTTATGTTGAAACTGTATTTGATGTATACTTAAATATTGTGTTGTTGTACTTTTATTGTGATTAAACAGGATGCTTCAATGTTCCTTTTTGTTTTCAGTATCAAACATACTATGGAGAAACAATAAGTTACTAACAGCTTCCTGGGACTCGACTGTCAAGGTCAGTATCTAAATCACAATGTCAAGGTCAGTATCTAAATCACAATATTGAGGTCAGTATCTTAATCACAACGTCAAGGTCAGTATCTAAATCACAATATTGAGGTCAGTATCTAAATCATAATGTTGGGGTCAGTATCTAAATCACAATGTCAAAGTAAGTGTCTCGATCACATTGTCAAGGTTAGTGTCTAAATCATAATATCGAGGTCAGTATCTCAATCATTATGTCAAGGTCAGTGTTTAGATTGTGCCCTGAATGTTCAAGAATGCAAATTATGAAAAAAAAAAATGAATGCATAAACTTTTTTCATTATATATATCAATGTCAAGGTCATTATCTACATAATGATGTTACTGTACATGTATCTTAATTACAGTGGCAACATCACAGTCTTTATGATAAAGTCTAGGTTAGATTTCTCAATATCAAGATAAGTGGCCATTAAAATTTCTTGATAGATCTCATCTTATCTTGATCTTTGAAATGAAAAATGTTATGGAACTATTGAATATGAAAGATTTTATCTTGTACACTTAGTCTTTTTTATTTTAAACATTTTTGACCTACAAAATTGGTTAGATGTTTTAAGGTTATATCTGTAGTTTAGTTACAGTTGTATCAATTTAAGAGATGTCTATTCATTTTACCACTGACAATGGTTAATTTATCATGATTTCATTCAATTGATCATGTTGACCAATACATGAAAATTCCAAGAGTTATAGATATGTGGAACAAACCTGAGAACTTATTTAATTAACAATTTTACTGATAGTTTTATAAACGGCTTTAAATAATACTTGCGCTTATAGATAAGTACAGTAAAACCTTGTTATACCGCCATCTTTTGTCCTCTGTGATTTTGGCAGTATAACAAGAGTAGCGGTACATGTATATCAGATTTATAGTTTTAAACTTAAGTGTTTACACACCAACTGAACTTATACTTATTTATTTATTTTTACTTCAGAATACGTTTTTTTCAAAATTGTAATTTAATTAATCAAATTGTTGAGGGTGCAAAACATACAGCTGATTACCTGGTCAGTCGGCAGTCACGTGTAACAATACAATGTACACACGTACGTAACATTCCTGTCATCGGGATATACCTGTACTAGACTCAAATTGGCGTTATTTAACGAGGTCAAAATAGTGTGATTTTAACCATTTGCTTCGGGAATATGGTTGCGGATGGCGGTATGCAGGTTTGGCATTACAACAGGTGCATTAACGTTGGGGAAATCCGTTCTGAGTAAATTAATGGCGGTATGCAGTTTTGGCGGTTTAACGAATGGCATTACAGCGGGATTTTTCTGTATTTAAAAAATATATTCACTACTTTATGTCTACTTTCTTGATTACGTATGTATTAATATGCTTTCACTTATTTCATCAGAAATTAATGGTGATGATGAATCACAAACTTTTAAACATTTCCCAAATAATTCTGATGCATTGTTCTTGCTACCATCATATCTCATCATTGTTACATTTAAAAGACAGGTAGAGTACATTTTTGATGAATTCACTGAGTAAAATAGTAAAGTCTCAAATGTTTCATTTTGTAGATTTGGAAATTTATCCCTCCAAGTGCTTCCACCTCCTTTACAGTGGCTGAATATGCTGTAAGTGTGAAACCTTAGAAAACTATATAATAAACCGAATAAAGTTTGGCTATATAGAAATATTTGTCAGACAGAATTTGGACTTCTTTCAAAACAAAACTGTTTTGTCTGTGATAGTACTATGGATACACAGGTGTTGAGTTCAAAAATTATCATGATTCATACCATCATAGTCATTGACCTGATTATTTGTTGTATATCATTTTGTTGGTTCATGTACATCAACTTGTAAGTTTGACGATACATAGGGTGATCACATAATAAGGACAGTAGAACACTGTATGATACCATTATTGGTTCATATTTCAACATAGTATTGCATTTAAAGAAAAAAAGATTGCTTTACTTTTTGGTCAGCATTAGTCTACAATAAATGAAGTTACTGGTTGAAGCTTAAGCTGTTGCCTGAGAGAAGCACTTAATCAAATTATTGATGGACAGATAGATGGATGGATAAATGATAAATAAAGGATTGTTAACTAGGGGCAGCTGGACCACGATGCTGGAGTGAACTGCCAGTGTACAGATGGAGGACTATCTCTCCTTGTTACTGGAACAATCGAGGGACACATCAATGTCTGGTCGATATCAAGTGGCTACCAGATAGCTTCTCATGAAGGTAAAGACAGCAATTAGTGTTAAGTAAACCTTACAGCTGAACATTACATATAGGTATACATATAGATCTAGATACTTGTTAGGGCCCACCACTAGAGATGCTGGTGCCCTATAGTAATCATGGTGTCTGTCTGGCCATCTATATTTTCATTTCTGGTGATTATTTCAGATTCCATAAGACTAATCATTTTGAAATTTTTATTCTGTATACTGAAATACAACTGCATTTTATATTCACTGTTTGTTTTGTTCTTGACTGTATCAATTCAATAAGAATTGTAAAAGCATATTTATTTCTTTTTCCAGTGCACCAGGGCAAGATCAATGATGTCACAATAAGTCCAGGTTAGTTGAAAAAATATTTCAATCGAAACTGAAAATACATGAAATGATATATTGAAGTTGTTTTCAGTGTCCGTTAATATGTAAGATGTACAGTAATTGTCATTTGTGTCAAGTCAGTGATGTTGTTTGCCTATTAAGACAGTCAGTGGTTGTATCATCTTTTCTCTGATAGTGATAAGCTTGAAGAGTTATTTCCCTTTTGACAGACTGCCGACGGATACTGAGTTGTGGAGAGGACAAAATTCTGCGTGTACTAGACATGGAGACAGGAACAGAGATATTGGTCAGGGATCTACAGACACAATGCATGTGAGTCTAACAGAGTAGCTTTATTGTGCTTGTGGCACCCTGAAAAATTATGAAGTTGTAATTAAATTGAGATATCATTTTGCAATTAATATTGGTACCATTAAGTGAATTCTGGACAATCGAAAGCTGCATGGTTGAAATTTGACAATAATAAAATTCCTAGATTGTAACACCTTTTACGGGAATTTTCTGTTTAATTGGGATAATTTCATTACAGGTGTTTTAAGTGGATTAGTGGTCTTCTGCTGACCGGTGAAGCATCAGGAAGTATTCAGCTATGGGACATGGATAAAGGTCAGATGGTCAGCACGCTAGCCACACACACTGGTATGTATCAAATTTTGTCGTGCTTGCACATCTAATGAAAATATCAATTTGGTTTCTTGCAATTGATATTCAAAAACAATCAAAAGAAAATCAGATTTGTAGTGATATTTTAAAATATTATTCCATAAATAGCAAAATATAATTTCAAAAAATTACAAATATCTTTGTAAACATGTTTGTTTAATCAGTATAAGCAGCATTACCCAAAATTCTGTTGACAGTCAACTCTTTTTATGAATTGCTTGTTTTCTGCAGGTACTGTGACATGTTTGGATCTGAAAAATAAGAGCTTATTAACTGCAGGACAGGACAAGACTGTTAGTATGTGGAAGATCCAGCAGTGATTTCTGATAATAACCTCAAAGTAGTGTGCTGGAATCTGTATAAAGAGACACCTGTAAATCTAGAGGAAATACTGAGTTAGTTTATCATGAGGTTTGTAACATGTTGTAAATAACTATAACCATATATTTTGTAAAATACTTTATTGTATTTATAACAATGCCTCATTAAGCTTCTTATTTATAGGCTGAGATTTTGAGTTTACTCTTTTGAAGTGTTTTTAATTGTTCAATATTTGAACTTAAGAAATATTAAGGAAGATACTGAAATTTTGATATACTTTTGCTAGTGAAAGTTTGCTTAAAAAAGAGGTATTTGCATTGTTCATTAGTTACTGATTGTAAATAGTAATACATATATACCACTCACAGATGTTAGGTATAGAGGGTTTACTGGAACCAGGTTGTCTATAGGTCTGTCTGTCTGTTGTTTGCACTATGCCTCCCAAACACTGCAACATTTTTGAATGATGCATGTACTTATAACACAGCCCTTACGTCAAGGGTAAGAATTAGAGTTACCTCCCTTATTTATGGAGTTATTGCCCTTTGTTTAAACCCTTTGTTTAAAAAAATGGTTTACACTACTACTCCCAAAGTGCAATACTCATTTGAATGGTATTCAGTACACAGAACCCTTACATTCAGGGGATAGGATTAAAGTATTGGTGTTAGCTCTCCTATTTATGGAGTTATATCGCTTTGCTTAAAATCATACTGTTATGGACTATTTCAAGAGTTCGTAGCGCAGGAGGGGGATATTAATTGGCCATTCTGGTGACAGTTCTAGGCCCCTTTCAGTTGAAAAGGTTAAACCTGAAAAAAACGACATGCGCAGATCTGAACGGAGGCTGACCTCGGGAATATTCAGCATGTGTAGATTGAGGGGTCGTGCCTGACCTAAACTAATATGCTGGCTATTGCTAGTTTGCTTTATTTCTTGATAAAACAAGGCCAATTAACATGTAGATTTTAATATACATCATTTAGTGGGTGCATGATAAAAGAACATATTATTCTTTATACAATCATATATGTTGTTATTTATTCTCTGGAACTGTGCATTATTTAGCTGTGCCTACAGTTCAGTCCAAGTGTGTTTATTTATCTTGGAATATTTTTGTGCCACCTGAACTGTTTCACCCGAATACGCAAATGCGACCCTAGTTTAATATGATATTTAACATTTTTCTGAAGTGTCATAAAAAGTGGTTTCATTCCAGGATAATTTGACGATGCAATATAGACACATCTTCAATGTCAATTATTGGTTTCTTACCAGCTCAGGATCAACAATCATGTCAACGTACACAGTAAATATATATCGATCTTGAATACTGATTTGTTACTTTCATGTTATAAATCAATGAAAATATACGTACAGTGTATAATGTAAAAAAAATGATATCCATGTGAAGTAGGTAAGTACATGTATAAGAAAAAATAAGTTATAACTATCTACCATATTAAAACTAACTGTTTTCCCCCTTCACCATTCACAGTTTTATTTGAAGGGTGAAAGCTGCTGGTTTTAATTCGGTTGTTATACTGTATTTTTTCTATGCAGTAAATATAAATTCAACATGTGAAAATGAAGGAGGACTTCTTTTAAAGGAAGGATTTCCCTAGCTTGTATGGACTCTATATTATGGCTGGCTTCCTTTGTTATTTTATGTAGCCTGCTTAACAGAAAACACATTTATTGTTCTACAGGAGGAAGAACAATATATACATGTACACAATGGACATGTAATCTCATGGACCGTTTTCTACTGTTATGACAGGAAGTATTGGATTTAGTCTCCATCATCTATGTAATCAAATGACGTCTGTGTTACAGTATCATAATCGACATGACAGCAACATGTGTTTGAGGCATATATATTTTAGTTCAGTTGGATATCCAGCTTAGAATTGAAAATGTATCAACCAAAGTAATTACTTAATACATTTGAGGCTTTCAATGGAAATCATGTAAAGTTACTACTTAACAACAGGTAACTAGCACATCTCTTAGAGTTAGACAATGGTGTCTAAATATATGTTTATATAGATGATACGTGTGTTCTTGTGATGTGACCAGTAAACATGCTGTACATTATTTTGAATTAACACCATGTACTGCTACTGGCTCCATGCTTTTTGATTTCATGCATAGCTTCTATTTATTCCATCCCAAGAAATTATTCATTCCATATTTTCAAAAAAAAATGTCATGACAATCCATTTGAGTAATATTGGATCGCTACGATGTTCCATATTATACATGCTGTTTAGACATCTCAGATTTTATAAAATTTGAATTAAGATGAAGTGGACACATTACATTCTTTTATCAAAAAAATGATATGCAAACCTATATAACATATGTGCGAATTACTTTCATTCATAGTCAGTATGTTTTATTGGTATACGTCTATCATTTTGAAATGTATTGTGTTCTAGTCATTTGCTGTTATATACAACACACATTACCAGTATTCAGTTTTGCTTAGAATAATTTAAATATTGGTACCTGCTGAATTTCAGCAATTTTTCACAATTTGATATTAATATGATATTAATAATTATAGTTATTTTTTCCAATACCAAAGAAGTACTGAATTTTCCATAAATTCAGCAGATAATATGTACCTAGCTGCTGTAAAGCTGTGTGGCACTTGTAAGATTACAGTCCATCTATAATAGATTTAAAAGCATATCCTACCAGATATATCCATTTATATGGTTTAAGCGTTAAGGAATGCATATCAATCGCTTTTAAATTAATGTGGTCCATGTTTCATGTTAGATAGTGTTGGAAAGTTGATACTTTTAAATAAAGCTGTTGGTCCAGACTCAATTAATAATAGGATGCTAAAATATACAGCTTCCTCTGTCTGTAAACCTTTGTGTATCCTCTTTAACAGATCACTTTCAGAAAACTGCTTCCCTAGTACGTGGAAATTAGCAAATGTTGTACCTTTATTTAAGGAAGATAATCCCAGTATGGTTTCAAACTATATTTAGACCAATATCTCCGCTAAGTTGTATCAGTAAGATGTTGGAACGTTTAGTTTTTAAGAATATTTATAACTTCTTTCACACCAATAATTCATTTTACAAATATCAATCAGGGTTCTTACCAGGCCACTCCACCGTATTCCAACTTTTGGAAATCTACCATAGTATTGTCTCTGCTCTGGACAACCAACAAGACTGTTGTATAGTCTTTTGTGATCTATCCAAAGCTTTTGATAGGGTATGGCATAGGGGATTGTTGTACAAATTAGAAAAATATGGTGTGACAGGTAATATTTTGAATTGGTTAAAAAGTTACTTATTAGATAGAAAATATAGAGTATAAGCAGATTATTTGCTGATGACACATCCTTGGGTAAATCATCTGCAACCACCGGAGAGATGGAAACTTATATAAATCATGATCTATCTATTTTGGAAAATTGGTCAAAGAAATGGTTAATGAAATTCAATGCAGTAAAAACAAATATGATCTTTATTTCAAAAAGACGAAATACTACATTATCTGATATTGTATTTCAAAAGATTACTTTACTATTCGTGCAACATCATAAACATCTAGGTCTTTATTTCTCCAGTGATGGCAGATGGTCATACCATATTGACTGTATTGCCAAGTCAGCATACAAAAAACTAGTATTACTCAAAAAACTTAAATATTCAGTGTCTAGATATTCTTTATCTGTTCTTTATAAAACATATATTTGTCCCTAATTGGAGTACGCATCGGTAGTCTGGGATGGGTGTTCTCAACCAGACTCTGAAACTGGAAGAAATCACCTGGTAAGAAATCTTAGGAACTTAAATTTTCCAGAGATCCTCCTAACAGACATGAACACACTTCTCTGGGGTAATCATGATCTCACTTTTGAATAAAACAGTAAAACCTTTACCTATGTATGTAAGTACATTAAGGATACAAACCGCTTCTAGTAAGTAGTCTTAATTACAACAATTACATCATCTTCGAAGATTTAAATTTTCTTTATCTGTATGAAAACCTCGGTTAATTCTCTATGAGTAGGTCGGGGTACAGAGAAACAGTTGTCACCAACCTATGTTGTTAATTCAACTTAAATTTAAAAAAAAAAAAAAAATGTACATGTTAAGACAGCTATATGATGTACGTAAAATGTATTTAAGTTAGGAGAGGGCTTAATTAAGTTGTAAGAACTTGTGCCCAATCCTTTTTGTCATTTTCAAGACAATAAAAATATGTTTAAACTAAAGTTGATACTACACTTATAGACGTAGAACATTGATGGTGCAATTACAAGATGAAATATGTCCTGCTGCATGTAGCATTCAATTTCTCCTTTACTCCAAATTTTGCGTGCGATAATACCACTCCTTGGGTCGATGGGTTAACTTATGCCAATTCCAGGGTATAGAGTGATGAATTTCAGCTTAGAATGTTGTCATTTGAAGTGTATTTTAAATACAATGTCACTAATGATAATCAAATACCTGTAGTGTTTGGTTGGGCATCAAATGTAAAATTATTTGCTTGAAGTCTTCCATTTAGTTGATAAAAAATATATTTCATAATTAGTATGTTCCCACTGTTTATATTATAAGTAGCATGAAACATTGGATGATTAGCATAAATTTAGTCGTTGCGAGTAAACAAAATCACTTATGCATGGAAATATTTTTGCAAGATGAAATACTTTCTAACACAGTATTCGCTGAAATGATTCTTAGGTCACCTGAGCTTTAGCTCAAGTGACCTATTGCTATCCGTCTTCGTCCGTCGTCGTGGGTCGTTCGTGGTCCGTTAACATTTTACGTTAACATTTTACATTTTCAACTTAAGCCGAAGTACTGGCAAAGGGATTTCATTGATACTTCATGGGAATGTTACTGACATCTCCCTGACCAAGTGTTGTTATTCTTTAGGTAGATCAGAAATCCAATATGGCCGCCACGGCCGCCTTTTTTTTAACAACTATTACAAACTTAAAGTCAAGTTCTAATGGGTCGATTGAACTGAGACTTGGTAGGAATGATCGACTCGCGATCCTGACAAAGTGTTGTTATTTTTCGGGTCGATCAGAAATCCAATATGGCCGCCATTATCAAAAACTATTTCAAACTTAAGTCAAGTTCTACTATGCCAATTTAACTGAAACTCGGTCTAGAAATGATCAGCTCATGGTCCTGACAAACTTAAGTTAACATTATGCTATTTTTTACTCAAATTGGTGCATATATTTCAACCACAAAAATAAATACTGTAGGACTCGGGTGACCGATACGGCCCATGGGCCTCTTGTTTAACTTTGTATTTATTTTTATTTAAATGAAGATTGATATATCTGATATATATATATCATTTTTTCTCTTTGGATCAAGGACCATAAAATAAATCATATTAAAAATGGTAACTAAGTAAAGTCATAAGCTAATATACCCCTGGTAGCTTGGCTTATAATAATGTTAAAGTTAAGATGTCTCCACAACTAGAACTTGATATTTCATTTCTAGTAGACACTTGCAATGTTAGTGCAATATTGAATTATTTAGGTCATAAAAGTGCAATGTTCATGGATAAAATACTTGTTAAAGAAACAGTCACTCGGGTTCTTGTTTTAACAACCTGAGTGATCAAGCATTGTGTAAGTGTTGTAATTTTATGAGTTCAGACATGATTGTTGTAAATGTATGATGAACTGTGATTATATTTTGTTTTTTGGTAAATCAAGATTCAGCCATCATTTTAGTTTTTAAAGCTCTCTTTCATTCCAGCTTTCTAAAATATATAATATTGATTATATGAATGATTTTTTTTATTGAACTACTTAAAGACAGTTGTTTTTGCTTCAATACTTGTTAAGATTTATAGCAAATATATCTACCTGCTAAACTCAAGGTAATACTCAGTATAAGATCAATGCAGGAAGGAACTATACACAGTTTACGCGTACATTTTGTATAACTTTGTTGTATAAATTCTACTTGTCATGGTGTGTTTTGTAATGGAATGTTACATACACATGTATGTAATGTATTTATTTTAACTGTAAATTGGCTCACCTCACTCATGTATATGTTATACCTACCATGTCTCTTCCCAATTTGTTTTAATACGTGAACAGTAGTTGCAATACTTGCTGACTCCCTGTTCAGTAGATGAGATTAGCTAACAAGACTACTGATGATTTTAATTGATGGATAACAGCTATATACATGAAAAGTATTCATCGCCGTGCCAACTTTTTCGGAGAGAATGTTTAAAATTATCTTAAGTTTATGATCGCGCTATTTATTTAAAAGAGAAAGATTTAAAAATTTTTTTTAGCTGGTGTGCACTTGATACCTATACACGATGTACATGTATACGACCGGTTTTGATCAGAACACTGGTATTAACTGTTATTGGATAAACTCGTTTTGTATATCAAAATGTATTGTTGTTTTAATTATTAGCTGTTGGTATATTTCTTATACTTTATGATAAACTTTATATATTTAATACCTTTGTATAAAAGGCAGATTTACTCCGTAAATTAAGCAACTGTTAGAAATGTATTTTTATACTGTAACATTTTGGTTTTGTTGAGTGTTTGATATTTATTAACATTATAGCCAAACAATTCAATCTGAAGGTTAGATTGTATGATCGATTACTGTTAAAGCAGACATTTTCATTAGTGTTCATCATTTGAACAAGCCAAACTTACGCAATAACATGATAGTCCTTGGCTCAATATTAAGAAAATGAACGCTAAATGTGTTTCTTTGTAATTTGCCATAATTTGAAGTGGTGCATTGTAGCACGGACTTAAAATCTAATTCCGTGATTGTAGCAAAGTATAGCGTTTGGTTTTGAAGGCCTCTTGGAATGCAATTTGTATTTGTTATCGTGGAGACGTTGAAAGTTGTTATCTTACGTCATCAAATGTTGCAATAAAATTATGTCTCATAAAACGTACAATGGCTTGTTATCAAATCAGAAATTAATGTAAACGACCTGATTTAACATTCTACCGATTTATGACAGAAGCCCGTAGCAGCCTAACACGCATCCTTGATAATTGACCATATCTGTCAGAATTGATATTTACCGTTCAGTGTCAACTTCCATATCATCGTTATCTATTTAATGTAAATTTCTACCTATCTTTACTTATGAACTAATCGTGAACTACTGCTCCAGTTAGGTGACAAATACCATTGCGTCAGCAGCGTTTGTGCTCCCGGAATAATGAATCACCCCTGTATGTATCAAATCACGAGTTCATGTTGTAAGACTAACAATTCAAAGAAAACGGTCATATCACACATTGTTATGTACCTCGAATAGTAGATTAAGATTATGCGACATGTGAAAGTAAAAAGGATATTTCCATAATAATATCCTAGAGGAAGTTATAAATCATTTGCCTATATTGAAACTTTTTTTTCTTCTCAAAGTCCCGATTGATCAAAGACGTAGAAGGATTTATGCCCCTGAAAAAGAATAAGATCAAATCCGTCATTTAACGTTATCATTGACGATGGATTCTGTTACTTCAGAGGCGTTTTTGCCCTTTATAGATCTAATGAATATGACATCCATTGCTTCTTGATGAATACCGTTTTTACATTAACTCGTTGGATGATTGATTTCAGTATTTGTTTATGAAGAAAATAAGTTTGTTAACATCGCTGATAAAATAAAGCTGGATTCATAACGTCAAAAAGTATCTCTTCTGTCTTCCCTCGTTTGATTAAAATCCCTTTGTATATATATTTATATTCAAGTGTGTGCCATTAACCTCCTCTTTTTTATAATAATTTTAATTAGTATTATATACAACAACAACAAAACAAAAACATTTTAAATTTTGCCGGGAAAACAAAAACACCACTATTAATGTCAACAAAAATCCCCCTCCTCAAAACGACAAATGAAAGGGGGATATCTCCCCTTTTTACTCTCTCTAAGTTTACACCTTCAACATGGTATTACCGTACTTCTTTATTAGCTTATGATGTCAGCATGACGTTAACATGTGTTAGATTACTCCCTAGTGGTCATAAGTCAAGTATACCTCTTATCAATGTTTTATCTTCGATAAATATTAACATGTATTTGACTTGATCATTAAAGTAGATATATTTTGTCACTGCACTATATTTACCATCAGACAATTAACATAGTGTGCCCAACAATGTATAGGTTTTTTTTCTTTTAGTTTTTGAGCAACGTAACGATATTGATATATTCCGTCTTTGCATATTGCAGAGTTATCTTCCCTTGAGAACAGGTATTGATTGTTACGTCACTTGTTTAAGAGAGTAACGACATCAATTTTTGAGAAAACGACGTAATTTTCTCACACAAACCAATGACGTAACAATCAATACCTGCTCCCAAGAGGAGATAACTCTGCAATATGCAATATGCAATGGAGACATTGTAGTCAATTAATGTTATATGAAAATTTACAATTACCGTAAGAGGCAAATATGAATTATTACCATAAAAGATAGTTGTTCAGCAAGGAATACTTCAACATAATCAAATTTCGTATAGCTGGCGTTGCACCATAGTGTAGAAATATTTCTGTTATCTCGACGAGATCAGTGAGCGTGTGTACCTGCTGGCGCTATCTCTGACCACAGATCCTGACCCCTAGATTGAGTACAGAGACAGGGTAGGTCAGGTGCATTTCCATACAAGCATTGTTAACTTCAAGGTTAATTGTTCGTGTATGTTTACTATGTCAACATTTATATCTGAAAATATGTGAAGGTTTTTGCTGTTTTTCGTGTTGTTATTTTGATCGCATCATATCATCAGATATATAAAAAAAAAAAAGTCTATAAGCGGTAGTCTAAATTAAACCTTGTTGTTACCTTGGCGGACAGCTGATCATACAAAATATTTCTATCACACGGTATTGTCCATGAGCAGCGCTAGGAGTGATCCCAGATTGCATGTCGACATATTTATTTAGTAAACGTTAAATGTTGCTGTTTTCATTTCCACAAATATTGATTCGTTGTTGTAGCTAGACTTGTTAAGTACCAATTCAGAACAAAAATACCGTCTGTGACGTCAAACCAAAGAGGTAATGGATACTGAACACAAAATTGTTTATGACATAACTTTTTATTATGAACGTATTTCAACAAGGACACCGTCAATAGGGATTTTTAATTCAGATTTCAAAAACATCGGTATGTCAAATTACAACGACTACCTTAATAATATCACACACATAAATGACATAATACATTTTAAACACTCTATTAACGTGCAATATGCAATTTTGAACTTGGTAGGAATGACTACTGTCATCTTGTTATGCCAATGGATATTTTTGGTTAAAATTGAAGTCTCCACTTAGCTACCGCCATCATTGATTGATATATTATAGTTTGAATTGACTAATCGCATCAACAACGTAACTCAAAATGTCTAGCTTTACCAGTTAATATGGCTCTGAACAAATGTGCTTTGTGAAAAAATGTCCTTAACAAGGCATTAACGTATTTCACTGAACTGCCAAAACTGAAATCGTTACAGCTACTGTCAGCAAAGTTGATTACAGCATAGCTTGAATTGAGATTTAACATAATAAGCATATTTGAGCATGCCTAAGTACACCAGTTCTACGGCCCTGTGCAAAAAAACTGTCCTATATATAACAATAGGCATGCACATACATACTAGTACTTTAATGACGTGCACAAACGGATTTTTTCATTGCCTCTGTCATCATTGCTGATTATTTTAGATTGAATAGAAATATATCTAATTTACCATGGCAAGGTATATCATTTATACGGTCCTGAACAAAAGTGCCATATGAAAAACTGTTCTAAATATAAACATAGTTAAATGAACAAAACAAACTGAACATGAAAAAACACACCTTATTATCATGAAGAGATGAAAGCAAATGAAGGTATAAAACAAAATCAAAACAACTGCTTCGGGTGCTCACTAACACGATACGGTATTACAGATAAGAATTCGTACTCATAACAAAATATATTTTATAGTTAACTTGAATACTACTTCAATATATTATAACAAAAAACACATTTATTTAAATAAATTTGAAAACTAAGAAACTTTGATTTAAATATAACTACCATAGACCAAGGAAAAATATTTGCCTATTATTCCTAATATGTCATAATATAATTAAAAGATGATTGCATATTACAAATTTTACCACATGTAAATAAACTAAAAAACTAATAATTTAATAGATTGTTTTGGTAATAATTTGATAAATTACATATTTCGAACATAATGATTTCTATTATTAAATAGTGGAGGTTTTCATATGTGTACATGTCTCTGACTAGTTGCATACAATTGCGCAAGTCAATGCGAGTTGTTACTCCCCATCAATAAACATACTAAACCAGATTGTTTTAACACATATCGAATCGATGGAGATAGTCTATGATAATCATAGGGTACACGTTACAATGCATAGCACGTCGTCATAGTTACAGATCTTTGGGAGAGTCCTGAGATATCGCAGTGGAAGGGTTGTGAGTTGTACTACAGAATAAATAAAGAATATCCACAAAGTATACGCTTGTCATCCTGGTTTGTCACGTACGCCTTCGTTTCGTACCGTCCCTGTGAGAAAAAAATAAAAATGTAAATTATTCTATCTGAATAATATTTACTGAGAATTCACACAAATAATGAACTACAACTTCTAAATTTAATTAAATGCACCCAAGTTTCTACTTACATTAACATAGCCCGTGGTAATGTTATGAATCCTGCATCAGAATAAGAAAACTTTTCGATAACTGTTCATGAATTGGATACATTGTACAAGAAATACTTTTTCTATGCTATTATATTCATAAGAAAGGTATTATAAACATGCCCGATAAAAAACGTTTTGTATGCAAGGTGCATATATGAATTGAAAGGTATACATTGTGTTTGCTATTGTTATGCTGGTAATTGACGTATTCTCTAGGAAACACAAGACATGCTTTGTGGAATATTTTTGGTAGCCATTTAGTGGCATACCGCATGACTGGTCTAAACGTACCGCGCTGTACTAGTTTTACAAGGATAACCTGCCTTTTGATAACCGTTGAAAATTTAGGAACCTCAAAGCTATGAGCGTTAACAAATCGGAAATGGCGATACTGGTAAATAATCAAAGCAAATACCATTCAGTCTATATAACACCCAGATTATATTTTTCTATTTTCCAGTATTAGCTGTACACTTATATCAAGTGCCTAATATGCATAACGTATTCTATTCTTAATCCTTTAATGTTAGGTTCTGGCTGCTTTTAGGTGTTTGTAGGAATTTTTATCGTGTGATTTCCTGTTGTTAAACGCTAAAATGACTCACAACTCACGCGTTCTGATACGCCTTACGATTTCCTTCAATCACCCAATAACCACGACCATGCTGTTTGTTAACTTTTTAAAGGATGGATCATATTGATGAGTTTGCTTAGGCCTTATTCTTTTTGGTATGATCCTCATCAGACTTTTTTTCTTTGGATGGTGTTATTGATGGAACGTTCATGACTTCTTGTACACTAGAAATTTTGCCATATTATTTTCCCCTTTCAAAAAGTGAAATGTTCCTGAAATCAATAGGCAACCTAGGGACCCGCTCTTAATATACATGTAGTGTTGTTAATACGTACCTTTGGAAGATAACTTGGTATTTTCTTATCCTTGACCCACGACCACTGGGCGTTCGCCTCGTAGGGACAGAAGATGAGGCGGTCCGGCTGATTTTCATCAAGGATGCACATGTCCCAGTGATTGTCGTACAGTTCCTTATTGTTGTACTTTACCTCCAGGACAAACTCCCCGCCCATGTACTCCTCCTCTGTAATATAGATGGGGTTCAACATCTATTTTAAATTTATTGCATAAACTACAGATCACGATCACAAACCAAAACGTTAATGTTGATAACTGTTGAATGATTTAACGACCATGGCTTAAACCTATGCTTAAACCAAAAGTTAGTGAGCATAAATGAGTACGGAAAAAATACTTATATATTTTTTTCTTAATTTTTGTTTGTTTGATTAATTGTAAATCATCATGTTCATATTTTCCCAAGTTAAACTAATTTTGAGTTCAAATGAGTGTGTTGCTACTTTGGTGTTCTTTTGTTTTGTTCTTCTTGACTGATGTGCAACAAATAGGTTGACGGAACATTGAGAAAGCAGATGATAGCATAGAGTAAAAGTCTGATCAGTCAAAGGAAGTGTGGTGTAAAAGAGAAACATTTTTACAAATAGTTTCAAAATAGTAGTATCAAACAACCTCACGGATGATATATTCGAATGCACATTAATTTTACATTAAGATACAAAATGTACAATTTGACGAAATTACTGCCAATACCATATTTACTGCTTGATTGCATTTAATGAATATATTTGCAATGAAGTGTGTTATAGATAATTCACCATACATGACATTGTGCCGATGACGTAATATAATCAACCTGTTGTATTTATATTTATACTACTCATATATTTATAGATTAACATTGACAACGCACGTAATGTGTGGCTTAGTCAATTCTGGACTACATATCATAAACTGATTTTTACATTAATATTAAAACATTGATTCTTAATTCAAATATTAGCGAAAAACAGCTACAGGTGAAATAAGATCCATGTGAAAATATATTTGTATACATACATACATAACGAAATGAATCAACGCTGATGTTTATCACGTTGTAAGAATAGGTTGAATAAATTGTATTAACTGAAAATGACATTACCATCGAAGCTTGGTATTTTGAATTCATGGTTTTATAAAGGGCAATACGTATGGTTTATAAACCACATTTTATATAACATTTCACTCAGCTTTTATCCAGCAACCATTTGATTAATATACCGATTTTAAATTTGTAAATGTTAAACTTTATGGACATTGCTGTTAGAATTTAATAATGAACGTGATGTATTAATTTTCTAATTCACTGTATTTCAAATTTAAAAGTAAAAACAGAAAAGAAGAAGAAGAAGAACAGGAAGAAGAAAAAGAAGAAGAAGAAGAAGAAGAAGAGGAAGAAAAAGAAGAAGAAGAAGAAGAAGAAGAAGAAGAAGAAGAAGAAGAAGGAATAGAAAAAGATATTTTACATTTCAGTAGCATATGATGATGAATAAACAATTACAACACTTAATTGTTTGTCAGACTTACCAAATGTAAAATTTAGGAATATTCTTGCTTTTATTCCTCCGTTCTCTTTGTCTGGCAACATAATAGATTTTCCGACAAGTACTCTGTCACCCTCATCTGAAAGAGAGAGACACTGATTACATTCCGTATGATTATCGTCAGCGTTCCCCCTTGTAAACATTGACGATCTAACAAAGGTATAATAATGTCTGTTCTATAATTTAAGCGGTAATTGAAGCGTTTGAGACCCCGTGCTATGGTTCTGAAGAACGTTTCCCAGAGTCGAACACGGACCTAACAGCAGACGCTTCTAAGCCCTCAAATACTCACTGCTGACCCAAAGTGATCAGCAGAAAGTCTACACGCCGTATATATAGAACAGATAGCACCTGTAAGACGGTAGCATTACAATTCTTGACAAAATGCTACAAATGTATGTATTTCTTTTTGAAAATATTTTTCAAATATATTCCCTTGTATAGCCGATATTCATTGTGTAAAGAATAATTTGTTTCTGTGAATTATTTGTTTTTACAGAAACTATTCATGTCTTAAAATGAATTTCATTTTTTTCCTACATGTACAGTTACACTTAATGTATTTTTGCCAATTTGTCAAAACGTCGAACTTGTTCGAGTATATAATCCTTAAACATTTTAAAAACGAAGTTTACAGTACCATATCTGTATATGTACATATCGAATATTGCATGTAATGATATACTTGAAATCATAATTTTAATACAGTTTTGATTTTGGCCGCATCATTTTCCCGTAAGAATAGGAAAATTATAAAAGTTTCATTCACTGTGGACATTTATCGTGTACTTTACCGCGAAATGACGCCTCCACAAAATGTGCACATTTTAACGAAGGATACAAACATGACAAGTTTATAAGATACGCTATGCATACTTGACTTTACTTCTAGACAATGTAAGCTTAAACTGTATCTAGAATGTAAACATTGACAAAGATCGTTCGGCGGAGACTTTGTCCCGCAGTACTCAGTCAACACTAAGTATGTAATCTCAGTTTCTACTTGGGGAAAGACATCCAAGTCATTATCATGCTCAAGAGGTTAAAGGAAAGTTCAAGTAGATGACCGAGATTTATATTTTTGATACACACATATGTATCTATCTATAATACGATGTACATTTTGTACATGATTGATATGGGTTTCTACATTTCAATTCTTTATCGCCATTTGCTATCTACCCATAGAGACAGAAAGTCTATAGTAACTTGTACTAAAAAAACCTGTATACTTTGTTTAGGAAATATTTTTCTTTGTTTAGGAAATATGTTTCTTAGTTTAGGAAAGACAATGTGTCGGTAGGTTAAGTCAAAGTAAAGAAAACAGAAAACAGGGGTCATTAATCAGGTCGAATATGAATGTTTTAGGAAAGTTTGGACAAAAAACACAGAACGTGGTCGATTACATGCAATCATATCGGACACTGCTATTCTATGTAGAGACAGGTTTCACCTTTTAGTTTATGACAACATTTTGTAATGTATGACTAAGTTTAGAAGTTCTGTTAGTATAACAATGACCCCACAACGATTATAACTGACAAAAGACCATTACTTTAGTGTCAGAATGAGATGACAGTTTTATTACTGACAAACACGTCATTGCTTTAGTTTTTGAATAGGACGATATCCATATAGGACAAATAGACAAAAACTTTAGTTCAAAATGTGCTACTTTAACTGACAAACACATACTTGCTTAAGTTTCAGAATAAGATAGTTTTATTACCGACAGAAATACCATTGCTTTGTATTAGGATACCTGAACTACTGACAAATTGATCATTTCTTCAGTGTAAACAGAAAACTTTTAACTGACAAAGACACCATTATTTAAGTTTCAGAGTGGTGTGTTATCTGGCAGGATTCTGTGTAGATGTCGTTACTGTCAATTGCATATATTTCGTAGAAGACTTTGAAAGTGTTACATAGCTTTGCGCAATTTGCTCATGTCGTCTCAGGAATTCTCCATGCTTTCATATTTGTATAAATATTTAGGAATTGCTAAAAACTGATCCATACGTAGATTTTATACGCGTTTTTATTATATTTGGAAGCAACTATCAGCGGAATATGTTTCAAAAGTGACAGAAATTTGATTCATGTACTTTTGACAAATATTTAAATATCTAAATATATTTAACACGCCAGGGTTATAAGATAAGAATATGATGTTTCAGTAAAATAAGTTATTTGACAACTTACCACAACCACTGTAGAGATCCCCTATTGACACATAATCATTTGACTTAATGAAGTTTTCCCATAGTTTTTTAGATTCCACAAAGTCGGGATTATCTTCGTCCTTGATTTTTTCATCATCTCCTCCCTCCTCGTTTTCTACTGCGTTTAATTCGTCTCTTTTAGCGACGTGCAATCCTTTGTCCTCGTTGTCGGATTCAGCACCATGTTGCTGCTGTCTGTTCCGAGCCATAATATCTTCAGGTGGCCCATGGTTGAAATAAGTAACATAAACGCTGAAGATCATACAGCAGAATATGAAGAGGAGAGCGGCAGGGATACGCCTGGTATACATGACTCCGGGGTTACAGATACGTTTGATACCCATGGTGATGAGGAGGACTATATATGACGACCGGACAGCTCAGCAGCTAAAATAATGTGTAGCGTGTCCTTGATCTGGAGGTGACGTCACAGATGATAACTTGTGTAGTTCATCATGGACAGTAGGTACAGATAATGCAATATTTAAATTGACCTAGTCCTCTTAACGTTACACATTTTTTTGCATTTTTTCTAGTGTCTTAATTACGTTATCTCAGTCGTTGCCAAAAAACACTTAAAATCATCCAAATAATTTCTTGTTCTAATTGCTGTCATTTTCAACAATATCTGAACAAGTAAGTAGTTTACACATGTGTGTTTCAAGTTAATAAAGCTTCGTAAAGGCCGTTCTCTATTCAGATTATGATAAATTTAATATAACACAAACGAAGTCCTACATAGATATGATTTATCAGTAATTTATTATCAGGTCAATTATAATCATCGAACTTTCCTTTCGCAACGTGATCGGTTACACTGAAGGTGGTATATTCTTTTATGATGTTTATAGTCCTATTTTGTCTTATGTATCAGCATGATTTTGTCGAAAAGAAATGTGTATCTTCCCGTTTATGTGAGCAACTGATGTCCTTACATTTGTTTAACGATTGTCAAAAAGAATCGTGACGTCAGTTACTTACACTACCATTTGAAGCCAACATACTCTATAACACGAATTTAGGTTATTAAAAGAATAATGTTAGCGACTCTTCTTAGTTCCACTTTAACAGATTTAAAAGGGACTTAGTCCCAGGAAAGATTTTCTTATGATAAGTATGTTTTAAATGATGTTTTAAAGAAGTTTTATTTTTATATGCCATATATTCTGACCAAAATAGGAACTTGTCAAATATTCATCTTAAAAATACACAAGTAGATTTATGTGATTTTATTTCGTTGCGTTTAATTTATATAGCTCCATTTTTAGCTCACCTGCCCGAAGGGCAATTGAGCTTATGTCATGGTGCGGCGTTCGTCGTCCGTCCGTCCGTCCGTCATCCGTCGTCGTCCGTCAACGTTTCCTTTCGAAACTTCTTCTGAAGAACGGACATACTTAAAGTCAAGATATTTGACTGAAAGATTCATTGGTAGGAGCCTGACAAAGTTTGAGAACGAAAATGACCTTGTCCTACTTTCAAGGTCACTGGGGTCAAATGTGTCAAACACTTCAAACAACTTCTTCTGAAGAACTGAAATGTATAGATTTTTCATATTTGGCTGGTGACTTCCTTGGATAGAACCCGACAAAATTTGAGAAGGAAAATGACCTTGACTAACTTTCAAGGTCACATGGGTCAAATCTGTCAAACAATTCAAACGACTTCTTATGAAGAACTGAAAGGATAGAATCTTCATATTTGTCTGGTGGCTTCATGGGATAGAGTCCGACAAAGTTTGAGAATGAAAATGACCTTGACCTACATAACTGGTCACAGGGGTCAAATATTTCAAAAACATCAAACGACTTCTTCCGAAGAACTAAAAGGTAAATACTTGCTTAGAGCCAGACAAAGTTTGAGAATGAAAATGACTTTGACTTACTTTCAAGGTCTGAGAGGTCAAATATGTCAAACACTTCAAACGACTTCTTCTGAGGATCTGAAAGGTAAATAGTCTTAATATTTGGCTGGTGGCTTCCTTGGATAGAGACAGACAACGTTTGCAAATGAAAATGACCTTAACCTACTTTAAAGGTCACAGAGGTCAAAAATATTTCAAACGATTTGTTCTGAATAACCAAAAGGAATGGATTCATAAGATTTGGTTGGTAGCTTCTTGGGATAGAGCAAACAAAGTTTGAAAAGGAAAATGACCTTGACCTACTTACAAGGTCACAGGGGAAAATCTGCCAAACACTTCAAACAATTTCTGAAGAAGAACCAAAAAGCACAGAATCATATAATAAGATTTGGCTGGTAGGTTCAATTGATGGAGTTGACAGAGTTTGCGAGTTAAATATTTGTAGTACAGTATAATATATAGTGATAATATTTTGCTATGACTGCTTAAATATTTAGGTGAGCGATACAGGTTCTCTTGGCCTTTTGTTTCTGTATGTCAACGAAACGACCAGCGCTGAACTTATACCGTTATTCTGGTACCTGGAAATCTGATCATAGCTATACAATTGTAGGCCTGCATCCGATCACATCTCAGTAAGTAATATATTTTTTTCGAGATTGTAATAATATTTCTCTCATAGGCTACGTGATAATAACCCTTTCCCCGTGTCCTCTTGCAAATTAAGAAAAATGAGCATCGTTATCTGACCCTACAACAACATATTTAACGTACATATATATAAGAATGTCATCGATTATTGATAGATGATAATATGGGCAGTACTTTACACTTATATGTTAGCTAAACATATAGTAGACGCAGAGTTATTAAGTATTTATGTGTTTACGCAGTGGGGGTATTGGTGATTGTTTACCTTCTAGGGAGTTATAAGTTATTGTTTAAATAGTAAGTAATTTTCATATTATCTTGTAAGTAGGGATGATTTCATTATTTACAATTTGTTATTATTGAGCTAATTGGTTAGTGGTTTTAGTTTTTTCTTGACGCGCCTGTTAGGAATAGTGATATGGATTGCAATTTGGCAGTTCTATTGGTCGTGTTATCGGTAGGTATCTGAAGAGGATGGTGAAATTGATTCGATCAAAGCATTAATATTTAAAAAGGATATTTTTATCAAGTGGCAGTAGTGGAGGGATGTAAAGTGTATTGTTGCGTGGTGACAGTTAGGTTAGTATAGTACATGCCAATCTTATTCCACAAAAGTGAAGGCCATATTCTCAATTGGCATTCTTTGCTGGTTTATTACACGTATGCCAACACAGGCATGTGCCTTAGTAAGTTGTTACTGTAAATCATAAAACTAAAGACAGTCATGTCTTTCGAGTATTCGTAACAGAGTGACTACATCATGACATAGTAATACTGCATTATACAACAAACGTGATCAATAGGTGATGATAGTCATTGGTAAGGTAAGTTTGTTGAAGGCCAGCAAGTGGCAGGTAAGATTGAGACGATTATTTATAAACCAGATTTAAGATAACAGACACGTATGCACATGTATCATAAAGGTGTAGCTTAGATGGAATGTGACATATATTATCATCTATTTGTCCACTCTGTAATACCGACAAATCATGTACCATCCTTCGTCGTTATCATGTGGTCAGTATTGGTATAACTGACCATCCTAACTAAGGGTTGTTTAATCCTGACTTATTTAGTGTATAACTTACAAAGCTTACCAAGTTTCATAAAAAATAACGTATAGAGTTATTTTGCTGAAAACAATTGTGGATGGACGCACGCATGTTCTGTCAAAAAACGGGCGTTCAAATACATAATTACCTTGAATAAGTTATTTCTCATTAACACAGTCAGGCAAGGACATCATTGCAAAAAGAAAGAGAGAAACAAAAGGAACAAAAAGAAAACATCCTTTCCTTTGTATTCTCTACCTCTTGTAGAAAATACTAATATTTCAGTAGTTTTGCTGTAATTAAGAACGTTTGGATATGATTTCAAACAGGCGAAACGATATTGACGAAATTAGCTTAAAAAGGAAACATTGTACATCAATAAGACATGGCGTTTTTAAATGTTTTTTTCTTGTAGATATTTACTTGCGTTTGTGCGCCTTCGGGACAGGAAAACGTATTTCTAGGCATACATATAACGTTAAACACAAAAAGAAACGCGCTATATTTCAAGTTGCGTGTGTATGTGTGTATTTACAGTGCTTCATGATGATGATGATGATGATGCTGATGATGATGATGATGATGATGATGATGATGATAATGATGATGATGATTTGATGATGATGATTTGATGCTGATGATGATGATTTGATGATGATGAATTCCACAAGTGGAGAAGGAAACCCTTAACCTTCATGTGTTTTCACTTAATTGTTGGGTCCATGTCTTTCATTTTGTTTTTGTTGTTTCTTCAGTTCTGGTCGCTGTCTTTTCCTACGATTTTGGCATCTTTCAGTTCCTAATGTTGTTTAATGTCGTATCAACTTTTCTATTTGTCCTTGTGTTTACACTTACGTTTTTTATCTGTTTCTGTTTACTTTGTTTACGACAATTAATATGATATGATTTTTACACAAATCATTGCTCTGTTTATAAACATAGTAGGAAATGAGACAAGGATAGAATACAAAACCGTCATCATATTCAAAATCTGTATTGTATAATTTGTATAAATATGTATTCACAGATGCATAAAATGGAACATAAAACGTACACTGAACAATAATTACACATCTAACAACGTTTTATATAATGGAAATAAATCAAAAATCATTTGATCAAACTAACCCGTGTTAACTAAAAGAGTTTTTGAAAGACAAAAACACATTTCCTTCATGTTCAAATGCTTCACACTGTTAAAAGAGTGATGTATGTTTAGTGATATCCCATAATTGCTAAAATTCCAATTCTCCCTTAAATCTTCCGCTTGATGTCAAAATATTTTTTCGACGTTTGGTACAGAAAAGAACCAAAACGTGTCTTTAATGTACAGAATATTGGATAAATCAGAAATCTAACGCACACTCAATCATCACTCGATAAACATCGTCTATTTTTAGACATGATGTAGTAGTAATATATTTATTATACAATTATATGTAAATGGTATTGCAAATCGAACATAACCTAATATCTCCCTTTAGTTTGTTCATGGCCTTAGTTCGTGTCTCTGCTAAATAGTTTGGGAGAATGCTCGTTTGCAACCAAATAATGATAATAATAGTTGATTTTGTGCATATTATCTTTCACAAGAATATCATTTATTAAAATGAAATAATATTTTAGCTGATTTAATATCATATGTTTACTGCGTGTATTTCTATCAATAGGCTTGAAGAGTCAACAGGGAATCACAATCCTAGATATATGACAATACAAAAAGCAATTCTAGTATTGGGTTGTTAGCGATGTTATAAATAGCATTACATGTTTTGGTCCATTAAACTCTTTACTTTCAATCTCTATAAAACCACAATAAAAAGTGCTCACTCTTAAAGAAAACTAACGCGTTGCCTATAGAAAGCCTATTTCTCTTTGAATATTTTTCTTACAAATCATTCTCGATTTTTTAAGTTTGTTAATGGTGATCTCCATACCTTTGTTTTCCGGAGTGTTTTGTGTGATTTATACTGCAGTGTTCACACTTAAAGTTAACAAAAACAGTCATAAAATAAGTGCATTTTTGAATGAATATTCACGAATAATTGTCAACTCCTCAGTAACTCCAAACGTCTAACTGAAATGTACGTCCCTCAATGATAGCGAATATGATTGTATCTAATTAACAGGGAGTATGATTTAAAGTTGTATGTTCATGTAAAACATTTCTCTATCGTTGAGGTACGTGCTAAATCAACGATTTAAGAAGAATGATAATCCCTAAAGGTGTTTTTTTAAGATTATTGTCTACATTTTGATTACCTCAAAGATGCGTTTAGTGACAAACAAATTAAGGAATGGATCAGCAGAAATACGAATAAGTACTTTCATAGTAAATGAATTTACAAACTTAACCCCGTCAACTGACCAGTGTTGATGTTTTCTGACCCCCCCCCCCCCCCCCCCCCCCCCCCCNCCATATACAAAGACTAAATATTGAAAGATGAGATGTTTTCCTCCAAGCTGACAACTATTCAAGCTTGTATCAAACCTCGTAATATGTATGCATCTGTACAACAGTACAATGTGCTGGTACGAGTTAGCTATCTGGGTATTAAGACATCAAAAAGCTAATCTTATCGAACAACTTAAAACAGTAGATACAATCACAACATCAAACGTTATATGATACTTTGTTATAAACACAACACACATTGCTAATACGATTCACAGAAACATAAACATAGCATTAAAACAAATTGCGATTTAAAGACCTCATTCACAACCTTTTATATATGCAAAAACATGTGGTGAACCTACATACACCTTATTGTAAAATATTTTTTTTAAACATAAAAGAAAATTTTAATGTTTTGTACAATGTTGCCGTGCATGATGAAGGATGTGGCACCTCAATCCTAATCTATACTGATGACAGATAAAAATAAAAATAAAAAAATGCTGCTTTTTAACTACTAGTAAATGACATATTTTAATAATAGAAGAATACCCTTGTGCTATTGTCTTTTTTATCCATGTTTATGATTTAAATAGCGACAGTGAAGTTTTAAATAAAAAGAGATGATTTTACGAACGGAGAATCACAACCTCTATCCACGTATAATTTACAAACATAAAGACAAACAATATGATTGTAAAAGCTTCTAGCACCGGCGTATTATAAAAGTTAATTTTCAGTACGGCACGGCACTTAAACATCCCATTTTCCTCTAGATGATAGAACATATTCCGATTAGTAAGTAGAATATTTAAATGGAAGCTTTTTGAATGACTATACACAATATGAATGCATATACGAACAGCATAAAATTACCGCACAGTAATCAAATATTGGTAAGTTGTAACACTGCCACCTGATTCTATCAATCAGAGGAAAGTGACATGTTTAAACGATAAAGTATGGTATCATTTAAGGTTAATTCCAAATGTAGGAATATTAACAGACACTCCCAGTCTCACACACTGACTTCTATCTTGCAGTATTCATTTCCTTTCCCTTTAGATACTCGGAGAACGGCACCATTTTTTGTTTCGTCCATTACTAGTTCCATGAAACTTTCCGCTACCGTGTCTGTCCTAAATCAAGAAAAACAACATCAATTAAGTTTCCGTGAAAGGTAATTATTATGATTATATCATAAAAATGAATTATTATGAAAGAAAATTGAAAATTACGAAAACGAAATAATACTTTTACCATAAAAATGCTGATCATATTGTAACAATTAGAATTCATTTGATATATTGTTTTCTTTATTATAACCAAACAACTGCATTAGCAAAATGGGTGGTGCAAAGTCGGGCTGTCTCATGCGTTTAGATTGTCAGATTTTACAAAATATATTATCGTAATTAAACCTTTATCGATAATGGGGGTTCATTTTATAGCGTAAAATGCCAAAGTTTTATCATAAAAATCCTGCAAATTCTTTTTGGTGTCAAATCTGAAGAAAAAAATGTTCTATTGGTGGCCTAGATGACATATGTACTGGGTTATAAAAATGTCATTTTAGTTCATTAACAAAACAATCAGTCATAACATTCTATTAAAAATATTATATATTTTAGGCAGTGTAATATATTTGAAATGCTCCTGCAGACTTTCAGTATCAGAAGTTTCTAGAAACAAAATGTTTAACCTGATTTTATAAGAAAGGCCTGATAAGTTTCTGAGCATTCTAGTTCCTGTTTTTCATTTGCAATACCAGCCGAAGACTGAAGTAGCTTACGTCATAAGACCATGTGCACTGAGGAAATTAGTGACTTTTGCACTGTTTTCCATTTTCGTCTCAGCGTCGTCGTGTAGTGTAAATGGCGAAATCTGCTTCACGAGGTCTGTATCAGCAAAGGAGGGACACAGAGTGTTTACCCGTATACCACAATTCCGCACCTCCTCATTACTCTGTAATCAAAAACAGCGTTACTAATGTAACCACATATCTGATTGGTTAAAAAGAAAATAGAAGTTTGTAAGATTAATGTTTACATTTAGTTGATTTTTTTAAATTCCAATCATCTAGATATTAAAGAGTGTTAAAGAGATATTTATTTATAACAGTCTAAGGTGTTATAAGTATTTACAGTATTTGTTTTACAATTTATGATTTTTTTGTTTAGACACGAATCAAAAAGAGAAATAAGTTCAAACTATCATATACCAATGTGGAATAATGTTGAAATGTTTCTTTAAAGTGAGAGAAATCAAACAATCTGTGTATGTCTCTTGCTAGTACGTGAACGTATTAAAAATGACAAATTGATATCATTAACAAACTGTGCATTTGAAGACAGCTTCAATGACGCTACAAGTGTTTCTTTTAGTGTCAGCGTGATACTATAAATAGTCTTGAAACCTATTTATCATTTATTCACTTTGAGAATCAAGGCTCATCTAGAAGTTTCATAAAAATAGATTACCGAAGTTTTAATTTCTGTGAACTGTCAAACAATCATTATTCATATAAGGATTGAACGGCATTTTCTTTTAATTTCATTCCGATATGAACGCAAATCGGTTCGCGTTCATACCGGCATGAACATTAAAAAAAACGTTCAACCCTTGTATTTACATTCTAAATGTTTAGTTGTTATGAACCTTAACAAAGATATTCCCTTATATTTTCGATATTGTAGAGTCTGTGTAGTCCGTGCAAACGAGATTCCCGGAACAGTCTAACGTTTAACAGTTGTCTCATGTTAATCAAGGCGGGAAGAGAAACTTCAAAATGACGCTTATCAAATAACGTTCAGAGCCCTATAAACGCAATTTCTTATCGTAATGCTTATAGAGGAACTTGCAATGGAAATGTAAATACATCTCAAAAACCTTAAAATTATAGTATATTTATATCATTATAATTTCATCTCCATCTTTTACTTCAACATCTAAAGCACTCGATAAATAGCATATACATAATATACACGACGGTGAATTCATTAGCAAAATCGTCAAATGCTCACTTTCAATAAAGGCTCATATCGGTGAGTGGCATTTTATATATATGAACGTATATTACAACTGTACAAGGATATGACAAGAAAGATCGTGAATCAGACCTTTGGTGTATACATGCACGAATATATCAATCCCCAATGCCATTAAGTTTAAAATTAAACAATTATGTTTGTAAATAACATATCTAAAAGAAATAGTATACTTCAAAAACCAACAAAATCGAAGAAATTTGCGTTTTACAAAAAAGGCACATGTCTCTCATTACTTGTAAACGTCTTGTCAGAGATATAAATACAATGCAGTAACTCCAACCCTGTTGTAAATGTTTGGTTTCGTAAAAAAACAGTATCACCCGATTTAATTTGTTAAATCTAAAAAGGAACATTTAGGACAAAAATATAATTTTGTAGCTATGACTGTACCGTTAGTCACCAATAATAACCAGATTTTAGGTATACTTCCTCTCTATTTTATCAAGATTTACATTTGTTTAAAATTGCATAAGCACGTATTAACTATTACCTTCACCATGACCAGGTACACTTTTTTTTAAACTTTGATTTCGAAGTTCCCCGTTGAAATGACGCATCAATACCTTCTCATAATAACAGGTGAAGAAAGACGCTTTAGAAATAGTTGTTTTGATCACATGATGTTTTCGACAAATGAATTGGCTTTATGATCACATTTCACATTCAAACACATTTTGATAATGCTTCCCGTTATAAAAATGAACCATACCAAGCCATTCAAAAAAGACAAACATCTTGAACATTTATCGATATCGGTAACTTACAGCCAGACACCTGGTAAGTGCAATGATGGCGGTCTTCGTGGCACAATATACGGGTGACATAGGGTTGACCGACAAACCTGGAAATAAAGGAAAAATTATGTATACTGAACCTGGTCGTAAGGGGGTGTATGTAACCAGGACATCACGTGAAGAAGTACAGAGTGTGTGTAGGGGCCGTGAGGAGTCAGCATGCATATGTTGGTGTGTCTGCAATCAAACACCGGCTTAAAGTTTAAATGTTAAGCATGAACATTGATGTACCAATGCAATTTCATAGTATTGTCCGATTGAATCGAAGTTTTCATCAAACAACATTGAAAACAGTAATTATGTTAAGCCAAAGGAATATGTTTGTCGTGATGGTAAATATGTCCTTGTTAAGTTGGTCAGTGTATCGCGATCGCCAGATGCCGACAATAAATAATTGGTCAAGTTTAAAACAGAATGTTGTACTATTGTTATAAAATTCTAAATGGTGTATAATAGAGTGCATTTATCAAAAACTACATATTTTGTTATAAATTTGTAGTTTTCAGTCATGAATAATACCAGCCTCTTATTGGTTTTTGGCGGAACGTCAACATAACTACAATCAATTTGTCAAAACTGACTTAAATAAGACAGCGAATGCCCTATATAAGATACCAATAAATGTCAGAGTTTACATAGAACGAACCAAGTCAACGACCTCCTGTGTTTTGACCCAGAGTTAACAAAGTAGAACAGTATGTTTAATATCATATATACATATTATGCCCACACCAAATATTGGTCAGGAACAGACACATAGCCAGATATAGGAACAGTTAAAGAAATGCTATTATCACATTTATTAAAATGGATTATGCAATTTCGATAGTGAACTTACTCACCTGAATGTGACAAAAATTCAAAACTCATATGTAATCAAAATCTTTTCAAATAAGTTATGTCACTTCAGAACACTTCAAGAAATATAATGTAATTATCCTCTATGCTGTCTCTGCAAATATTTCTCATACAAAAACAGAGTTAAATGATATATTCCGTTTGACATTTTTTCCAGGTTATGCAGTTAAAATGCTTCATACAAACATGTACAAGTTGTATGTTAAGTTATTGGACTGTTTGAAATGATTTTGTTTAACTTGTATGACTATTTTTGTACTTGCTTAGAAATACTTATGGTACAATGTACATGAAGCAAGATTTTGTAAAAGCAACATTTGAAATATTTTGCAACTTCTAGGAAAGTGATTCAATTAGAACAAATACACTTTGTTTCAATTAAATGCAAACTTCTCAATATTTTACTTGATAACGTATGCTTCAATGAAGAATTTCAAAAGGGGACAATATGCCATCACCATGATATTCTTTATATCTAACATTAACGTAATTCAAAGCAGCTGAGGTCACTACTGTAGTTTACTATTTGTCCCTATTCTGTTATCTGTGGGCTGCCTTGACAACTGGACAACACATTCAATCTGTGCACTCACAAAGTGTGAAAATCGGTTAATCATATCATCGATCTTGACTCTGGCCTTGGCCAGTGTGAAAGATTATTGACCATTTGAGCTGACTTATTAGTGTCAACAAAGTCATGTGTTCAGGTACAGAACAGGGAAAGGCAGGATGTTGATTGCATTGATATGGAAAGGACATGAGGTCTAGCAGCAATCTCAAAAAGCATGGCGTTATACGGATATGACATGGCGAATTAGGATATTTGGATTGTTTGTAATAGTTGCGACTCTCTAGTTATTGTAATTAGGATATTATAACTGTTTGTAATAGTAGCGACTCTCTAGTTATTGTAGTTAGGATATGTGGATTGTTTGTAATAGTTGCGACTCTCTAGGTATTGTAGTTAGGTTATTTGGATTGTTTGTAGTAGTTGCGACTCTCTAGTTATTGTAGTTAGGATATTTGGATTGTTTGTAATAGTTGCGACTCTCTAGTTATTGTAGTTAGGATATTAGAATTGTTTGTAATAGTTGAGACTCTCTAGTTATTGTAGTTGGGATACTTGGATTGTTTGTAATAGTTGAGACTCTCAAGTTATTGTAGTTAGGATATGTGGATTGTTTGCAATAGTTGCGACTCACAAGTTATTGTAGTTAGGATATGTGGATTGTTTGCAATAGTTGCCACTCTCAAGTTATTGTAGTTAGGATATGTGGATTGTTTGTAATAGTTGCGACTCTCTAGTTACCGTCGTTCGTATATTTGGATTGTTTGTAATAGTTGCGACTCTCTAGGTATTGTAGTTAGGATATGTGGATTGTTTGTAATAGTTGAGACTCTCTAGTTATTGCAGTTAGGATATTTGGATTGTATGTAATAGTTGCGACTCTCTAGTTATTGTAGTAAGGATATGTGGATTGTTTGCAATAGTTGCGACTCTCTAGTTATTGTAGTTAGTATATTTGGATTGTTAGTAATAGTTGCGACTCTCTAGTTATTGTAGTTAGTATATTTGGATTGTTAGTAATAGTGTTATTTGGATTGTTTGTAGTAGTTGCGACTCTCTAGTTATTGTAGTTAGGATATTTGGGTTGTTTGTAATAGTTGCGACTCTCTAGTTATTGTAGTAAGGATATGTGGATTGTTTGCAATAGTTGCGACTCTCAAGTTATTGTAGTTAGGATATTTGGATTGTTTGTAATAGTTGAGACTCTCTAGTTATTGCAGTTGGGATCCTTGGATTGTTTGTAATAGTTGAGACTCTCAAGTTATTGTAGTTAGGATATGTGGATTGTTTGCAATAGTTGCCACTCTCAAGTTATTGTAGTTAGGATATGTGGATTGTTTGTAATAGTTGCGACTCTCAAGTTATTGTAGTTAGGATATTTGGATTGTTTGTAATAGTTGAGACTCTCTAGTTATTGTAGTTAGGATATTTGGATCGTTTGTAATAGTTGCGACTGTCTAGTTATTGTAGTTAGGATATGTGGATTGTTTGCAATAGTTGCCACTCTCAAGTTATTGTAGTTAGGATATGTGGATTGTTTGTAATAGTTGAGACTCTCTAGTTATTGCAGTTGGGATCCTTGGATTGTTTGTAATAGTTGAGACTCTCAAGTTATTGTAGATAGGATATGTGGATTGTTTGCAATAGTTGCGACTCCCTAGTTATTGTAGTTAGGATATTTGGATTGTTTGTAATAGTTGTGACTGTCTAGTTATTGTAGTTAGGATATTTGGATTGTTAGTAATAGTTGCGACTCTCTAGTTATTGTAGTTAGGGTATTTGGATTGTTTGTAATAGTTGCGACTCTCTAGGTATTGTAGTTAGGATATTTGGATTGTTTGTAATAGTTGAGACTCTCTAGTTATTGCAGTTAGGATATTTGGATTGTTTGTAATAGTTGCGCCTCTCTAGTTATTGTAGTTAGGATATTAGAATTGTTTGTAATAGTTGCAAGTGACATCTTTCAACAACAGGGTACTGACATCAACATGATAAACCTTCCTGATAGCTTTATATTCTTACATAATTAATTATATACATCGTGATATATACTGATAAAACAAGATAGTGTCAGCTGATATGAACACAAGCAAACAAATATGTTCTTATATATCAAATTTCTCGGTCAAGCAAATACAATGACCAACTTCTCTGAAGGTATTTAATTGACACATGAAAGAGTAGATTCATTTGAAAAACAAAAAGAAATAATGTCGTTTAAATATGTTCAACAACCCGATATAGTGTATCAATTTCTCGACAACTTAAATAAACCTGCCCGTTGTAATTGCACGTGTTTACCTGCCGCAGACGAGATATTGACGATGACACCTCCGTTCCCGCCCTTGTCATTTCGTAGGTATTCAAAGGCTATAAACGAGCCCCGCGTCATGCCTTTCTGTAAACATCAACAATACATACAAAATATTATAGGTGCAGTACCTCGCTTAACGAACAATCAACAATAATCTGCATCCATGCTGCATGTAATTGGATTAAATCATTTTTCAAAGTAGATGATTTGTGAGAACAAAATTCCAAAGAATACTAATTAATAGAATGCTGTTATTGTCCCGTACGTACGATATTCACGTCGACGACTTGCTCCCATTGCGGGTACGTCTCCCCGCCCATACCAGCATTGTTACATACGATGTCAATTCGTCCGTAACGATCCTTTGTTGCCTTAAATAGCTCTGAAACATATAAAAAGTGAAATCAAAACACAGCCACCTAGTTGAGAAGAATCCTTCGTATAATACCACATTCAATTACAGCTAATCACTGTCCATCTGTCAGTAATGGTCATCCGTACATTTAAATAACGATGTGATCCAATATTTATATTGATATACTGTCCAGTCCTCCGTAACAGTGACATCAAATAAATATAAAAAGTGTATCGAGCATTTTAAAATGGTCCTTTGATTTTTCTGGCATTTGTGTACAAATGTCTGAGGCTATTCAATCGGCATAAGTGCAGGTAACATTGAAAACTGTATAAACGTCCTTTTGGTACTTCACGTAGGCTTAAACCATTACCATCAAACAACTGCAATAAACAGCTACGTTAATAGCTTCATACAAAGTGGCACTGTGTTGATTGCTATCGACTAAGTAAACAATGACGGACGCAGGTGATACCTGAAATAGATTCCTTATCATTTTGCAAATTTTTGTTCGTTCTCTTATTCAGAATATGTAAACAAGATTTCGTTCACGGAGCTGGTGATATCTAATCGTATAGTATTTAAGGGTTGATTTTGGAAGAAGCCTATTTGATACATCATAAGGTCTGCAAACTACATAACAGTAAGCTGTTTTCCCACACCAGAGATAAGTTGACAGGCCCACACATACTGTGACCCGAGCTATTAGCCAAATAAAACCAGGAATGTCGCACATAGAAGCCTGCTCTCATGGTAGTCTGGTCCAAGTAGTATTTCAAGTGACGGAAGATGAATTTCACACGAATATTATTGATAAGCTAGATACGTAGAAGTATTCGTCATCCCATCCCGCACCATCATGAAATTCACAAATATGTTATGTTTTTGATGACAATCGTGAAATCGCTCCTTTTTTGTCTAGGATAATTATAAGATAGAATTATTTTGATTTAAAATGTTTAGTATCAATCAACGAAGAAACTTCTAACTGCAGTTGCACGAGAAGTGATATTATCTTCGTTAATACCTAAGAAGCAAGTGTCAGACTATGTAAAGTCCATTTGCTTGACAATAAAATACGGTTAAACTAAACGATCAAGACTAAGGATCACCTAAATATTCTAGTGTGTCACGGGTCATGTATAAGTAATGTGATCAGGCTGGAAAAACCAACTCGACGAATGATAAGAGGTAATGTAATTTGTTGTCTACATTAGTTAAAGTTAGGGAAGGCTATTTCCGTTCAGAGTATTTTGTTTGGTTTGGTTCTGATATTTTTTATGGACAGCCATATGTTTCTAGCATTTTGTCTGAGATGATAGTGGGCTGTTGTAGAACACTGCCTACATCCAAGAACGACATTTACAGCTATGTATCGAATAATGTTTGAGAACGTTTACAGCCCAAGCGATCCCACACAGGTGTATTACTTTGCAATTACTGTCACAAGGAATCTTTATCATGCTGCAGTCAGCTTCTGTATGTATTAAGATCTCCACTTTATCTTAATTCATATATTTACAGGTTTGAAGCGTAGCAGTTAACCTAATAACATTCATCTTAATTGTCAGGGCCGTGTAAGATTTTGTGAGATTTTGTTAACACTAGTTTCTATGTTTATGCCTCACCCACAGAAACACTAATACATTAATATAAAGCATGCTGTAGGTGAATGTGTTCATCTTTTTTTAAGAGGTGAACCGCTATTTAACAAACCTAGTAGAAGACTGTTATCATGTTGTTCAATGGTGTTATTCAATTACTTATTAAAGTTCATGAAACCTTTTTCTTTACCGAAGTGACGCTGTATATATCAAGAGATTCATAGACATGCTTAAGTTACTTTAAAAGAGATTGCGTTCATTTACAATAAAGAGAAGACATAATTCGGACAATCTCTTATTTGCACATTCGTTTGTACATGTAGCTTACACCCGACTTCATACCCATTATTTTAGTATCCATTTCCATTTAAACATACACTATATACCATCTGAAACATACTTATATACCTTCATAAATACTTACATACATATGTGTGTGCGTGCATGCTTGCTTGCTTGCGTGAATGTGTACTTGGTTTCCTGCTTGCGTGCGCACACACAAGCAAAATACATAGACGCTTTAATTAGAAATTGTACTCAACATACTGCAAACTATCTAATACACGCCGAACTGTGATAACTTTTGGCAGATTCCTCAAAACACATTCCTTGTTTTCAAAATACATAATTACACTTACGCACAACACGTACGACCCCAGACAGCTTCGGTTTCTCAACCACGTCGTTACAACTTCCTATCTTCGAATTCGTCGTGTATTTAGTGAAACGTTTTTGCTTTTCTTTTTGTTTATAACAGCTTTTATCACTATAAGGCACGTTCTGCTTAGAAGCCAAGAGGTGATGAAAGTATTGGTTTATGATAATACTGGCATAGAAGCCATTGTGACAAGATAAAGGGCCGCATAAACCCAAACACACATGCAAACTTAAGACAGGAATATCGTCATGCCAACAAAGCAGGTCGAGATAATAATGCTATTTTTTATGAGACAAAATGGTATGCAAGACTTTTAATGACGCAACTATAAGGGAATGAATTTACACTTTCGACTTTTCCATGATACAACGTCTGCAATTAAACACTAAAATATGGACACTCACATGAAGCACATATTACATCATACCTCCATTTAACAGTGTTTATGAAAACATTGCATAAATCACTTCAAGTAAAAAAAGGTATCGGAGTTCTCTGACGCTATATATTTTGCATTGTTAATTTATACAGAGTTGGTATTTTTTATATTGTTACTGTTCTTTGTTATGATGTTTTGTTTTGTTCGCTCTCGCGTAATATGTTAAATAAAATGAATCGACACAGAAAAGTATTTGTATTTCCCTCCTACAAAGGCGATACATTCTCCACATCAAAAGTAGCGGTAACATCGCTGACAATATTTTTTTACATTCCGTTAAGAATAATATTTATTGTAAAAACTAAATAGCATAATCAAGATGTTGTCTGCTGTTTGCTCCTACACGTTCAAAGGCATTTGCAAAAATTAATCATGTGTGCAACATCTGCTGCAGAGACCCCTAATCGCTTCAGAGCCAATGGTCTAAATGTCGGTCTCTGTGGGGGTTTTATTTCGCTTTTCTTGAGTTCTTGTTGTTATTGTTATTTATCTTAGATTTGATCCTTATGCATTGGCAAAGTTTTAAGAAATTATTGATCCTTTATCAGTGTTCCGACAACATCATTTATGGACTTGGAAAATGTTTTTATGGTGTGAACGGTACCATAATGTATTGGCGGAGCGATATGCAGAAGAATCGTGTTTCAAAAGATTCAGTTAGGTATGTTAATTTCATCGCTTAAATAATTACATTTTGAAGACATTTAATACGTTTGAGCATTAAAGAGTATCCTTATATGGCAGACATCGAATAAATCAAACGCTATCTTTAGAAATAGATATTTTTAGGAAATAAATCGTTCTACGGAAACTTATCTACAAGTAAGTAAATATGTTTAAAGAAAATGTAGAATACAGCATTATCGATCATGGTAAATGAGTTCATGAGGAGATATATAGATAATTAATAGTGCTATCAGCATCCGATCCAGTGATAATACTTATGTAAAAAAATGCTTTAAAGCTTAAGAGGGAAGTTGATTCGACAAAAAATATACCACGGCGTCAATTCATCAAGACAAAATACACGATAGCGAACACAAAAGTTTATATGGACAAAATATACCATAGCACCAACACACAATGTTAAATAGACACAATATACCACAACATCATTGTGCATGGACAAAATCCCAAAACAGTGTCAATCAAGCGGCATTTGACTTATTGCAATTGATAATAAATACAATAAGTAGAACCTTTCAGTATGATATGTAAAGTTAAACCGTTTAGATATAAACATAACAACAAAATATTTATACTGATTTTGAAAAATAGGAAATAACCGAAACAAAAAAAGTGAAAACATTAAGGACATATGCTGCAGAAACGTTCATTCTGGAACCGTCGAGAGGGGAAAACGTCATACACAGATTTTTTTTATAGTTTTTTCCAAACTCTATAGGTAGTTGCCCGAGAAGTTTTAACAAAGAATATTTAAGTAAATGAGTAATATTATCATTAAAACTTTCTGTTGAAAGGTTATCTACATATCAAGGAAAAGCGTTGTTCTGTGACGACCATCATCGGTTAATATTTTTCAAACTTAATAGTGTAGAAAGTGTTTGACTAACGCCCAAAGTTCATAACTTTGCAAACATTATATCTAAATTCGACTAACTGTTCGATTGGCGCCGCTGTTAGACAAACTGTTACTTAATTCATGTATTGGTAAGTGATAAACAAATCAGGAGGCCTAGAAAATCGCAGGTTTTTTTACCATTTATGAACGTCTGTTTAGTTATGCATTGTCAGGACGAATTGAGATTTATTTTCATTGCGATTGGTTGCATTCATATCAATTTCACTCTCTTCGATATCGCAGTCTGATCTTTGAGACCAAGTCGTCATTAAGGATTTCCCGTATCTGCGTACGTCATTAAGAAAACAAAAAGGCTTTTGAAGTATCATCAGCATGTTTATACGGTGTCTGGTTGATTTTCCCTAATATAACAGACACTCAGATTTCCATCTGGTACATGTGTTATGAATCAACACAGAAGTGTAGCAGAACAATGATTATAGTATTCTCTACACCTATGTTAACACACACAGAACGGCTTTCATCAATACATCTTTGTTCCGTGTTGACATTTCGTCGGTAATGAGATTTGCAGTTCGCGTGATTAAATCTGTATAAGCCAATGGTGAACCAGTAAGATATCTTCAATTTTATAATGGTAACAATCATGTCTGCTTTCAGTGAGACATTTATATGTTAATTTAACATTTTTTCTGATTTATTATTGGATCCGTTACAAGTTAAATGTTTTTTGGCGGGAGTTGTTGTCTTCTTAGCTTTTGTTAATCAATGAAACCTTCATGA